CGCTGTATAGGTGGAATCGAGTTCCCATCGTGAGCAGATCGCTTCCCTCCCGCTTCACGGCTGGATGGGAGATGTCCGATCATGGGACGCGAACGTGCAGATTGAAAACCAACGCGCGTTGTTGATACTAGTACTCATTCGCCACCCTCTCATTTCCCGCCTCACTTACTTTTTTTTTCCCACTCTGTTCATTTCTTCTTTTCTTTCTTTTTTAAAGAAAAATCTCACTATTGACTTGCTCCTGTGCCTTTCTTTTTCCAGGTACTATCGCAACCGGGCTCTCCTCTCCTCTCCATCTCTCTCTCTCTTGCTCTCTCCCGCTTTCCCTCCACTTTTCCTAAAGGAGGGGTGGGAGGCACTTGTAACTATCATCCAGTCTGAGGTAGCAGTCGCCTGCCTTGTTCGGCCTTGGCTCAAGACGTTAGGCCCGACTCATCGCCTGCTAGGCGCACTCTATTCCCTGTGCCTTGTTGCCAAACACAATGAGGATACATACAAACTAGCATTCCTCTGCTTGCATTTGCACCTCCTTGCACACTGGGTAGCACGAGAAATGCGAGGTGCGAGTTATCCCGAAAGGATACAATGTGAGCCGAAGCCCCTTTCCGCTCCTTCAAGTCTAGAACCGATATCTGTATCTGTATGCTGTATCAATGGACTTGAGGTGTTGCCAAGGGTGGAGGCGGGCAAGGTGGCGTTGAGCGATTGGGTGGCCGGAGATTTGCGAGGGCTGGCACTCATACATCCAATCCATAGCTTGCCTTGAGGATTTTCTCTTGTCTTTCGTTATCGTGGGAGGGGCCTGGGTCAGTCTCAGCCCTCTCGCCCATTCCTGAAGACATCCGTAGATGCGAGAGCGGAATGGGGGAGGCTTGAGTGCCTTGGCTCCGACTCCTATAAGACACTAGCACCCAGATACTTAGACACTTGTAGACTCGGGGTAGACAAATTCCCATCCACAATCTTAGATATTGCTCTGGTCTTTGGTCTGAGGGCCTGGACTCTCATTGCTTCTTTTCTCAAACTCCCACGATGGCGCCCTCAATGCGCTTCTTGTTTGAATCAGCCTTCATTCTGTGTCTCTTCAATGCTTCCTGCCTTGGCCTTTTCGAACCCCTCCCCCATTTTTCTGTGTACTTTTGTTGTTTCTTTTTCTCTTTAGTGCAGTTGACATATCACGCGTGCTCAATAACAGACAAATTGATACGAGGGGTCAGAAACAACTCAGGGTTGAGGGAGTAGGTATGGGGTCATTGGTCCCTATGGTTAATGCTCGGGTCTTCCAAAGTAGAGAGCACTTGAGCACTGCGCTGAGCCCTGGACTCTCTACGCTGCATCACAATCAACATTGAATGTATTGACACTACTGGAGGACTTGAAGCCACCTGAAAGAGCACCAACGAAGCCAAGCAGGAGATTGGCCTCTTCTTTCTTTTTCGGGTATTCGTTTTTCGAGCAAGGGGTTATTATCTCTCTTCCCTGTATTGAAAGGACCCCCTCCCCTCCCCTCCTCTCTCGCTTTCGGGTTTAAGGGCTTCACGTTCCTTCTGCCACTTCGGCCACTTGTGCGACTGCATTGGTCCCACACCCAGACATGACTGGGCCAATATTCAAAGATCTGTTGGCGCTCTCCCTTCCTCTCGATGACTCCCGCAGTTTCAGATCCATGGTGTTTTTCGACCCCTGGCCATCATCACTCATACAACTGCTGTTTCCGACTTGAGCAGAAGAAGAACAGTGTGCTCGCCCGCGCCTTGGCTGCCTCCAGGCCTGTTTCTATTCTCTTCCTTCCTCATGCCCTCAACGGCGTCGCGTCTCACGGCGGCGGGAGTGAAGATTCACGTCCTGACAGGCTCGCCGAGTGCTCCCTTTGGGGCAACGGGTCCCACTCACCCCAAAATACCCCAAGCTTGGCTGCCAGCTTTTTCAGCCACCAGCCAGCAGCGCTTGATCCGTGGTACCCGCCCACCCTGTTGTTGATCCCTTTGCTCGTCACACTACCTCCCGTATATGTAAGAGACTTGATCATGTTGAAGTGGAGCCTGCTCGAGGGGTATTATTATTCTTAGCTTGGTCTCTCTTTCCGATCACAGCCACTTTTCACATTGCTCTTTTTCCTATCCACTCTTTTCGTCACCTCTCACTTGGTTTCTTTCCTTTTAATCTTAGTTCATGCTCTTGCTCTCTCTCTGTGTGAAAACGTTACTTTTGATACCATTTATTATGATTTGAACTAGTAGTATTAACCCATTGCTCCCTTCAGCAAAAGGTATGAGGGAGCACTCGATAAAGTGGAACCAAAATGGCTCCTTTTTCGGCATTGCTTGGGACATGTGGATTTGGTGAGGTGAGGGGGGTTTACGGGCCGGTACTCTTGGGGCCTATAGCAGTTGATGTACGCTTCCGAGTCGAGCCATCAAGACGTCAGTGATGCATGAGGCCAATCTACTCAGCCAGCGAAGCTGAGGTTTTGTCGGAACCACCTGAACGGGCGGTGAGTGCCAAATTTGCACATGACCTGGTCGCGGGGTTTTATGCCTACTTGTACATGTAGCGCTTGGAATCAATAACTTGCAAAAGACTTCAATCGGCTGTTTATTCTACCAATGAGTCTATCCCCAACGCATTCGATATGGGCCAGTGTCCACCAGCTCGGCTTAGGAAGGAGATGCAGCTGCCCACTTATCAATGGACTCCATCCTGGACCAATCCTCCCGAGCTGGAATCTGGAGAGTCCGATACCTGCTTCGTAGGAGCTGGGCCGTCTTTGGCGGTGACAGATACATTTTGTCCTTGGCAAAATAGAGAGCAATGCTAGTTGCTGCTTGATACCTCTTTAGCTTGGGGAAATGAGGAGCAAGAAAAAAGAAAATATAGATCCATTCGATCAAGAGAATGCTCATGCCAAAGAACCTCGGGAAGAAACCAGATACAAAATAATAATGATAAACTGGTTTCCGTCCTTGTGTGGCCTGGCTATCGGTCACATTCTGGTTTCGCCAAGCGAGGGGGAGCGACCGACCTTTAACGCCGTGACAACCCTCGAGCATCGCATGTCGGTCACGCTCTGATTGCCGCTGTGCAAACCCGTCATGATCTACCTTTGCAGTGCTCTTATGCGCTGTCATATTGGACGGATGTCACTACCTGGTTCCCACCGATTCTCGTGATTTGGCATTGTGAATGATTTAATTTGATTTGATTTGGCCCCTGGAATTGGGCAATCAGAGGTTCACGAAAGAAAAACATCACGCTCACCCCTTTCCGCGGTCTCTGTGACTCGCACAAGACCAACCACTTTTTCGCCATCACCAAAGCCCCTTAAGGCAAAAAAGGAGGAGGAGGTGGGAGAGAAGGAAGGGGCAAAGGGGTGACCCGAGATTCCGGAAAGGAGCACGGCGCGCAATCCAGAATTGAATTTGTTCACTACACCGACCACATCATTGATGCGCTCTTTCTCTCCCTTGGTCCCGCTTAATTTTTCTCCAGTCACTAAAAAAGTAACTTGTTTTTTTTTTCTTTCTTTCTTTCTTTTTTTTTCTTTTTCTTTTTTTCTTTCTCGGATCCCCTTGTCGACAAATTACGTTGGCTCCCTGTTTAACCATTGTGCCTTTGGCCTGTCTGTTTGCCGCTGTTTGCATTGCATTCATTCAACAATAACATTGTGCGTGAACCCTTGGGTCCTGCCTGAAAGATTTCCGTTCCCTTGACTGAGCCCATCCCCATCAATTCATACCCCTTTACCTCAGTAGACATCCCGCTTCCTCGGCTGGCTCGACTGCCGAGAGCCCTTGATGGGCTTCAATTATTAAGACAGGAATCTGGGTCTACTTGTACACGAGAGGGGTGGAGGACGGAGGAGCTGAGGGTGTTACTGATAATAATAATAATACTGACCAAGACCTAAAAGGATGGCTTCCGGGCACAACTGTCTCCCGTCCCGGAACAAGCTCGCCAGCCCAGCCCAGCCCAGCCCAGCCTAGTCTAGCCCAGCGAGCGCGAGAGCGTCACCTCTTTCCGACTATTATTATCATCTCGGTTCCCTGTTCCGCCCTGGGCGGAGTCAGTTGTGCGGTACCGATCGCCAGGAAAGTCTGTGCTCCGCTGGTCACCGCCACCCATGCTTTTAGAGACAATCCCTGTCGATACCAGCGCCTTTCCTGCCGGCCCTGGAGTTGGCGTTATTAGGCGCTGGCCCTGGTTGGCCCGATGATGGACGCCATCAGGGATGGAAATACCGACCTCTACCCTGGTCCACGACCCACACCTCCCTCCCTCGCTCGCATGCCCTACTGCCTACCCACCTCCCCACGCAAGCCCTCCAGAGATGTCATCCCATCGGGGCCAGCTATATTGATGCATCCCATCCCTCTCCTCCCCTCGCCTGCTGCGACTCCCGAATGCAGCCTTTTTTCATCTTCAACATCTACAAGCTCGCTCGTCACCAGCCTAGACTTCCCTGTTTCTCGGGCTTGAACAGCGTTTCACGCATCACACACACACCCACTTACACACACGCAGAGACACTTACACGCACACACGCGTGCGCACTCATCCATCCTTCGAGCACTGATACTCATACACCCAGAGACAGACAGACGCATACATACCCCAACAGACATATACATCTTGTCTATATCCGCTGCTTCTTCAAAGAGAGCGTATATCCATTCTACCATCAGCACCATCGATTCGAGGGAGGGCAGGTTGTGAGTACGAGAGCGAACACGACGCGGCCGCGCCACTTGGAACCAAACTGCCGAATGTCGAATTCAAGGACAGCCCATCACCCCCAAACGACGAGTCTCGACGGCCTCTCTAAATTCTGTTCTGCGTGTCTTTTACAGTCGATATATCAGGATTTCGACACACAACATGGGACCAACCTGGGCAAGCTTATGATAACCACCCCTTCTAGCCGCCATCCATACACACCGTTTGCGCCCCTCGCCCCCTGCGCTAGCAGCCGAAGCTGCTAGCCAGCAGGCTTTATCGAAAGCATGGTCCTCGAAAACCTTTACCTATTTCTCCGCGGGAGCAATGTTGACGGCATTATCGATTCACGCCAAGACCACGGCGGAACCGATGTTCCTAGCTACCTCACGAGCGGCAATGTAACAGTCCTCAAGATCACATCGTTGACTTGCTCGGCCGTCAGCGTTGTGTCTGCCTTGCTAGCCTTTTACTGGTTTACGCGCATGAGGAGAAGCTTCCGTCATGAGTAAGTGTTGCTGCTGTGGGAACTTTTTTCTCGCCCAAGATCGAGATATCTTCAAGTATGCGCGGCTTCTAATCCTATTTCTCCTTTCCCAGCCTCATCATGCTTCTTATTCAAAGCGACATGTTCAAAGCCCTTTGGTTCATGATATTCGCCATCGTCGACTTCATCCACGGTCCGGTCCCGAGCTCGTCGCCCTTTTGCCAAGCAAGCGGGTTTTTCTCACCATCGGCATCGAGGCTTCGGATGTCGCCGTGCTGCTTATCGCCATCCACACCGCTCTCTACATTTTCCGACCGAAGCGCGCGAACGGGGAATACGGACTGTTTCCTTATCGTCGATATGCCTACGCCGCCTTCTTTTGCTTCCCCATTCTCATGGCGAGCCTTGCGTTCCTGAACAAACCCTATGGCTACGTTAACCTCGGGGAGCAGTGCTACTTGCCCCTCCAGCCCTCCTGGCCGCGAACCGTATTAAGCTGGGTTCCGCGCTATGTCATCTTTCTTACTATCCTCAGCATCTACCTGTGCATCTATCTTTACGTCTCGTTACTCATGCGGCGGTTCGGTCGAGCCGACCTGACACGCACCCAACAGCCCGGCGGTTTGGCGCATTTGGGCGAGCCGCAATCCGACGCGGCCCCAACAGCGCCACCGACCATCTACCAGGTCTCGCTACCCTCGTCGAGACGGGGTCCGGCTTTGAGCATAGAGACCGCCAAAATTCGCTCTCTACGCTTAGCTCGGTCAAGTTTGACTTTGGCCGGGTGCAATACGGGACCACACCTCAGCGAGGCCCGTTCCCGATCAAGTGGAAGTGGCCAAGCGCAAACTCTGCCGTTGCCGATGCACGACCAACTCCTCATCCCGAGCATAATTTGTCGGATATAGAGTCCATCTCGCCCACCACGATTGACCCCGAAGCCCAGCTCGTGCAGCCCATGGAGCTCGGTGCCATGCCGTCCCGCGATGACGGTAGCGGAGAGGTGTCGCCACTCTCGAACGTGGGCGCCGGGGATATCTCTGACAGCAAATCAAACACGCCAGTCACGTTTCCCCTCCGGCTGGCGTCTGCGGGAACCATCTCGCCTCCCTGCCGTGAGCGCGATTGCCCCGGTCGCTCTTCCTATAGCTCCACCACATCTTCGGCAAACCTCTTCATCGACACTGACCGTGACCTTTCTGGGATGGCAAAGACGCGGGAAAAGATACGCCATCAACTCCGGCTCCTGTTCATCTACCCTCTCGTATACATGGTTGTGTGGCTTGTCCCCTTTATCTCGCACATCCTTACCTGGGGCGAAGACGACGACTCGATGCCCTTTGTCGTCCTGATCCTCGGCCTCGCAAGCTTGTGTATCCAGGGTGCCGTCAATTCCATGCTCTTCTCGATCCGGGAGAAGCCGTGGAGACATGCCCGCCGAACCCGGGTTACGGGCTCAGGGACTTCGTCCTGGAAGTTCAAGGGCTCCCATCGGACGAGGCAACCGACCGTAGGCCGGACTCGCGAAGAGATGATGGTAGATGGGCGAATCGCACGATTGCGGCTCGATTACGAAATCGCCGAGAGAAGACTCAAAAACCCGCTCAACCGACGCAGCCGCCAATGGTGGGACTCTGTTGATCTCGAGGCGATGAGGGCGGGCACCGATGAGGAAGCCCTGATTAGGAGGTGATGATGCTTCGCGCAAGGGCCGCGGCGTCGATCCCACCCCTTTCCGCTACCAACCATTCTCATCTCACCTCTCATCCCATTCTTTACCATTTTCTCTTATCCTCCTACTCTCCTCAGCATTACTTTCTTCTCCACACTTGCTTCGCCATCATTTTCTTGTTCTTTGCTCATAATACCCCTTGGATTCTCGGTTTTGCGTTTTCTTTTGTTTTCATTCATATTTTAGGCGTTTTCACGGAGCGCGTTTCTCACTCGACAAGAATCAGAGTCCAACGGTTGCTGGAGGGTGGAAAGGGTTTGCTTGCATAAAAACGAATATACACCGCACGGCGAGAAGAGCCGACAGCGCAGCCATACGGGGACACCCCCCTTCTCCCCCTTTTCTTCTTCTTTTTTCTTCATTTTCTCCCTTCCCTCTTTTTTTCTTTCTTGATTGACTAGCTCCTCTCTTTTGTCTTGGGGATACCATAGGGACGCATCAGAACGGCATTTAGGGCTCACATATGAAAGGAAAGGTCAGGAGGGGGTCGGCTTGGCGGAAGCTCGGGAGGAAGCAACGATTTTCGACTGTCAAGGGATGGCGAGCCACATTGTCGTTTAGACCTAGGAATCACTACATAGCATTGGGCAAGGGGCGTTTCGGGTCATTTTGGTTAGGTCTTGGTCTCCCGTATTCGGGAGCTGGGGAAGGCTATGCATCCCTCGGTGGAATCTTGCGACTCAAAGGCAAGCATAAAGGGCAAGGAGCAGGAAGAGCAATCATCATACTGAAGCATATATAGCATGGATGTATCAATAGCGCCTAGTAGATGAAGACGCCAGGAAACCCAGGGAAATCCCCTATCTCGATTATTTACAGGCTCATTTAAGCCTTCACCACTCTAGTCCTTCCCAGTTGTTTCCCTATCTATTGCCTCTATTTCCAAGTATATCTTTGGTATAGAGGGTATAAATGATCCAGCTGGTGTATACATTGATGAGTCGGATGGATACGACCATTGGACTACATGCCTATACGACATGCGTAACAAATAAAGAAAACGCCAGCAAAGTATAGGGATCTAGAAATAAAAAGAAATAAAAAGAAAAAGAGACACTCAGGTAGAACCGATGAGTGTACCCCTACTTCTCTTCCAGAAACCGTACAAAGGCCTTTGCGATGGTGACGCCGTCATGGGCATTGGATACTCTTCTCATAGCATCGTCGTAGAGTTCGTCCGTGAAGACGCCGTCGCCATGCCTCCTCTCGAGATCTCGCGGACGATGTCCTCGGTAAATTCGGGGTGACCCTGGACGGAGAAGTAGCGGCGCGGGGCGTACATGGCCTGGACGGCGCAGATGTCGGTCGAGCCGAGGGGAACAGCGTCGGAGGGAAAGGTGCACACTTGGTCGCGATGCATCTGCTGGATATTCTACGAGGGGCGCGGAGGGGTGCGGATGGGGTCGCCTCGCGTGTGAGCGGTTTGCACTTAAAAAAACACTGGATAGATGGATGTGCACGTAGATATGTGCACGGACTCGTGGACGTTTGCAAAAGAAACAAAAAGAAAGGGACATACCATCTTTTCCAGACCGAATATCTTTTTGCCCTCGTCAGTCAAGTCGACCTCGGTGACGGCGACCTCCCATCCGCGGTCATTCTTGGCGACGCCGGCGTCGAGGGCGCGGCCGACGATTTGGTGGCCGAAGCAGATGCCGACGACGCGGACGCGGCGCGAGTCGAGAGCTTTGCGAGTGTAGTCTGTGAGGGCGAGAATCCACTCGTCGTCGAGGTAGGCCGAGTGCTTGGAGCCGGTGATGAGGATGGCGTCGACGTCGTCGAGGGCGGGGTAGGCGGCGGGTCGTCGACGACGTGGTGGCGGGAGATGGCGAAGCGGGAGGCGACGGGGTCCGGGTGGGTGGCGGAGGCGAGGAGGGATGTGAAGAGGCCGGTGTAGTGGCCGTAGCGGGCGACGGTCTTGGGTTGGGGGTGTCGGCTTCGAGGATGGCGAGGCGGATGGGGGCCATGTTTGGGGATATCTTGTGCCCGTGGGAGTGCCGAGCGCGCTGGTATGGCCGTCTGTCTGCTTCCTTTAGAGTCTTGGGTGTGCCGGAACTGGGTGGGCAAGCGAGGAATAGTAGTGGAGGGGGGCTAAACCTTGAAAATTGAGAGGATTATTTAGTGTAGACAGATAGATACAGGTAAATACAGAGAGAGGGAGAGAAAGCGCAAGACTAGAAGGAGCCTTCGTGGTGGCATCGCATCAACGTTGGTTGCTTGATTAGATAGCAGGCGCATTGATGGTGGGGTTCGTTGCTAACCCCACCAAAGATGAAGACACTGACACTTGACACCCTGATCTCACGGAGGGCACGCCACTCTGATTCTGGGTTGTAAATCATTTTCTATCGATACGAGGGGTTCCTTGTCCTTGTCAGCGGGCTTTTACTAGCTAAGTAAACTAAGACGCCTAGAATCAGACAAGACTCGGGCGGAAGCTAGGCAAAGCTAACTGCGACGGGACGAGATGACTGTCTTTGAGTGTTTTAGCTCAAAATGTGACTAGGATTGTGGGTGTGCATGCTGTGCGTGCTGTGCGCTGGATAATAGATCTCTCCGTGGATCAGATCAATCCAATCAATGGATCAACACTTGAGTAGTAGAAATTAGAAAAATAGACCCCATCGATGCTATTCTAGCTGGAGAGTGGCCGTAAGGCTGTCAGTCAGAAGGAGGGGTTTTAGGTCCCCGAGGAAAAAAAAAAAAAGAAAAAACAAGTCAATGATGTAAGGTGCAAGCTTGAACAATCCAACTCCAACATCTCCACTCGTCGAAGAGTAGTCACCACACAATCTTATCCTCTCTCTTAACTCAGCTCACACTAGATTCTCATTCTCATTCCCTCATAATTGCTCCGACCTTCGTTTAAACCCCTTCCTGCTATCCTATTCTGTTCTTTCGTGCTCTTTCTCTCACTCTTGCATTCCTCAACCCCACCTTGTGCTTCCCGAAAGATGCCTCCGAGACCCAACCTGCGATCCTTCTTATCGCTCGCCCGTGCCAAGCTTTCGGCACCCCGAGCCAGCGGGATCTGCCACTAAGCTTCGTCGCGGGTAACGAATCTGCCGGTACGTAGCTGTGAACGCCCAGTCCGGCTTCAATTTTACTATGCTCCAACCCTCCCCTTGTGCCTTGTGCCTTGCGCCTCGCGCCTCGCGCCGTGCACCGTCGAACCTCTCGCTTATACACCCAACCACTTCGGCCGCCCTTGCCCCCGCGCGCAGATCTCGATTCCCTCTGCTCCGCCGTCATCTTTGCCTACCTTCGTTCCACGGCAAACGGCGGTGCCCAGCCGCAGAGCGTGCACATCCCCATCTCGAACCTGCCCCGGGATGAGCTCCCCTGCGCTCCGAGATGACGGCTGTGCTGGCCCGCGTTGGGCTCGAGCCCCGCGACCTGCTCACCCTCGACGACCTGCCGGGCGCTCCCTCCGCCCCGGCCGCCGAAGACACGAGGTGGTACCTCGTCGACCACAACAACCCCACCGGCGTGATTAGGGAGCGCTACGGTGCCCGCGTGGTCGGGTGTCTCGACCACCACGTCGACGAGCAGTACGTTCCCCGCGACAGCCAGCCCCGCGTCATCGAGACGTGCGGGAGCTGCGTCAGCCTCGTCGTCGAGCACTGCCGCGACGCCTGGGACGCCCTGGCCCGCGAGGCCGACGGGTCCAGGGATGCCGCCGACGCCGACAAAGCCATGGCCCTCATGGCCCTCGGCGTCATCTTCTCCGACACCGTCAACCTGCGGGCCAAGGACAAGGTCACCCCGCGCGACGTCAGCGCCGTCGAGTACCTCGAGGCGAAGCTGGACGGCACCGGCTACGACAGGGACGAGTACTGCACCGAGATCGACAGGGTCAAGCGGGACCTCGACGGCCTCTCGCTGCGCGACATCCTCCGCAAGGACTACAAGGAGTGGGTCGAGAACGGCCTGCGCCTGGGCACCTGCAGCGTCGTGCAAAACATCGACTATCTCGTGTCCAGGGCCGGCTCCCGCGACGCTCTCCTCCAGGCCCTGCGCGCGTGGGCCGATGAGAAGCATCTCGACCTCGTGTCCGTCATGACCCTCGTCATCCACGACGGCGACGGCGGCTACGAGAGGCAGGTCGGCCTCTGGGCCCTGAATCAAAGGGGTGCCGAGGCGGCGCGGCGGTTCGAGGAGGCGTCTGCCGCGGACCTCAAGCTCGGTCCCTTTCAGGATGGCCTGCTGGACGTCGACTCTGAAGATCACTGGGGTAGGGCCTGGGAGCAGGGGAACCTGAAGAACACCCGAAAGCAGATTGCGCCTATGATTCGCGAAGCTATGAAGGCTACAGGATCTTCGTAGTTTGGGATTCTTATTCGCACTTGAGGTGCCATGGTATAAGTCGGGGCCTCGTGCAAGGGATGGAGCCTGTTGCTTTACCTTTCCTCAGGGCCAGGGCCAAGGTAGGCTTTAGAGTCAAACAATGATCTTATTTAACGTGAGTGAGGTGCTAAAGCTTTTCCCCCAAAGTTCGACATTATTCTTTTTGTACTTCCTATGTAGCGTACATCCACCGTAATATGCGAATATTATACAAAAAGAAAACCTCCACTGTTGTCTACAACGCCCTGTCTTAACAATACAAGCGTGCGTTCCTAACTATACAAGAATCCATTCCATGCATCTTACAAGCTTTAACCCCTGGGCCAAGTTATTTCCTCGCCAATCGCAAATTGTAAATCATCGTGACAAATTCCTCGTCGTCTTGCCGTTGGCCCATGTAAGAATGGGTGGACCCCTGGTCTTTGTCTTGTTCAATCCGGGCCGCCGCCTCGATGGCCTCGGGGTCGACGTGCGAGATGCACTCAAGTACGGCCTTGTAAATGCGGTCCCCAGGAAAGATGGGTCGCGACTCGCGCGACATGGTGTGAATCCCCGTTCGCAAGGCTTCTTTGCATGCAGGCACATTCCTGGTCGCCGCGACGGCCTCAAACATGTCGGCGTACAGCGCCTCCGTCCGAGGACGACCCGATTGCGGCGCAAGCTCCCACACGCTCCAGAACCGGTCCCAGTCCCTCAGAGAGGCGTACGCTCGGAGAAGCCGCGCAAGCTGGGTGTCGGTGGGGCAAGGAGCCGTGCGATGACCATGAGGTCTTCTAGACTTTTGTGCACCCGGGCGAGAAGGGGGTTCTTGGAGCCGGAGACGGCGATGGACTCGATTACGGTTACGATGACTTCGTTGTTTAGCAAATCTTCCTGGCGCTCGGACAGGGTCCTCAATACATCGTCGACGAGACTTACTTGCTCCTCAGCACGAGCTTTGCCAATGTGAGGTGAGAATATAGAGTGCAGCAGCGTCGGGTATTGCGCCGCAGAGGCGCCGCCGTCCGCGTTGAGCTGGTACGACAATATCCGGCGGCGTACCTCATTCAGGATGCCAGAGGATGGAAGATCGGCGGCGGAAGAGCCGTTGCCGGGCTGGGACCCGCGCTGAGCGGCGCCCGTGGTATAGGATCGTTTCTGGCCCGGTAGCGACTGCGACGGGTGCCGCCTTGGGGACCCGGCGCTCCTGGAGGGGCGGCCGTAAACGTCTCATGCTGCCTCTTGTTGCGCGCCAGACTCTCCACCCACAGTTTCTCGAGATTGAGCTCCGCGCGACGTGCCTCGGTCATGACCTGCACCACGATGGTGCAGCCTGTCCCGGCGGCGGTGTTCCCGAAACCAGAGAGCTTGCCCGACTCGTCGAACCGCGCGGCCTCGTCGACCTCGGCGCCGATGGTGCCCAGGTTCACGCAGATCCAGCCCGTGGTCAGGCCGTCGTCGCCGCCGGGCTTCGCGGTCGTGCTCGTCCCCAGGAGCTTGGCCTTGCGGCGGATGCGGCGGAGCTTGGTCTTGAGCTCGCCGGGGCCGAGGAGGCCGTCCGCTTCCGCCTCGAGCTTGTAGTTGTACCGCAGCCAGCGCACGAAGCGGCCGGATGCGACGTGCAGGTGCCTCTCGCTGCGGGCGGTGCCGAAGAGCATCAGCAGGTTTTGGCCGATGGCGGGCGGGGGTCGAAGGCGCGCAGGTCCAAGAGGTTTAGGTCGTCGAGGCCCATTTCTTCGTACACGTACTTCATCAGGGGTCCTAGAAGTTCGGGGCTGTCTTCGGGTAAGGGAGGTAGGGGGCGGCTTCTTGCACGGGGGCGGCTCGGCGGTTCGACTTCGAGATACCACGGCATCTCGGGAGCGTCTTGAGGCGGGGAGGTGGTGGTGGAGGAGGACGCATTGACGCTGGTGGAGGGGTTATCGTCCAGGTTCTCGATGGGAGCATCTTTATCTTTGGCAATATCGCTCCTCTTCGGAAGAGAGTACGTTAGGGATCGGGTCGGTGCTGTGAGATGGGAAACCTGTGCTTGGTACTGGCGGCTCGCGAATCGAGCTGAGGCACGTGTGGCGCTTTTGAAAGCTATCTGCGTTTGCAGAGAGCCTACCGAGGCGAGGGTGGGTCGATTCGCCATTGTGAACCAGGCGTAGGGTAGAATTGACGTTGAAGGGGTTGTCGAGATGATGTCTAAATCTTTTCTCGGCTTCCTGTTTTTTCTGTTTGGGATTTGCTTTGGTTCTGGCTTTGGTTCGTTCCTCTCATGCTTAGCTCCCGAGTGGAGCAGAAAAGTCAGTGCATAGAAATTGATCCAAGGTCTTTCTCTGGCTCGCCGCTAATAGACGGGAAGGGAGCCGACGCCTGTGATCTGAGGGAAAATTGTAAAAGGAAGGAGCTCTGGGACCCACTCGCAGCTGCCAGGTGTGGATCCGACGGAGCTGTCTCCACGTGATGAGCAGCGAATGAGAGGATTGGAATTGTTCTCCATCCAATGGTTTGGAGGGAAAATTTTTGGGATTGGCTCCCTCGACCCTTTTCCTGCGGCGAGATTTGGTTCAATGTTCTTTCGCCTCTGGAACGAACTTTTCCGCGACTTCTGGAAATCTTCAAGGGGGAAATCTTCTCACGCAACCCATCCACCACCCTCATCCTCTCCATCACCGTCCTTTTTCATAACGCTCATTGAGAGGGAACTACCTTTCCTTTTTCTTCTTCTGCCTAGCCATGTTCTTTTCATAATTATTTATTTTTCCTGTTTGCCTAATTTGCGATCTTCATCGCTTTCTAATTGCCTGCCTCGTCGCGTCTCTTGATCCCTGATCGCGTGAGCCATCATGCTTCTCCGCCGCGGCCCTCGGGCGTCCCTCAACAGGCTTCGGAGCCCCGATACCCATCTCTCCCAAGCGCGAGACTATCATCAACAGTATACCACACACTCGGTCGCGCTAGGACTGCTCTGCCGGCGAAACAAGATGGGCAGTCCTGAACTCCCCAGCAATGGCTCGAGAAGCCTCGCGACCGCCGTTGACGGTGGCCTCTTCACGCGTGGGCCCTTCGACCCGATCCCTTCACCCTCACACACATCCGCCTCGTCATTTGATGCGCCCCTTGCCAGTGCTCCCTACTACGAACTACGTCCCTTTGACGTTTCTGAAGCCCTTCGACTCGATGACCCTACTCCTACGATACCAAGGCTGCGGATGAACCGGCAAGGCATCTCTGGCGATGTTGAAGAACTCATCGCCGTATTCAACGCCTGTCTTCAAGTACAGAAGCTTGACCGAGCCCAGCTGGTACTCAAGCGCCTAGGCCAGTTCGACGAATATCCCAAAGAGCAACTCGTCATGCTGCACAACATGTACTTGGGAACCTCGCTCGACCAGATGCGTTTCAGCCCCGACCAAACCGCTCTCGAAGAGCTACACAAGTGGTACGAACTGGAGATTCGCCGCCCTGGTCTGCCTCAAACGGCCGAGACCATTGCCTGCATGCTCAAGATTTCCATTTTATCGCAACGAGGCCCTAGGCTGAGCCGGTCCGTTTCTCGCTACATGGGAATGGCCCCGGGCGAGGCTGGACTCGAAGTCCTCTCCATGGCAGACATTCTTTCCGACCAAGATCTTGCTGTGATTACCGAGATCTGCCCTACCTATAACCTTGTCACCGAAGAGGAGGCAGTCTCCGCATTACCCTCATCGGATACCACCGAATCCGTTTCTCCTCCTACCGAACCCCTCAGCGAGATGCCCAAAGTTATGCCCACCCCCAAAAGGGCCTTAGTTTGAAACTTGTGCAGCAGACCCTCTCCCTTTTGACGAAATCCCCAGGGCTGCGACATTTCCTCACTCTCTGAACGAGCGCCGTGAAATCCAGAGCCGGCTCGAGCGTGACTGTATCGATGCGGCCGTTCAAAGGTGGAGGGAGGAGCACGAGGCCATGCAGAAGATGGGCGTGACGTCGATGATTACCGCCGAAAGCCTAGGCTCTCGCATGTATGACTGGCAGTGTGCTTTGGAGGATAGGCTCAAGGACGAACTTGACAAGATCGAGATCGCCGAAACTAAGACGGAAAGGAAGCGGGAAGAGGACTTTGATAGGTGCCTCTACGGCCCTTTTCTGCGGCAGTCTACGCCAGCCCGACTCGCTGCCGTGACCATCTTGGCCACCCTTAACGCGGTGTCCATCATGGGTGTCGAAAAGGGCGCGAAGCTTGCGGCGACGATCAACGGCATCGCCAAGCTTGTCGAGGAGGATATTCGCGAACAGGTGACGATGAAATCGAAGCCTTCCCAACGCCATGCGAAGCACTTGCGCCGCGTCCAGGCCGCCTTCCGCGATCCCGAAGTAACAATCGATGCCGCGAGCCCCGAGGCCCCCGAAGCAATCATCTCACCTACTCCCGTGGGCGCCGAGGTCCCTAGCGAAAGTCGTGGCCCACCTCGATCCGGGCCAAGGTCGGTGCGGCTCTCTTGTCCGCCCTCATCGATACCGCCAAGATCAAGGTGTTCCGCAAGCACCCCGAAACCAAGGAAACCATCAGCCAGTATCAACGCGCCTTCCACCACACCAAGAAGCTCAGCAAGGGAAAGAAGGTCGGCATGCTCTTTGTGCACGACGACCTCGTTGCTCTCCTCCAAAAGGAGCCCAAGGGCAACTTCCTTGCCAAGCACTTGCCCATGGTCGTGGAGCCAGAACCTTGGTCGAAATTTCTCAAGGGCGCTTTCTTGGAAACTTCGGCCAACCTTGTCCGCCTCAAGCTGGGCGAAAAGGATCAGCGCATGTACACAGAGGCCGCCATGTCCCGAGGTGACCTAGACCAGATGCTCAAGGGTCTCGATGTTTTGGGAAAGACGGCTTGGAGGATCAACAATCCTGTCCTCAACGTCATGCTCGAGGCCTGGAACAAGGGCGACGAGATTGCGAGCATCCCGGCTCTTGAGCCCGATATCCCATCCCCACCCGAACCCGAGGGAGATGACCGCCAGGCCCGTAGCGCGTGGCACCGAGCCGTTGTAGCTGCCGAGAACAAGAAGTCCGGTTTCCATTCCGTTCGGTGCTTTACCAATCTGCAGCTCGAGGTCGCTCGTGCTTACAGGAACCAAACCTTCTACTTCCCCCACAACATCGATTTCCGAGGCCGTGCCTATCCCCTACCCACTTACCTCAATCACATGGGCGCTGACCACGTCCGTGGCCTTCTCCGCTTCGGCACGGGCAAAGCGCTAGGCGACGCCGGCTTGCGGTGGCTCAAGATCCACACTGCCAACGTGTACGGCTTCAGCAAAGCGAGCTTGGACGAGCGCGAGGCTTTCACCGACGAGAACCTGAGGAACATCCTGGACTCGGCCGCGAATCCTCTCAACGGCTCCCGCTGGTGGCTCGAAGCCGAAGATCCTTGGCAATGTCTTGCCGCTTGCTTCGAGCTCAAGGCCGCCCTCGAGTCCCCCGACCCGAAGCAGTTCGTCTCGACCCTCCCCGTGCACCAGGACGGCACGTGCAATGGCTTGCAGCACTACGCCGCCCTTGGCGGTGATACCTGGGGTGCGCAACAGGTTAACCTCGAACCCGGCGAGCGACCGGCCGATGTCTACTCGGCCGTCGCCACTCTCGTCATTGACTTAATTGAGAAGGACTGCGAGCAAGACAACCCCTTTGCCAAGGCGGTCCAAGGAAAGATCACCCGCAAGGTCGTCAAGCAGACCGTCATGACGAATGTCTACGGCGTCACTTTTGCCGGCGCGAAGAAGCAAGTCTGCAAGCAGTTGGATGCCGCATATCCCACTCTTGAGGAGGAGAGCGGCTTCCCTGCCATCTTACTCGCTAGCTACATTGCCCACCATATCTTCAAGGCCATGTCTACCATGTTCAAGGGAGCCCACGAGATCCAAACGTGGCTTGGAGAGGTCGGCGGGCGGGTGTGCAACTCGCTGGTGCCCGAGCAGCTCGAGCGTATTGCAGGCGATGAAGATTCTGCTCAAGCCTCCAACAAGGCGCGATCGCGGGGCCGGAAAACGGCCCGTTCAGGTCTCGAGGAGCTCACCGACCGCTTCAAGAACACCATTGTCTGGACAACTCCCCTCCGGATGCCCGTCGCCCAGCCCTACCGGAAGAGCGCCACGCGCGTCATTCCCACCTGTATCCAAGACCTTTCCCTTACCATTCCCGACCTCGCCGACCCGGTCAACCGCCGGAAGCAGCTACAGGCCTTCCCCCAACTTTATCCACTCCCTTGACGCCTCGCACATGATGCTCTCTGCTCTTCAGTGCAGCGAAGAGGGGCTCTCGTTCGCCGCCGTCCACGATTCCTTCTGGACGCATGCCGCGGATGTTAATTCCATGAACTCGATCCTGCGCGACTCCTTTGTGCGCATTCACACCGAGGACGTCATTGGGCGCCTCAATGCCGAATTCGAGGCCAGGTACAAGGGCTCCGTGTACCTTGCCAAGATTCGCCAGAGCTCAGAGCTCGGTAAGAAGCTTGTGCAATGGCGCAAGAAGACGCGCAAGTCGGCCAAGGACGAGCTTATTCTTGAGCACCAGCGCCAAAGCTCCTCGCCTCCTCCGATCCCGCAGAGGTCGAGCAGGGTAAGGCTATGGTCACCGCCGGTAGCATCTTTGAAGAATTCTCGGCGACAGAGTCGGACGCCCTAATGCCCCTCGAGGGTGCCGAAGAAGTTGGCCTCGGCAGGATCACGGACACCGAGGTTGAAGACGTGCTTGCGGACGGAGACGAGGCCAGCGTCGAACCTATCGAAGCGGCCGAGTCGGAGGAGAACTCATCCGAATGGGTTGACCGCGTCTTGCACAGCATGAAGAAGCCGCATTTTGGGATGTCGGAGGAACCCAAGAAGCGAAAGGTGGCGCCCAAGACTATCCAGGTCTGGCTGCCCCTGACTTTCCCTCCGGTCCCCGAAAAGGTATGTTCGAATCCATCGCCCACTTGGTTTTCCGAGGCTTGTCTGCCCATTAACCGACTTGTAATACTAACAATTTCTTTTCCTTCTAGGGCGATTTTGATGTACGAAAGCTCAAATCGAGCCAGTATTTCTTCTCTTGATGCATTCACCAGTCGTATCATTTTTGTGTACTTGAAAAAAGTGTGGCGGTAGGCGTTCTTTTTGGATAGCATGTCTTGTTACCACAGGCCTTTCATTCTTTTCTTACTTTTTCTTCCCCCACATATATTTTCTCTCCTTGTCTTGGATCTCACTTTTTCGCTCTGGCATATTGTATCAAAATTCATGTACTCTACTTTTATAGACATAGCGGGGGTGGGAGCAGGAGGATGACATCTTAGACGAAGCGCGCTGACATGATGGCGAGCGCGGGCCATAAAAGTGTTAAAAAAGAAGACGGAATGTACGATGGCGATCACTTGATTCCCTCTTCCAGGATGATTTTTAATCCTGTATACTGAACTCTTATCATATCAATACATCCACTATAGATGTTTTTACCTTTGTTGATGATACCTATTACCGTGCTAATGTCGTGTCGGTCTCTTGACGTCTTTGTCACTCTGAGGCGGGAGCTAAAACTTGGTCCATCGAGGTGCAATATTAGTCAAGCGTGAGCAATGGGAGAAACAAAAGAGTAATATAGCGCCAGTCTAAAGAGACGAATATGGGTATTAGCACATCTGACGAGTAACCCAAGGGTTCCGTGAACCTCATGCTCCAAATGAAATCTAATCCTATTATGCCCAGAGCCTCCCATGCGCCATCCCTCACCCATACCAAGACCAGCCAACGAAGCTGATCAGGGTTTCTTGACTTCCGCAGCATCCTGTGAGGCTGCTGTATCCCGGATTCCGTCGGCAGCAGTCTCGATGACCCTGAAACCGCTCGAGTTGCCATCGCCCTTGGCGGCCTTGGCGTATGCTTCATCGCTCCTATAGTTTAAGTTAGTATAATGGTGGGGAAGGAAATGTGGGTGTATGCAAGGGTAGTACGTGCCTGTCGAGCAGAACTTGCAAGTCTTTGTCACTGAGGATCTCCTCCGAGCCCGAGTGCTTGTACACCTTTCCATCCTTCAGCAGCAGAGCGCGGAGTGTCTCCCGATCAAAGTCACTCAAGTCGTCGGTAATCTTCCGACCCATAGTTTTAAGCGTGCCCTTGCGGATGACAAGTTTTTCCAGCCTTCGCTTAGCCTGCGCGCTCGACAATAGATCCTCCTCCACGGTACCTTTAGTAGCGAGGCGGTATATGATGACGGGTCTGGTCTGTCCGATTCGATGACACCGATCCTGGGCTTGGAGATCTTGCTGAGGGTTCCAATCACTGAATCAATTTTGGCATATGGTTAGCACAATGCGAATTTCAAGAATAGCGCATGCCGAAACGGAGCGGGAGAGGGATCCTTGTACCTATCAAAGAGAACAACGGTATCTGCAGCCATAAGATTGATACCCTGCCCACCCGCTCTAGTCGAGAGAAGGAAAATCCGGGTTTTCTTGTCGGTGTTGAACTGCTTAATCATGGCCCGCCGGTCTTCCTGCGCGACAGAGCCATCGAGGCGGCAACAAGTCCACTCGCGAAGGTTACAATAGTCTTCTAGGATGTCGAGCTGAGTCTTGAACTGCGAGAATATCAAGACCTTGGAGTCCTTTTGAACAACTCCGGAAGTAGGCGGTCGAGTAGCAACATCTTGCCGGATTTGGTCACCACTGTTTCGTCCACTGGCTCGCTACCATAGGTCCAGGGATTGTAGAAGTTGTGCGGGCTGTTGCACACGAGCCGAAGCTGCATGATGGGGTTCCCTAGCTTCTTCTTGGCCAATTCTTTCTCTGTTTGTGGAAAACACGACAATTAGTCTCTACCGCCTCCGGGCCATGAGCGGGATGACGAAAATGACTAGCGGTAAACTTACTAGCGATATCGAATGAGTTGGCGAGAGCAAAGTCCGTCGCTGACTGCTTCTCCTCCAGCTTGATTAACTCTTGGTTCTCGTATTCCGAGACAAGACGAGCCTCGAATTCGTCATCATCAATTTGATCCTCGTCAACGTCGGCAAACGCGTCTGCCTTGGCTGCTGTCCGGACACGACCACTGCGGCGGCCCGATGCAGGGTGCCTTCCCTGCTCGATCGAGAGCTCTTAGGCTCCGGGACCTCGAGAACAGGTGGCACTTTTCTCTTTCCCTTGGAGGCCGGTGTCTGTTTTGTGTCGGTTACCTCTTCAGCTACCTTGGCGGGCGGGGCGGCAGCTTTCCTCTTGCCCTTGGGTTCAGCTGCGCCCTTTTTACCCATCATTAGCGCGAAAGCATTGGTAGCCGCTGGTTTAACGGCCGCGGGGGCGATGAGGTCTTGTTCTTTCGAGGCGATAAGCGGACGGGAAGCTTATTTCCGGTGCCAGGGGTGGCAACCATCACGCCCGCCACAGCTGGTGTTGCGCTTCCATGTCGCGAAGGCTGCGGTGTAAGCAGGCCCGTAGATGACTGGGACACAGACCTCTCGTTTATGCCTTTGGCAACCATGTCGTGCAGGAACTCGCGGGTATCAACACTCTTATCACTAATGGCCTTGTAGAGGTCGGTCTGTTCTTTGGTCAGTGGCGCGTAGAGGATATACTCGCGCTTCTGAGGTAGGTAGCTTGCTACGTCGGCCTTGACGCGGCGAAGCATCAAGGGCTGCAAGACGATGTGGATTTTACGCATCAATTCCTGTTTCTCTTCATCTGAGATGAAATTCTGCGTCTCCTCCTCGTCCTCCAGCCCGGTAAAGTCGAAATAAGAATCAAATGCCTCCCAATCCTTGAAGACTGACGGCAGGAGGAAATGAAGTAGAGACCAGAGTTCCTTCATCTCATTCTGTAAAGGAGTACCTGTGATTAGAAATCGTGTGGCTGAGGAGAACACCTTGAGTTCTTGGTAAAGCCTCGCATCGGAATTCTTCATACAGTGGCCCTCATCCTATTACATGAGCCATTAGTATCAAGGCAACAAGAGCCTGGTGTGAATGAACGAAAGGCTTTCGAGGACTTACAATAATGATGAACTCCCAGCCGACGCGAGACAAGGTGGCACGGTCTCGAAGGACAATTTGAGGGCTTGTCAGGACGACGGGAAATTTGTTCGTAGCACGCGAATCCTTATAATGTCGCATGATCTTGGTCTGCCAGATATTCTCCCTCTCAGCTGGCGTTCCGTGATATACAACGGCAGGAACAGTGGGAGTCCACCGATGAAACTCGTCGATCCAGTTAGACAAGGTGCTCAAGGGTGCGACAATGAGAAACGGGCCGTAGAATTCGTCAAGCTCTCTGAGGGAAGCAACAAGAGAGATAGTTTGCACCGTCTTGCCTATAGTGAAGATGGTTAGCGGGACGGCATCTCACAAGATAGTACATTTTATGAGAGGGGGAAAAACGGAGAAAGATCAAAAAGGAGTAGAAGGAAAGAGATAAGTAGTGATTGGAGTCTTCATACCTAATCCCATTTCGTCGGCAAGGATACCGCTCAGCCCTTGGATGGCAATCTCGCGCATCCAGGTCAAACCTTCCAACTGATAGTCGCGCATAGTACCGCCAACCATACACTTAGGTTGTTGCGCGAGCTCCAGATTATGTTCGCCCAGGGTGGTACCATCCATTGATGTGCCCATGCGGCCTAGGGCTCGCGTCTTTCCGGTAATGATGTCGCTAAAAGCTGCGGTCTGCTTAAGAAGACCTTCGAGCTCGCGAGCCTTTTGCTGCTTTTCCGCGGGCGTAAGAATGCGCCTCTTCTTGCGTTGGTTCTTGGCCCTGGCGGCGGCACGCCGTTTGGCATAATCCTTCTCGTACTCGGCGGAGGCCGTCGCCTCAGCGGTCACGAGTTTGCTCTCCATCTTTGGCTGCAATGCAAGGTCAAGACCGGGCGGGGATGAGGGGGCGTATCCCGGCCTGGGGAAGAGGAGAATATGGAATCGTTCGGTAACAAAGCAGTCGAGCCAGACATGTCAGGGACGAGAGGATTCCCATGGAGGCAGTGGGAAGCGCAATGCGTGGGTGAGTGAAGCAGTTACGAGTAAAATTGAGGAGTAGGCACGATCAAAACCTGAAGCAATCGAGAAAAAGAAGAAAGAAAAGAAAAAAAAGCCAATTGAGCCAAAAGAAGGAGCACGAAAGATTGGCCAATTCCTGCTAGTGTGAAAATCAAACGGCGACTATAGTTTGCGAGGCGAATTTACCGGAGCAGACGGGGATCGAATTTGGTACGGAATAGTTCACGGCAGGCGCGTCGCACTCGCGTGGTGTATCGGTGGAAAGTGAAAGCTTTACGCGTGGCGAATTGGCGTCATGGTGCGAGGTCACGTTTTCTTGACCTGACAGAACTGGACTGGCTGGCCACCATGCAGCAAAAAGCATAGTGCTTGAATCTTTTAATGGGGTATTCAACTATGCAGCTTAATGCGTCTATGAAGGTTCTGCCCCGCCTGCCACCCCCGCCATCCACATCCATGACTGGTGACTCTCTTGAAAAGAATTTGGGAGCACGGTGGCTTTGAGATTTTCCCCTAGCCAGTTAAGCTTCACTATCTTGGGCAACACAAACATCTTCCGTCAAATTCCTTATACTCTACACGCAACCGACAAGCTGTTTCCCTCAGAGTCATCCGTCCCTCAGTCCGGGCGCTCTCCCCTTTCGACGACACATCAACATGGCTGCCATTTCGTCCCAGACCTATACTCCCGAGGAGGAGACCGAGATCAAGCAGTGGCTCACCACCTCTGATCGATTGAAGTCCGGAACCGATGATAAGCGATCCATTCTCGATTCTCTCGACGCCCACCTTTCCAGCCGCACCACCCTCCTCGGCACCAAGCCCAGCAAGGCCGATGTCGCCCTCTACGAGACCCTCGCCCCCGTAGTTGCCCAATGGTCGCCTGATGAGCGCACGGGCAAGGGTGGCCACCCCAACATTGTCCGACTCGTAGATTTCGTTCAAAACTCCTCCCTCTTCGGTCTCGACGTCAAGGCCGAGAACAAGATCAAGGTCGACCTCGACGACGTGCGCTACGTCAAGTCCCCGAGGATCTCAAGGCCGAGAAGGAGCGCTTGAAGAAGGAGAAGGCCGCCGCTGCTGGCGGAAATGAGGCCGAGCTTGTCGACAGGACCAAGAAGGAGGGTGCTGCGGCGGCCAAGGAGGGTGACGAGGGCAAGGGTGCCGCCAAGCCCAAGAAGGAGAAGAAGGAGAAGCAGCCCAAGCCGCAAAGGCCCCCGCCGCGCCTGCCGTTCTGTCTCCCTGCCTCATCGATCTCCGAGTCGGCCACATCCTCAAGGCTGTCAAGCACCCCGAGGCCGATTCTCTCTACGTCTCTACTATCGCCATGGGCGACCCCGCGGGCACTGCCGACACCGAGGAGTTCGAGGGCCAGGTTTGCCGAACCGTGTGCTCGGGCCTCAACGGCTTGGTGCCCCTGGAGGACATGCAGCAGCGCAAGGTTGTTGTGGTGTGCAACCTCAAGCCCGTAAAAATGCGAGGCATCAAGTCGTGCGCCATGGTGCTCGCCGCCTCCCTAAGCTAAAGGAGGGCGAGGTAGACGACCACAAGGGTCCGGTTGAGCTGGTCAACCCCCGCGGACGCCAAGGCTGGAGAAAGGGTCTTCTTCGAGGGTTGGCAAGGCGAGCCCGAGGGCGTCCTAAACCCCAAGAAGAAGGTCTGGGAGACTTTCCAGCCTGGCTTCACCACGACTGACGGTCTCGAGGTAGCCTTTAACGCTTCCACAGTAGAAGCTCTCGGCAAGAAGGACGTTGGAAAGCTGGTGACGGTGGGTGGCGGTGTATGCACCGTTCCCACGCTAAAGGATGCCCAGGTTCGATAAGTGGAACTATAGATATATAGATATATGCTGATATTTATATGCCCCGTTGTCACTCTCTACCGCCACCACGGCGTCTGGCCTATATCGGGGTCTGTAGTGGGGATGGAAGCCAAAAAGGAACCGCTTTCAAATGCAAATAAAAGAACGGAGGTGGAAACCGTTCATCTCTATAGCTCCCCATTGGTGCTCCAGACATTCTACTTTGCTCATAGACGTATTGTGATAACACCCGGAATGCTTAACGGCTCTTATGGAGTAATTTCGGGTAGCGGATGCACAGTCTTTGTAATCTTGGGCCCAGACCTTGTTTGGGTGGCGCTGCACAGGGCCGTACTATATACCGTCGTCGTATCCTTACAGGGTTCATCAGGGTCGCAGGGAGAACACGGTGGGCGAACCGTTTTGGTTACGGGACAGCAGTCATCGCTAGTAGAGATCAATGACCTCAGTGTCAGTCGCAGAAAACAAGTGCAAGGGCACGGAGAAGCAAAGAGAGATTCCATACTGGCAGGGGATAGTCACAGTTACTCGTTGAATGGTCATGGCGCACACTATACCCGGCGGTATCGGACAGCGGCAGAGACCGTGATCTACCACCAACCCAGCCCATCGATCAGTCAGCGAACTTATATACATGGATCCATTGGATTGATAGATGCACCACGTCCGGTCATACACGACAGCCTTGAAAGTACCGCTGACACCATTGTGCTTGACATACCACCTATCTCTGTGTGTGTGTAGCAGTCCTGCTGCGCGGCTGACCAGGTCGTATCGGCGATTGGGTCCACGTATACAGTCATGCACGCTTCAGGTACGATCTTGGGGTCCCTGGTCTCGGGAGCGTCCGTGATTTGGGGTTGCGGTGCGGCCCCGCTGAAATGCGTGCCCGGAAGCCACCGTTAGTCTCGGATCACTCTTAGACCTCCATGCTCGCGCTCGCCATACGACTCGGAGGGCCTCATTTAATGTGGAACGGGCAAATGGGTAAGGCCAGGGACATACCAGGCCAACACAAGCGCGGCAATGATGAGGATTCCGTGATGCATCTTTGGTATCTTTTACTTTGCGACACCAGTTGGTCTTGGTTTGTCTTCTGAAGGTGAAGGCTGCTTGCGATGCTGAACGAGGATGCAAAGGACCATTCTCTCGCTCTCCCACGAAGCCGGGGCCAAACCTATCTTAAATACTTAAACTACCTTGGTAAGTGATCTCTGTCCAAGCCATCTTGAGCCATATCAACAGGCATTGACGGAAGTGCTACGCCGTACAAAGTGAGGGAAAATAGAACAAAATATTATTCAATACTCTGGGCAGGTGAGAAGATCTCTTTCAGTATCGTTACCACACGGTAGCGTTCTACACCAGGGCATAGAAGTTCCCAAGAGCGAGAACGATCAAGAACAGCGAGGGAAAGGAATTAAGACGAGCATATTGCATCTGCTTCCAACCAACATCAACCAACTGCAGCCATATCTTGCCGGCTCAATATCTAATACCGTGAGTCTTTTCTTTTATTAGGTTCACTTCCCCCGTAGAGGTCAGTTCTCCACGGGTTGCGGAGCCAACGGTAGAGTCAGGTCCACATGGTGTGCGGCACAGCACAAGCGACTGTTAGATTTGAGCCACATCTTTCATTCTAACGTTCCCGAGAGAGACTTCAATATAAAACGACACCCCCTGAAGCCGATTTCTGGCTCGCCAAAGGACCTCTTCTTTTGATGGGTGACGGTTGGTTCTTGTTGTTGAAATTCTCTTCATGTATTGTTCTTTTTCCCCATTCCCCCACTTAGCAGAAAAGCAACCAGCGCGTTTTGTAAAGAAAGCGGCAAATACAAGACGAACACCTCGGTCGCGCGATTGAACTCAACTCTCAATGGTCGTGTTACTACAGCGAGAGCTCGGAGTTTTTAACCTGACTAGAAATCGTAACGTCAGCTTTAAGTATTCAAAAGGCAAAGAGCCTGTGGCCTAAGAAATAGAACCATGCCTCTCTCCGGCCTCTTCGGTAGCGGCAGAAAGACCCGCAACGGGCCGGACACAAGCCATGCCCGGGGCTTCATCCCACGTCCAACCGGGCACGTATAGTATTGGCGTTTACAAAAGTCCTTTGCAATCTGGCTACCATGTAGTTGGCTCTAGATTGGGAGTTATAAGGTTCTGGAGAACAGTTGCTAGTACTATGAGTGTGTCTGGAGGATCAAAGATGTGATAGTCGTCTAATTCTTCCCATCTACTACTGTCTACCTTGGCGAACAGTATCGAGCCTTCCCCAAACGAGTGGCCCCGCGTCGTCTACGCCTTCCCTGCCCCTTCTTCCTCTCCCGGTCTTGGGGCGTCCCCACACTACCCATCGCACCTGCCTCGACATCTGCCTCACCCTCCACCCCCGAACCGCTCCTTCCCTCCTCAAACAAGACGCCGTCAAAGCTTTATAGCGGAGGATTCTGATTCATTCCATCACCAACGAATACCAGAAACTGGCCTAGCGGTCGGGTGATGGTAACCTCACAAGGGCCTGGAAAGGACCAGCGTTCGAAAGTCGCTCGGGCGGTGGGAATTTTCAGCAACCCGCGAGAGGTCCTGCGGTGCCCAGGGATCGAGTAAAGAAATACCGGCAGGAAGGGAGATCCCCGCCCATCGAGGTGGTCTCGCTGGCGCGCAGTCCTTCGAGGCAGGGCGGTAAGGTATAGTTGAGGGGGTGGGTTAAAATCAATTTTTCTTTTTCTCTTTCGTGTCTCCTTCATCTACCTTGCTTGCTTGTCCCATTCATTCTCTTTCCATTTCAAAGATTTACAATCGTTAGTTACTTAGTATATATTGCCTGCCTCGCGCGACTGCTTATGCTCTCTCTATAGATAGTTCTTGATATCAAAGCTTGGTTGGTGTAGGCGGGTTCGACCCTCATCTTCCTATACTATCTGACGTAGCCGGTTTCCACTTCCATATAGAGAGGCTGGTTGGCTAGGCTGACCATTTGTAGAGGATGCTTAGCTCGTAGAAGATGTGGACATGACTGCTAAATGCCAGTTGATATCAGGACGGAAAGAAGACAACGTAATGGGCGATGATGGTGTGATGGATATAACGTGGCGTACCCAGTTCGGCTGGGTAGCCCACATATCTCGCCTATGGCAGAGAAAAGGGAGATTTACTCTTTCAAGTCTACGTCCTCATTGGGGGTTTAAAGGAAAGTCGGTATCGTATTGTGTAGTATGGTATAAATCGTATTAAGAATGTACAGGTGTCGCTTAGACCCGAAAACGCCATCAGAAATGCCTTGAATAGTTTCATCAAGAAGACGGGGATAGGAAAATAGAAGACTCCATGTCTTCCTGGCCAACTCCGTCATCAGCACACACTCAATCACGACTCAGCACCCCCATTCGCCCTAGCCGTCATTGGAAACTGAAAGAAAAAAAGAACAGGAGGAATAGGAGAAAGCAAGTGTCAAACGAAGTGATGGGAAGAAAAGAGAAAGGTCCTAGGCTATGTCATCGCTTAGCTGGACCCGCTGACCTTGTTCCAAACTTGATCGATCTTCGCCTTGAACCAGTCCCAGAGGTCCTTAATCGCAGCCTCGGCCTTGGAAATTTCCTCCTCATCCTCTTCTTCGGTAGTGTCTTCACCATCGCCGCTAGAAGAGGGTTGGGAAGGTACAGGCGTTACGTCTGACGATTTGGCATTGTCTAGACTGGCAGTGGTAGGTACAGCGACTGAGACGGTGTCAATCCCGATGCTCTTTGTGGCCTCAGGCAAGGGTGTGATCTCGGGATCTTGAAGAGGTTCGGAGAAATCTTGCCCTGAATGCAACCCAATAGGCGTCAGAGGCAGGCGGAGTGTGCCGTTATTGGGAGCCGGAACCAAGCCTAGGGAGTCGCATAGCATGTTGTAAACATTGATGTTTTCTATACAAAACATTAGTTCTCAGTTTGACGCTCAAAGAGAATATCCCAGAGCCCCTCGAGGAAGCCCTGATAGGCGAAGGCAAGAAAAAGATAACGGAAGAAAGATGAAGAAAGACAGGTGTAAACTTACGGAAGACCTCAAGCTCGGTGTTGGGAGCATGGGGGAACGCCGGACCGCGAGCAACAAAGACAGCTCGCATCAGAGGGTGAAGGTTATCGTAGCCATGCATACCACGAGGATGGTACACTTCTCCCTTGGTCAGGGCATCCGCAACGACAAACTCGAGCTTTTCTACTACCCCCAACCAGCCTTGGGAATAAGCCAGAGGGGCGCGATACGTTCGTTCTTGGAGAAGTGGTAGCGCTCAGGCATGTCGACATCGCGAAGGTAGACTTCGATGTTGGGGTTATCCCTCGTATTATTCATGGCCTGGTCGTAGAGCGACTGTAGATCCTCTGGATCCTTGGGACGCAGACCCACGAGGGGCCAACCATCGATATGGGAAACCTTGTCCAGGTCCACAATGTCGTCAAGTTGCGTGAGACGGGTAACGTCCGTCGTGGCCATGCCATGGTCCGAGACAACGATAATGTTGACGATGTTGGTGAGGTTGCGCTGCTCGAGGCCATGGAAGATATTATCCATCATGGTATCGACCTGGTTGATTGTTTTGTTGATTTCCGTGCTATTGGGGCCGTAGGTATGTCCATCGCTGTCGACGTTGGGGACATACATGGCGATAAGTTGGGGTCGCGTATCCTGGAGTTGGACATCCTTGTTTTCCCTTCCTGGCAAGTCGAGGAATTCAAAGAGTCGATCCACCTTCTTCTCAAGGGGTTCCTTGCCGTTGTATTCATCCAAGAAGCTTGGCTCAGTGTTCATGATATGGGCTTCGCTTCCGGGCCACATGTGAATAGCCGCTCGCACGCCTTGTTTCTCCGCAGTGACCCAGAACGGCTCGCCCATCCACCACTTGGGGTCGAGGCTGCGGGTCGGGTCGGTGTAGAAGAAATCTCCGTTGAGGGTGGGGTCGAAGAAGGTGTTGCCAACGATGCCGTGACTCTCCGGGTAGAGGCCAGTTGCAAGGGTATAGTGATTCTAAGGAGCAGAAAGAATGGTGGGTTAGCGAACTTGTTCTCGGGGGTCTAACCTTGAAGCAAAAAAACAAGAGGAAGGACGTAGGAGCTCACGGGAAAAGTAACCGAGGGGAAAGAGGGAAGCATGTATTTTGGCGATACGCCTTCCCTTATGAAGGCGTTCAATCGCGGCGTGAGGCCCCTCTGGAGGAAATCTGGACGAAACCCATCGAGGCTAATGATGACTGTCGTGGGGCCGAAAAGAGCCGTGCCGTTGCTAAACACCTGCGAGGCGACGGCCATACGTTTCCGGTCGGCCGTGAGCTTCCAGGCCACGAGGACGAAGACAGCGAAGACGGCAACGATAATGGTGTGGATCAGGATCCAGCGTCGGCGACTGCGCTTCCGATCAGCCTTGGCCTTTGTGATGACGTTGAGACGGTTCTGGTCCATCTCCTCGCTATCCTCGCTACTCTCGCCCGTGGAGCTGCCGTCCTTCATGCCGCCCTCCTCCATCTCGTACATGAGCTCGCCATCCTCGCCGTGCTCGGCCTGCTCCTTGAGCCGCTCCCGCTTCTCCCGCCTGCGCGACCGACGGATCCTCTTCTTTTCCGACAAGTCTTCGGTCGACGTGTTGGCGGATTCGTCGTGGACGCGGTTGTTGCGGCCAAAGAGGGAGAAGGGGTTCAGAAAAGTTGAGCCCGTGTCCGCTGGCGCTTTGGATTTCCGGGTCTTGGTCACGAGGTTCTCGACCTCTTCCTCTTCCATCAGCATGATTCGGTCGTGGGCGCGCAACTCCCGGCTGTTCCTCGCGTTCATCTGGAGCTCGTCATCTTCGCTGTCGGTGTCCTGATCGCTTCGGCTATGCAGGGATCGGGCGTCGTCATCGTAGTTTACGGGGAAAGAAGGGACCCGCCATCGCCCTCGGCGGGCGCGCTGGCTTTGCGTAGTACGTTTCTTGCCTGTGTCATTGCGAAAAGCTCCTAGGATCGAGGAGACTGGATGGTGGCATTTGTCGATGGTCGAAAGGACCCTGCAGCGCGGTCCAAGGAAAAGAAAAACGATTGATGGGGGGTTTGGTCCCCAAGGGTTGCGCGTGGTTCGAACAGGGGTTAAATTTCCAGCGGGCTAGATTCACCAAAGACAGGTCTCCGCCCCGGCTGAATATCTTATCTCGCCCCCTGGGCCTCACCTTCCCCAGCAAGAGTGGAGAAATCTGGCAGCTGTCGGTAGCACCTGCCTCATATTGTCAGGCAATTTGATTCGCTGAGCGTAAACACAGGAACATCCAAGGAGCTTACATGTGGCGCAACTGCTTATACTTGGTAATAATACAGCTCACCAACCAATGCTGAAGCTTCCTATTGATTGATCGCGGCAGAATGGTTTCAATTTGGTTTCGATAGAGGGGTATGGGGGCTTGCGGTGATATCTGAGGAATTTCCATATTCCTCTTTTTATGAACTTATAAAAAAAATCAAGTAAAAAAAAGGGATAGGCTTGAATCTTTCACCAATGCGACTGAGATATTATTGAGTGGCGGCCTGGACATATCTCTCAACTGTGGTGAATAGACAGAACCAAACCACATTCTTAGAGATCTTGGACAGTTGAAGTGCCATCGATTCATATCTTTTTCCATTCTAGCTATAACTCCCAAGAAGAAACTGTTACACATGCCCTTGCGTAAAATTTAACATTGCTTTTTAAAAGTCAGCCACCGTATCGTGTCTGGACCACATTCACAACTTTCAACACTCATAAAGATGTAAGCAAGCGCCATCAAGCATGCGTTCTGCTCTCCCCTAACCGTCTAAAGATGATCGAAACAAGACGAGGAAGAGGAGGAAAGGGGAGTGTCCGCGAAAAAGAAACAAGGACAGAAAGACTCGCGCGTCGACGGCCATTCATCTCTCAGCACCAGCTACAATACTCGCTATCATGCCACACGACCTCCCCCGTATCCACGTCCTCCCTCCACCGTAGACTCGGCAAGCTATGTTCCAGCCGGTCATTCCACACCAGCTTCACGTAGCCCCTCGACCCGTTCGCCAGCGCCTTGGCCCCGAGCGTGACGGCGTCCCCGGGTCCCCACACGAGCACCTCCTTGAACCCCCACGCCGCCGCCTCCACGAGCGCCGCCTCGAACAGGTCCCGCACGTCGAACACGGGCACCCGCCCAGCGCCGCGACGCGCTGGATCTTGAGCTGCTTCTCCCGGAAATCGTGATACCACAGCACCCAGCTATCGCCGCCGGGGCTGATGGCGCCAATGTTCTCAATCGCCCGGCCGGTGATGTGCGTCGCCGAAAACCCGGCGCTCGCGTGCTGCCACGCCAGCTGCTCCTGCGTGGGCACAATCGCCACGTGCGTCTTGCCGTCCTCGGGCATGGCGGCGATGCGCTCCCGCAGAGCGGCCGCGTCCCTCGCGCAGAGCTCGGCCAGGTCCCCGCCCGCGCGAGCCGCACGCCGTCGGGCACGACGAAGCCCGGCTCGAGGATGGTCATGGTCATCTGCTCCGCCCGAAACACGTTCCAGCCCATGCTGGCGTAGTACTGCCGCCCGATATCGCTGTACAGGAAGCTCCACCGCACCTTGTCGTCGAGGAACTTGACCACCTCGCCCAGCAGGTACGCGGCCATGCCCCGCGCCCGGTATTTGGGGTGCGTGTGCACGCTGGCGACGGCGTAGGCGTCCTCCTCGCTCACGTGGCCGCCCGTCCACCGCTGGCGCACAAAAATCTTCTTGCGCGGCGTCTCGCAGCTCGATATGATTTCCAACGGGTCGTCGCGGCGGGCCAGCACCCAGTACCGGCAATTTCCGTCGCGGCATTGCGGAGTCTCGGCTAGCGTGGCTTCGCGGGCTATGTAATCCTCCAGCGTGAGGGGTCCGGCCCACACCGCGCCATTGTCCTGCCAGGTCCGCATCCGCTGCTCCGCGGTGGCCTCGCCAAACGTGACGTCTGAGAAGTGTAGTTTGCCCATGGCGGTCGAGCCCGTCTCGTGGTCTCGTGTGTGTGTGTGTGTCGTCGCGGGTCGTTTCTTTCCTTTGCAAAGGGCCGTGTCTCGTCGTTCGTTTTCCCTGTTGCGGTAGAACTGGGCGGGGAGTTCAAATGGAGGATGTTGGGAACACTGTGATGTACCGCCGAGGAGGCTTTTATTTTAGTTCCAGCTTGAGGCGCCCCTGTTGATGAAGTCATTCATGGATCAGGAATGGGCGATGCTCAGCCCTCCTCCCAAGAATCTCCGTAGCGCCGCAGTAGCTCAATTCGATGTCTCGGCCGGTGGACTGGACAAAAATACCTTTTGCTTTGCTCTCTTTTGTGCTGTTCGGGAGCAGACACCAACCCCCTCTGTCCAGCGTCCAGCCCACTGACAACTGAACCCAACCCATAAAACCGAAGGGGGTAGTACCAACACCCCAGAGCAAAGAGAAGAGTGCCTTCTCCACGTGGGATCCAGGACTGGATGCCACGAACCACCACAAAACCCCTCTTAATGTTCCCAAACTTTCATATTATTTGTTGCCCCTTCTAAATCCTACTGAATATTCTGCCCACTAGGCTACATTGGATGTAGGGTTTTAAGACAGTGAAAGTCGATCTTGCTGTCGGCGGTCGCACTTGGTCTATGTTCAGGACGTGATGCTACTTGATGTATTGAACGAGAGATTCTAATAAACCCTCCACCAGATAGAAGCCCCCTTCTCTCTCCGAACGCACGCATCTTTCCATCTAAGCTAGCCCATTCCCCATCCCAATTGAGATTTTAAGATCCTACATATCACGGCAGCAGAGCGAATGAGCCCAGAAAGGCAGCAGTCATGGCATATTCTGTCTTTTGTGTGTCATGGTCATTATGTCCCAATTCAGTTTATCGTACATACAACGTCTCTCCAACTTTCAAGTCTATCACCTCCACACTCCTGCCTCCTGCGCTACTCTCCCAGAACAACCCATTGCAATTTACGGGGGTATAATGAAGAAAACCAGCGGTCTACAACCGTTTGCCGCGATGACTAGCGCCCGCCCAGCCAGAGGCTCGATCCACCATCGGCCTGAGAAATTTTGGTATTCGCGGTCAACGAGGACCGAGCCTGCACCAAAGTAGAACAAATGAAACCTCTCTTCCTCTGATGGGGCCTGTAGGGTAACAGAATAAAGGGGACATTGCGTATCGAGGGCGTTGTCCTGTTTCGCGTAGATCCGTAAGCGAGTGTCGGATCATCCGGCAGGCCGGGAGATATTGGAATGGATGGTAGAAAATGCTTGAGAAAAGCGAGAATGAATAAAAAAAAAGGGAAACGCCTTTCATGCGAGCTTAAGAAGGAATCTATATGTTGATCCGGTGCAGAAGTAAATGAATTGTTGACGTATGAAATGAAATGAAAAAGGAAACAAAGGGAAAAAAGAATGAAGACTGCATCCGATGGAACAAGTCGCTTGTGTAGTAGGTATTTAACCCCAGATAGGTGCGCGTCGGTACGCCGGGGAGTTATAACTGTGCAACACCCTAAATGGAGCGTGCGGTGCGTAGTATGCGTTTGACGAAGTGCTTGGGTTCCGTGCATGGCTCGATCGGGGCACGTAGGGGAAACCTTCCGGCCCGCGGGTCCAGGGCAGTCCCTCCGTATTGCATCTGGAGCTGCTGGTAATGAGTCGACGTCCACAGATCCGGGCTTTGTCGAAAGTAGCCATGGCTACTACGGGGTTTGCTATTGTTCTGAGACTCGTAGCTCGCCCGGTGCCGAAGCTGCTGCTGCTGACTAGCCTGTCGCTGCATATCCGAGTAAGGGTTCGCGCTCGAAGGCCGCCTAGAATCTGCCTCTGCTGCTCCGAATAAGGGTTCGCGCTCGCCGAGCGCATGTACGGCGCGCCGCTGCTCCCTTGGCTAGAAATCGAATTCGTTCTGCTATGCGGTCTGTTGAGGATTCGTGGCTGCCAGGGATGCTCTTCCGTCTCGCCCGAGAGTGACGGGCTTGGCCTCACGCGGTTGCTCAAGCTCCGGTGCAGGTGCTGTGGCGGGTAGGCATCCGGAGGCGTCGTGGACCCATCTTGGCTGACTTGTCCAAGGTTGTTTTGGGGCGGGAACCCGTTCATGCTTTCGTGGCTCGGTTGCCGATACAGACTAGTTTGGCTCCTCGCCCTCTTCAAACCAGAGGCAGATTGTGGGCGCAGGGGTGCCGGAATGCGAAGTTGTACGACGCTGCGAGCTCGCACCAAGCCCTGGGGCGGGGCGTCCATGTAGATGTAATCTCCCGCATAGGTCTGGTGGGTCGATCCGGCGTCAAAAGATGCTGGGCTCCCCGCGTTAGATCGCGCCTTGAGGGCTGCCAGTCGCACATCCAGTTCACGTTCGGATCGCGAGGCTACGGATCCGGCGCGGGATGGTGCGCGAGATGGTGCCGGAGAAAAGTAAGCGTCCCGAGCACTCGTCATCGCGGCGAAGGAAGGGTCGTAGCCATTCCTGCTCAAGGCATCGCGCGTGTAATCGGAGGCCGATGTCACGTCGCTTTCGGCAGAGCTGCTCCGGCTCCATCTCTCGTTTTCGGGAACCATTGAATCATGATGCTGGTCCTGCTCTTGTTCGTGCACCAGTTCTCCGCCGTCGACGCTGTCGCTTTCTGGCGAGTTCGACCTTCGAAACGACAATCTGGAGGGCAATACCGCGGCGGCGGCGTTGACTACCGAACTCGAGATTGCTTGCAGAGAGCGGCGCCGCTGAACTCCTCTATCACTCGGGGTCTCTGAACGGGGTTCCGCCGACTGCTCGTACTCGTCTGTCGGAGCAGTTTCGACATTGGCCAAGTTGGATGGCCGTGCATCCCTCTGGGCCTTGGCACGAAGGTCTGGAGTGGAGGCCGAGTCACGAGAAACAGAGGATGCGGTAGACGACCCGGAATTCCTAAATGAGCGCCGAAGCCCGCTTCCGCGCGAGCTCTTCCTGGATGTCACGCTCAGAAGCCGTTTCAAAGGCCCTGGTTTCCGGGCACGTTCTCCAGAGTCCGGGGCTTCCAGTCGCGAGGGGCTGAGCTGTATCGAGTCGGGCGAGAGAGGGCCAGACGCACGGTTCTTGTTGATGAGCAAGGACACGGGAGGGCGGCTCCTTCTTGACCTTGCCGAGACCTCCTCTGGCATGTGGTTGACCGGCGCCTCTCCCATGCGCATGCTGGCAGTAGTGTTGGACCGGGGGAGCGGATAGTCCTTGGGGGTGGCGGGGGTGGAGGGGCCTCTCGGTTTGGCGGGGTCGGCATCGCAGCATGCGTAGGCATGAGTGTAGGGCTAGGAGGGTTAAAGTTGCCAAGATAGGAGACGGTCGGGCTCGACGTCTCCGCCAAGGCTTGGTGTGGAAATGCTACCTCGGCGGGGCACGGTGGAAGATCCTTGTCCGCCGCTGCTGATGAGCCGTTCGACAGTCGAAGGGATCGTAATGAGACGTTCGAACTATAGCCCGAATCTGTTTTGGAGAAGGGCTTCTGCGTCGAGTAGTCTGAAATTGGGCTAGACACGATGCCACTGTCCCTGTCCTGCCCGGAGAGACTTCGAAGAGCCTTGACTGTCACATCCGCGCGCGGGCGTGTTGTGCGCCGACGGGTTTGAACATCAGCGTCTTGTCCCTGGCGGAGCTCGGATGTTGGTGGACTCTGGCCGTCATCTTCAAAAGATCATCTTCCATGGCGGTGTGTTTCGATGTCGTCTGCAACTGCAGAGGAGACACCGGGCGCGGCTCAGATAAAGTAAAAGACCCAAAATTTATCCCGGGAAGGAAATTAGCAAAGCTTCCGGCGTCGGTCCGGGCGTGGGTCGAAGACTGGCTTTCGGCGCCAGCTTCTAGTTTGAGAAAGGTTGCCGTTATAGGGCTTAGAGCGCTCACAATCGGTCGGGGTTCCGCAATCTTCAAGTGGACGGCGGCGTTTTGTTTCGGGGTGGACTCGAGACTCGAATTGGAATCATTGTGCAAAACGAATACCTGGCCCCCGGAGCCCCTCTTCCTCCGCCTCTTATCGCTGCTCGGGCTAGGGGCCCCATTCGTGATGCGCAACGAGCCAAACTTCATGGCTCCAAGTTGCTGGTAATCGGTTTCGCTAGGTGTAACAGCTCTCTGACCGTTCAGATCGGTGAGCTTCGAAGGCACAGATTGTATCCGGGTCGGACTGCGTTCGATAGAATTCCTCCTCGACTGGCGAGCGGATGCTGCTGTTTCGTGCCTTCCTCGAAGGCTTGTCCTCCGTGATGCTTCCGACGCGGTTTCGGCCCGGGTAGCAACTCCCGGGGTCCGAATGATGGAACGGCGGCGTACGGGGGCAAAGAGTGAGATCTCGGAGTTCGCTCGAGAAAGTCGAACACTCGGTGCTCGCGTGGCTGGGTGCGAGCTTTTCCAAGTGTTCTCAGACAAGGAATTCTTAGACTCGGATACTACTGATTCGTGGTCATGCATAGTCACAGGCGGGTTGAAGTGGGAGAGTCGGTGGCTTGGGAAAGCTTCACGGTCGTACGAGGCATAAGCTCCGTCCTCCGGCACATGCCAGCTGCGTCGAGGTTAGATCGGATGTGCTCCAGCAAACAAATGAGACTATGGGGAGGATAGGGGTAGGGGTGGACGACCACGCCGTCCACGGCCGAAGCATAGCAGATGAAAGCTAGCTACAAACCAAAGACTCACCTCTCAGTTAGACGCCTAGAGTAGTTTTGAATTTGGCGGGTGTCATAGATCATAGACTGAACTCGAGGGATCCCGTCGTCCTTCCGGGGCACGGTGAAGCCCTGACTCGCCTGCCACTGTTCGCCGGACCAACGTCGAGAGGAGCGAGACCGTAAAAGGCTTCGTCGTCTACTGAATGGATCCTTGAGGGGAGGATCCGGTGGAAGTTCGGTTTGGTCGTCTGTCTGCCAAGTTGTGTCGGGCTCGGGCACAGGTTGCGTAGAAAGTGTGATGGGGACAGGAATTGGGATTGGGATTGGGGCAGAAGCAGAAGCAGAAACAGAAGCAGGTACGGCACGAGAGGAAGGCCGAGAGGAGAAGAGGAAAGAAGAAGGTCGTGGGGCGCGAGGACGATCGCCGTCGTCAGGTGAGGAGGAAGTAGCAGCTCGGGTAATCCTGGGAGCCAAGCGTCCATTCGAGCTTAACAGGCCAGCTGTCGTGGAGGCATGTTTTCCGACTCGAGGTTTGGACAGCTTATGAGGAGTCTTTTTCGGCGGCGGCGCCTCAACGGATGAACTGCTGGCATTGCCCATCGGGATCCCGGGGACGGGTGGCACCCCCTTTGTACGTTTAACGAATGTTGGCCGAGGTGGACCAACTCGCGGTCTGTTGCTCCCACGGAACCCACGTGTACACCCCTCTCTACCTCTGTTGTCCCTCTAGCTGCTACGTCTGCTGTTCTTTTTTTTTCCCTTGCCGAACCCTCACGGAACGTCTGGTCAAGCTTCTTCCCGAAAACAAAGGGAAAAATGAGATCGCAGCAAGGGGTGGGGGAGGGGAGGGGGTGGGAGATGTGAGATGCGAGCAACAAGACGGACGGTACGGCCGATTCGAGGTTGAGCGTTGGCCAAAGGGTTTGCTCCCCCGAAGCAGGATGGTGGGTAAAGTGCGATTTGGCGAGAGATCTGGTACACGGGAAGGGTGCAAGGCGAGCCACGGCACAGTCGACAAGACAGCAAAAGCTCTGGCCTCAACTTAGCCGGCTTTGTAAGGGCTAAGCGGATATTGAAACTTCCATGCCGCAAATCCACCCTGGACGGTTTTCCCTGTTTAAAAATTCGAGGCTAGGGGCAGCCTCAAGTATATGGGAATGGAACGGGGGTGTGTGAGGGATAAGTAGGCAGGTTTGAGGTAGGAGCAGGTGAGGCTCGGGGTCGACGCAGATCAAGTAAATCCACTGAGCAGCAGGAGCAATCCTGAGGAAACGGGTGCGGGTGCGGACGCCAGGGGGAACGGAGCACTCGAGGGTCGAATTGTGAATTGGTCCAAGCCAGCACCAATGCGTCCGTCCAGTAAAGGGGGAATGATTGATCAAAGAGCAGCTCTTGCACTCTACCCAGGGCCAAAAATAAAGGCAAGGAATGAGCAGGGTTTCAAAAGGCTCAAGGAAGGGAGAGAGGGGATGGGAGAATCAGAGCTCGCAATGGGAAATTGTGGTCCTCGTCGAATACATATACATCAAATGATGGGCATTTGTTTCTCAAGTTTGGTTCACTTTTTCTTGTTTTTCATCACTTTGCCCCCTTCTGCATTATTGGAAGGGTGCTGCTAGACTGGGCTGGGCTGGGCTGGGCTTCCTTGGTCTGGGGAGGCAGAAGAAGCCTGTGCGTCAAGGAAATCCTGCGTTGCTGGCAGCATGGCCATGTCGCGCTGTTGCGAAGCGAATGAGGGAATGAGGGGGAAGGGGACGAGCTTGAGACTTGATTTCTGTGTGGTACTCTGGCGGCGGGATGGGTATTGCTACATGCCAGATCGGGACTTATCACCCCAGGCCGGGAATTAAATCGAGGGTGCCACCTGAATATCTTGCGTCGTGAGGGAGATTTGGGTACATTGAATGGGGAAGAGATCCAAGCCCCATGTACTTTTTTTCGATGATGGGGCACCGGCCTTGTCTGGGAGCCCGAAAGCGTTCCGCCCCGGCCACCGGAGCCGGGGTCGATAGTAGCCGTGGGTGAAGTCAACGAAGAACATTGTACAACAAGGACTAGCGCCAGAGAGGTATTGCATCACCAATTTAGAGGTGGGGACTAGTAAAATGACACAGCTATAACCCCCAGCTTGGAGTAAGCCAACCACTCATAGCAGAGGGAATTGCTTAGAAACGCAAGCACGCCAACATGCCAGCCCTTTGTCAACACCGCCATCCATTATGTATCGTGGTCGTTCAAACAATCAAGACAATAGATACTTGTAGAAAGAAAATAAACTGAATGTTTCGAGGAATGAACAGCTAGCTAGACCAAAAAAAAAAAAAACAAATTGTACATTGCAAGTAACCTTGTGATGACTACCGAGGTAGCTGGCCGCACTGAGGTCCTCAGTCCTCAGGGGCAACATCAATTGAATGGGAATTGAATATGTACTTTGTAGCTTAAAAGAGTTCCCGCCAACACCACACCGGACTCAGTAACCCCCTGTCAGCTAGTGCGCACTAGCCGGCGCAGGTCATCAGTGAGACGACGAGAGGATCGGTGTTTTGGGTATGAATACTTGACGTTCATGTAGATCCGCGTCGACTGGTTGACTGATGGCCACGCCAATCCCTCACTTTAAGGGCCGACTGGCCAGGGCCCTGTCCCCCTTTTGTCTTGCACTCCCGCCCTTTCCCACGCAAGAGGCGACCAATGCTTCGAGAAGCACTAGACTATCCGCGGCGTTGAGCGGTCAAGGCGCTGGCGGACGAGGTGTTGTCCGCCCCCAGACAAAGCAAAGCTCCTCAGCCAATGAGCCGATTCCCCCGACGACCTATGACAATCGACCAAACTGTCATGGATGCACCCTTCGAGCGTGGAATCCCTGTCAAATGGCGAAAGCTCCTCGCTCACCATTGAGGATTGAGGAGGGGCGCTATTTCTGGCCAGGCTCAGTATATTGTTATAATAAGATATAAATCTCCTTTTCTGGGGAGAAGAGGCGAGCTGGGTCCTGTGTCAGTTCCGTTTTCGACGGATTGGATGGATGAGTTGGCAAAGTCTCTAGCAGTCATCTTTGCGAGCCAGTGTGTCCGCAAGCGGGTTGAAAAACGCCCGTACCAAGGTACTTACTCGTTACTCTTCATGGCTTTCCTATCCCTTTGCCCATGTTCGCTAAACTTCCTCTTCCACCAATTTTTTGAGGGGGTGAAGGGGGTGAAGGGGGTTGAACTGGGAGGCTGGGCTGCAGCCACTCATTCCCATCCGCGCCCCCAGACGGTGGGGTTAATAAACGACATGGACTTTACTCAGAGAAACTTTTGAGGTGATGAATTGATTAAAATTGATAAACAAAAACCAATCCATCGACCTCTATCTCGAGTTGGATTCGGGTTGACGGGGATGGTGGTGGATGTCGAATGTTGACGACGGATCGCCGTTGACCCCGTCTTGGTTATTTTGTTTACAACGGGTGTATGACGACGCTTGCGCTCCAGAGCAGAGCAAGCTGATTCCCATTCCGCACGCCCATCATTCCATGGCCCCATTGGTCATCGCGGATGCTTCAAGTTCAATGTTGTATTGGATTGACGAGTCGCCCGTCCATACTTTCAAGCTCGTTACCAGCACATGAAGATTTCGAGAACCAATCCGTGCTATATTAAACATGAAAGCTGCAACGAACATTGTTATTTCCAAACACCTCCGTAGCACACCCACGACGCCCCATCTGAACCTCGGACTAAACAAAGATTGAATTGAGAAATGAGTCGGCTTTGGCCCCGGCCTTGGACTCACCCAGTGTACAAGTACCGAGAGAATAGATAATTCCAAGTGCACGTTTTCTTTTTGCTGCGGAGAACACTGATGTTGAAACAAGAGAAACCAAAAGCCAAACCCTTGACCCGCAGCCTGTGAGCTCTCGCAGCGTTCCATCAAAGCTCATTTGTCTCCCTGCTCTGTCTGCCCCCCGCCCTTGGGTCGTTTTCGTCTTGCGCTTCGTGCATCCGGATTATTCTCCGGATGCGACAAGGGGGTCCCTCGGTACTGTTGACACGGTCGTGGTCGCGACATCCACCCAATCACCATGTATCAGTGACTTTGGTTCGGAGACGCCATCGCCAGGTGCGTTTCAGAATATTTTCCAAACACCATCACCAAGACCTCATCCGCCGTCCCCTTCGCAGGGACGCCAAGGCAGGAGAGCGGTCGACCAGCGTTTCCCTCAACTCGCGCCCTGGCATCGTGCAGCGACAAATTGGGCTTGTTTCCCAACACGCACGTCCTGCCGATGATTCGAGCCCTCGCAGCACAAGTTTGTAATCTCGAGAGTCGGTTGTTTGATCAAGCCTGGGCCGTAAGAGTCAAAGAGCCTTCGAGAACAAGCACCAGCCATGCTCATTCACACTCCCTACGCCATACTTTTTTGGGGGAGTCTCACAAGCCAAGCCTGCATTCCCATGCGGGCGTGGGGGCGGGGAGAGGGAAGGGTGGTTTCGAGACCAGCTCAGTCCATCAAGCAATGAAGCAATCGTGCTCTTGACCGTGCTTGCCATGCTCCCACTCATTGTAACGCTGCGAGACAACGTCCATATAATACCGGCGCTTATAGATATGTGGGCTTGAAAACAAGGATTGTACGACCTTGGCAGACTCCATCCGAGGAAGACCTTGAACCATCATTTGTGGCATTCCTCCAAGTCCATAATCTGGTTGGCAAGAAAATACCACACGACGTCAGTTCCCGCTGAGGTCGGGGAAAAGGAAACCGAGCTTGAATGGATGGATCAATACAATCTCCGCTCAAGTCGGAGGGCAAAATATTGTGGTTCGGCAGGCAATTGCCTTCTGCCCTCCAGACGAGGCAGCCGCGAGAGGTAAAACGTCACATAGCTGTCGTGCAAAAGGTACCTAAGTCGCAGAAGTGACGTTCGCATTTTTATTTCCCAGGCCTGATAAATGAACACCTCGACCAAGTCTACATTGATGTAATACCAAGGAGGCTGTCTGGGGAATGAGCGGGAGTCTCAGGAGGAGCGGGGCCGAATAATACAGCATAGGTGATGGACCGGGGCTGCTCACTTCATATTACTTCTTAATATCCTGTGGGGATTTCGCGGAGACGCCATTTGGCCAGCATCAACCTTGGAGCAAGTGGGCCCAGCACTTTGCCGGCGGAATCCGTCGAAAAGGCCGCCATGATTGGGTCTCACCGAGCCATCACAATCAATTGGCAGCCTTCCAAACTGAGACCCCGCGAGTGAGTGGGACAATATCTGGAGCCTCCATCATCGATTGATGGCGACATTCCCTCATTTCCATGGGAAATTTCCGGGCTTGGGTCCGTCTCAGACAGCAGTTCAGCCCACCTACACACAATCCGGCAGCCTTTCCAGGGCGGGCAAGATCGCCATTTGCAGTTTTTGGATATATTGGATGGTTGATTCTTCCTTGGTCCAACTCTTTCCCGACCGCTGACGAGCCAGAGCCTTTGCGAACGGCATGTGCCTAATTCCGGCAGAGAGACAGAACGCCTACCGGTTTGGAAATAAGGTCGGTCCATGAGAATCGAACGGACAACTTGTGGTTAGCTCCTACCCAAGCCGGCCATGTCTACTCATCTGTCTCCATCAATCCAACGGATCCATGAACTACGCGTAATGCTGGCGTGCTGACCGGCTCTGAGTGGGGAAAGAGGAAAGGACATCAATTGATGGCAATAATTAAGATTACAACATACTTATAATAAAGAGCAAGGAAAGTACTCTGCAGTAGGACCTATTCCTTTGAGAAAATAGAGAGAGGAAAGTAGAATGGGGAGAACATTGAAGGGAAGAAACACACGCATCGAAAGCCCTCGATGGTGTGACCTGCAAGAGGGCCCAGCCACCTTCGGATTCAATGTTGTTTTCCTCGCTCGAATTTCCGACATCAGCTTGTATCGTTCCTCTCGACATGTTCGCGGCATGCAAAAGATTGATCACCGCTAGGTACACCAGAGATATTCATCTCAGTCGCTACATGTACACATACTTGCACGCGTGTTTTTGGGGAGGACTCTCCCTCGGAAATCGCCAACTTCAATCTAGATCGATCTCAAGGCATGAGCGTTTCCTAATACTATTAAGCGCGATCAGCTCATGGATTTTCCACCTTCTTTCTCAAAGGAGGCAGGGGAGACATGGAATCCTCTATCCAGGCGGAAGACGGCGGGTTGTCTCAAGTCCGTTCGCTCGCGGCCTCGATTAAGCTCCCTGTCCCCGCGACGATCATGCTCCATCAACCACAGACTCCTGGGGCTCCACCCGGGACACGCCCACGGCAGCAGCGCTCTTTCCAGCCATTAGCCTCCATTTAATGTTCTCGATGCATTCGGTCTCGCCCAAACAGCCCACGCAGGGTCATTTGGGCGACGCATCCTGATCCTTGTCACAGCATGTAGTGGAGTGCTCCTCGTCCTCACGCGTTCAAGACGTCGAAAGCCCTGGCTCGGGCTTACTCGCCGCCACAATGCCGGGGAGAGTTCTAAAGCGGCAGGGACATGCGCTCCAATTTTAACACTCCATCGCCTGGCCAGCTAAGCGGGCCTGTCCTTGCCAGGCTTGATTTCCAGTGCATTGGACACTCGATAAACAAAGCTGAAGTGTGAGCGTGCATATCGCTGTTGAAAGGCCTAGGGCTCAGGACAACTAATCGTGCAGCATGGACTAGTTTCGACCCCGCTCGTCATTTGATGCTCTGCTCTTGGGCTGTTCTGCATCCCACGAATCGCAAATGCCAGCTCTGGAGGAGGCGGGCAAGCCTACCGAGGTAGAGTCTCATGAAACTGATGGGGAGGAAGCGAGCGAAGTCAGACGAGAGTGCACGTCGTCCCTGTTCCTAGCCACCACGACCCGTGATCGGCATTGCTGTGTTAGTGCTAATAACGTTGGTCCCTGCAAACCGCTACCCGCGAGGAACTCACCAACTTACCCTATTAACCTAACCCCCTTTTCCTCTTTTTCTTTTTTTTTTTTCTCTTTTTTCTTTTTGGCTAGCAATTGTAGTGGCGGTCAGGACGGCCCCAGTCCAGCCCAGCTCTCCCGTTTTCCTCCCTTCCACTTCCCCCTTGTTTTTCTTAAACCTCTATTTTTGTCCCTAGTTTTAGGTCATTTTTCTCGTCTTCTATCTATTTTCTTTCAATTCCATACATTGCTATAAAATAAAAATAAAAGGCAAGAGTGCAGGTTGCTCCTTGGATATTCGAGCTCCAGCCTCTAGTCTAGACAATCCACCCCCAACTTCTTGTTAGTCAGCCCGCAAAAATCCGGACCAACTCAGCCGAGAGCTGCCCCGTTGCATTAAGTGTCGCAAAACTCGCGATGTCAAGGGCGGTTAAATTTCAGTGAGACACAGCACTCTAGAATGAGTGACCCCGTGTGTGTCGAGCCGAGGATTCCGTGTCCCACGGCTTATCTTCTAAGTCCTTTTAGAAGCACCCGCGAAGGGGGCTGGGAAGCAAGTCGACTCCCGTCATCGAATCCCCCACCCCCTCTGAAGGCAGGCTGACTCGTGCGGATATTGACTGTATCGCTGATCATCCCAGGAATCTACACCCAGGCGACGGTGAATTATCCAACAAAGGCGGTATGGCTCACGGGGGTGGAGCGAGGGGAGATAACCAACTATTACCCGAGGGACCTTTCCGTCCCAAGTTTGAACCAGGAGGGCGTTTACCTTGCCCACTTTCCATATCCTCAAGTTAACCGTGTGGGATTTCCAGCGCAGCACCGCAGCACCGTAGCCCGAACCTGGGTTTTGTTGCTTCGAACTTCTCGCTAGTCCTGCGTTTCCGGCCGTGGCTCGAAACTAGGGAGGCACGATTAGACACCGGCCCGGTCTTCATCCAACGTCCAGGACCATCTTTGAGACCTCCACTTGGGGGTGGGAAGCAGACTCCCCGCAGTAGACACACGATCCTGGACGGTTCACGCTGGCCTCCCACGACGTTCTTCGGCGCTTTCTGATCCCCGAATGAAACTTCGGACGGCAGCAAGATGATATTCAAGGACCACTGGCGGTGATCACCTATGAACGGATGAAAGCCTTTTCGATCCAGTTCGAAATATGTTTCCCGCCATAGCCGGCCCAGGTCTCTGCGCGCTAAGCCTTCACTCATATCTCACCTCCACGTCACTGATGCCGTCTGCCGGGGGAGTGATTATTCTCAGAGTCCGTCCTCCCCGGTACTAACTCTCAAGGTAGATGACTGGCCACCGTAATTGCTCGAGGTCAATCTGAATGACAGTAGGTGCGTTCAAGAGCCAGCTCCACAGACGGAGGAGTGTAACCCAGCATGGGATGCTCTTCAGCACCCGGGGACCTACCAAGAGTCTATGCCTTCATATTTTGTAAGCAGGAAAATGTACACAAGAGGCATTATGCGAATAGCCAGCCACGCCCCATTCCCACATCTAGGATCGAGGCAGGTCTGCATGAACCACCACGTCCCCTAGCCGTGAGGATCGGCGTTCGCGCAACCCTCCCTACTTGATACAAAAATAAGCGCCGACCCTATCCTCTCCCATAGCTGGATTCGTCTGCGGCGCGATGTGACGAGAGGTTAGCGGAGGGTTCTTTCTATCTAGACAATATACTGGAATCTTGTGGATGCCCGCTTCCTAGGTCCTGCATGCGTAAATTAATCTACGATCAAGCGAATGTGCGCTGCCGGGCACCCGTTGTGGGGAAATTGCAAGTAAATTAAATAATGGGCGATTTTGAGATCGTGGTGTGCTGCTTGATATATTGGCATATATTTGGCGGTATTGCTGCATAAAGGGCGAAGGCGGTGCCCTTAAGCATCCATATGATGGATTGGCGCCTGGTGAACTTTTGCAAACATCCATCGATTGATATCCCGGTCGAGGTCGCTCGTTCGTAGAGGACTGCACCTGATTGATTGTGAGTAATTTTGTCCAAACGAACGCGTCGTCCAAATATATATCACAAATGCACTGATGTGGTGTTGCAGGCCTCAAAGGGAGACGAGACGGACCTTGATGTCGATGCTGTCAACCTCAGTGTTAAGGGGAGAGAGATTGCTGTGGGGAGTGAAGATGATGGACGACTTCAAATCGCACGACCAACGGATACATGTAGGCCGTTATCATTCATCTCATTACAATTAGCGGATATAGTTTGAAGGGCTTACGTCAAGTTGCCTCCTTCAACCCCGCGTTATCGCGAGGAGCCCTTTCATCACCCGATTCATTGACCATCCTCCTTCCACGCCAAGAGCCCAAATTGATTAGTTGACATCTCCCGGGTCGAGAGATTACGCATGTAGACTTTTCATCGGAGCCTTCCAACCGAATGCACCCTTCTATCGTGTCAGATACATTGATATCTAGAGCCCTCTACTTTACTATGCCCGATTCGCGGTCACACTCCGAGGCTGAAGTTCGGTCATGGGGATTCTCCAACGTCTTTACCTGGACTGATCAACCGTAAGTTGATATTATCGCTACGCCGACCCGGATTCTTGAGAGGGCGTGATGTTTCTTTTGAGACGCCGAGAAAGGCCAATCTAGTATTTGGCCTTTACCCTGATGACCCCTTCGCGCCTTGTTTCTTGTCTGCCTACTCGCGACGAGCCCGCCGGTGACGAATTGTCTCCTGCATCACTGGGTGAAGTGTTGTCGTTCCATAGGGAGCGGAAGGAGAGCGAGATACGCCGAGATTGTTCGTGCTTTGTTTACAGACTCGACACACTTCCCCGCATCCCGGGTTTCTATGTACGCTGCAGAAGCAGAATGTCATGCCATTGTGGATGATGGGTAGGCCACCAGAGTGGACGGAGAAAGAGTTCCTCTTTTCCTTTCACTGCCCTTCCCCGTGGACGGACAAGCGCCAGTCATGGTTTAGGATGTTGATGAATAAGGGGTCATGTTTCCCTGGGCCTGATATGTTATGGTGAACTACCAACAACATTTCTTACGCTATCAGATGAACATGACGACCGAGTCACTAATGCAGACGGGTGGTACGACTTCTAGGAACGCTCATTATAGCCCGCATTCGCACGATGGCCTGACTACCCATCTCATCCTCCAGGGCCGGCTGACCATCACCTACCCTGGGGATGAGGCCCCGGAGAGGGTTACCCACGGTGTGGGGGAGAGGGTCGACGTGGATGCTGGCCGAGTTCATGAGGTTTGGATTGGAGACCAGGGTTGTACCTATGTGATAGGGGAAAAGTAGCCGCTGCATCACTAGTCTTTTACAACGCAATACACCGAGATTCTTCATCGCACCCTCCGGATGGCGAGTGGGTTTGGGTGGGCTTTTATCCATTATCGCCAAAGGCTTCGTTTGCGCTGGAAACTATGGGCCTGTCCCAAGGTGTAGCAGAAGGACGATATGCCGGATATGAAGGTGGTATAAGCTAACATGACGGAAATGCGATACCCATCAGAACAATGGAGATGCTGGTTTGAAGGAGGTCAGAGACAAGGGAGGGAAGCGCGAGTCACTCGAGGATATTCATCCATCGTCGTTCTCCTGGAGGAAAATAGGGAGACGCTGGCATGGGACGCTAGGTTGGATACACCCTCGACGGACCCTGACCAAGACATGTCGAGATAGATATGGACAGGGTGGGCGACTTAAGCATGTGGGGAAAATGTGGATAGGTCTTCTCAGGATAACAGAAAGTCGGGATAATGGACAGATGGTATCGGGGTCTACAATCATGTCTGACGAGGTCGACATCGATGCTACTCTGCTCTTGATTGCCCCGCTCGGGTAGACCCTGCTTTGGCCTCCTCATCACAGACGCACGTCGGCCTCAAGAAGTGGGGTTGCCGCGAATGGCCTTACTATAGTACGTCTGGACGGACAAGCTGACACAAGCTTTAGAGAATATGCAGGGACCGATGCCAGAGTCTCTTCTTGGAACCCGAGTTGAAGAGGCATAGAAGCATTCTCCTATTTCGGGTTTGATGAGCTACCTTGGCCCGAGACAACACTAGAGACCCGAGTCAGATCGAACCTTTAGGCAGCGAGGGTCGGTGACTTGACGTCTTCTAGATATGCTGGGTGCTTTGATGGATCAAATGTGACTGGTTGTGGGTGTGTGCTTGCGCTGATGGTCCTGGACTCTTTACTCCCGACGAGTATTGGACTTGAACTCATCATCTTGACTTCAAGAAGGACCTCCGGATCGACCCAAGCAAAGGTGGCGGGATAGGATCAAACTCCTACCCGCACAAGGAAGACAAACACGCGAGTCAATGGCAGTTACTACCAGGCGTGGGGCATGGTGAACTGGCTACCTACCTTGCTTGGGTGGGGACCTTGCCCTGGGACGGATGTTGGATGTTTGTGGAGTTAGAGTTGTGCCACTTAGAAAGCGGCGCCGGCCGGGTGGTTTGGCTCTCCATCTTACACATCCGACCATTCATTGATTCGAGTTCCTTTCCTTTCTTTTCTTTTACGGGATAGATATTATTGCATGTAGTGCAAGAGGCAACCCGACCCCCACCTCGCTCTCACCGAGCGATCCTAACGCATGCGTAACCCCGTTTTTCGGCGTATTAGTTTAGTGCCAAGACTCCAAAGTGATGCCGAAGGGCGGCTGGGGTTCGCGGGATTGGCTTCAGTCTGGGTCGTAACTCGTGCCCTCGGCCGCGGCGGAAGGCGGAAGCGGGACCTTCATGGTAATAATCGAGCACTGTAGACAATTTCGAGGTCGGGGGTCACGCAACCCTCAAATCCATGCCTCTACGTTTCCCAGGGCCCGTACGACAGCGCGCACATTCATTGCCCGTGAATTTATATGGAGGGCGATTGCGCCATCGCTTCAGGATGAGGGTGAACGAATAAGCATGTGGTCTCAGTCCTTTCGCCGCCAATCGGCAGGCTTGAGGTGGCTGCCGAAACCTTGCAGAGGATTCGGGCAACCGCCCACTAACCCTTGCCTTTAATTTTCACGTAGCGTAGCCTTTCTCGTCCCCCACGGCAGCGGTAACCTTAACAGGACGAGGGTTACCTTGAGCCAGGAAGCCTTGCGGAGAGTATTGTCCGAAACTAGATGGGCTTGGTGAAGGTGCATGGGGTGCTCAAGCTAACTAGCCCAAGGGATGACATCGGGACTGTTGTCAGAAAAATGGCCAAAGGCAATGGATCAATTGGATTCATTGCCTTGAACCACTCCAGTCTCTCGAGGGCTCTACTTTAGGTGGGCTAGGCGTAAAGGGGTTCATTTGATCATGTTGACCTCAAGTGCTAGCTTACAAGCATCATTGATCCCCGGCTAGGGTGATGGGGGCCTTGGTATGTGGAACCAGCGATGTTGGACCTCAAAACTTTGTTCGGCCTTGAGCCCCTACCTCTGCGGATAGGCAGTGAGGTGAATGCAGATGGGAAGGTACAAGGGAAGCATTGGAAGAGAATTTCCAAGGGAGTGCATGCACGTCTAGTTCGCGCCTGCCTGTAGACAGCTGCTGAGGCGGGACGGCCTCACCGATGCAGGTGCTTGCCGGGGAGACGCTGAAAAGAGAGAGACGCCCGTGGGAAAATGCATTCAGAGCTGGGAAGAAACCCGCCCCCTCCCTCTCACTTTCCCTCGAGATACAAAGTTGTAAAATAAAAATGAGTCCGGGCTTACTTCTCACTGTTCGCTCGCTGCTCACTGCTCGCGGAAGGGGCGATGACGACATCGGGGATTTCAAGCCCCCGCCTTTGATGCAACATACGGACGCCGCACCCGCTCTCGCACTGGAGCCAATGAGAGACCCCGGCCACGGTTCGGGGCCGGAGGTTTCACCTCTCATAAAATCTAAATTTTAGAGTCGCAGGCTTGGCAGCGTGTTTTTGGCAAGGGAATCTCGCTATCTCGGAGTTGGCCAACCTGGAAGTTGTGTTGTGATGTTGCCCGAGAGAGGTAAGGGAACAACCAGGTTTTCGTGCGTACCGGCGCAATCCTTTTCTGTTCTTTTTCGCTCTCGTTCCCCTTTCTTGCCTCAGTGTCACCTAATGGTTCCCTTCTTTAATCTGAATTTTCTTTTCCCTTGCCTCGTCCTCACCCCCGCGCCACTCGCCATCCCACTTTTGCTCCATCGAATGCGCCATTCTCCTGCGCCAAGACCGATCGGCGTGGGGAATAGAAGTGGCCCTCGAATGAATTTTCCCAAGCTAGTCGACGAAAAGTACCCAGTAGCTGGGCTTTTTCTGCAATTCTTCCCTTTTGTTCTTGTTAAGATTTGAGGGTTACTCGGCTTCGCCCTGGCCAAGAAAGTTGCCAAGATACTTCGAGAGTACAAACCGAGTTCTCTGTTGTTTGCTTGCTCTTCACTGGCTTGTTGCTACCTTGCCAACATCGGCCCCTTCCAACCTTGAAGAAGGGCATCTATAGACACTTTAGCGGTCCTTGATACGTAAAACACTAGAAAGATTGGTGGTGGGGGATAACCTAGAGCATTTTACGTTATGGGGAGCTCAAGTCATCGACAAGTACCTTCCCTCTGCCCTCAAGCAACGGAGCTAGGCAAGGAACCGGCGGCGTTCCTTGAGATCCCCGGCTCGGGGCTAGGCGGGTGCCTCCCTCTTTTTTTCTTTCTTTTTTTTTTTTTTTTTTTTTTCTTTGACTAGGCCCTGGTTTTCATAGGATCGAGATGGAAATCTCATGGATAAACCAAATTTTCGCCCCCAGCTCTGCGTTCTTATAGTTGGACTTGCCCTCTCCCTTAAAAGGTCGTGCTTGGCGCCCAGTGTCTGTCCCTTCTTCTACGTTGCTACTGCCACATAAAACCGGCTCTCTCAACTCTGCAACTGATCTATTGCTCCATTGGGTGTATTATATAGCTGGAGTCTTTTGAACAGAATCCTCATCAGCTTCATATCATCCTCTTACTCTCTTCAGCCCGGATGTAATCGGAGAAACCCCTTGCTGAAATCTATACTGAGCTACCTCCTCTACCAACCCACCCCCGAATCTGCCCTCTTCTACTTCATTCACCTTTTCCTCTTCACTTCTTATTCCCCCTCCTTCTCAACAGGAAAGAGGTGAATTCAACTTGTTAAACTCCAGCCGGCCACGGCTGGGTATCTGCCCATCTACAAGGACCGCCCTTTTCTTCCACGGGCATCCTTCCCACGGTTCTCGACATGGCCGTGAAGAACGTGCTCCGAAAGGTTGTCGGCTGGATCGCGCCTGCCCCGAGCAAATCTGAAGATGGCAGGGACCAATGGCCGTCCCGCGCTGCCTTCCTGCTCGCATCCATGGGTGGCTGTGCGGGTATGGGAAATCTCCTTCGATATCCTTCCCAAGTGTACAACAACCACGGTCTTCAGTGGTATATACCTTACCTTATGTGCGTCTTCTTGATCGCCATCCCAGTTCTGGTACTGGAAATCGCCATTGGTCAGGCCTACCGTGGCGGATCCGTCGTTGCATTCAACAGCATGAACCGTCGTCTCAAGGGCGTCGGCCTCAGTCTCTTGTACGTCGGCTTCGTCGTCGGCCCCTACTTTGTTGTCATTCTCTCCTGGATCATGAACTACTTTCGAAACTCGTTCATTAGCCCTCTTCCATGGACTGGACGTGGAGAGGAGTTCTACAATCAGGACGTTGTCGCCAACATCGAGCCCATTCCCGGTAGCCTGACGGAAGACGGGTCCAGAGTCCTCAGTTACACCAAGTACCCCGGCGTTGCCTTGGTTGGCGAAACTGTTGGCTGGACCGCCTTCACCTGGTTCCTCGTCTGGTTGTGCATCTTTCGAGGTGTCGGTTTGACCGGCCGTGTTGTCTACTTCACCATGGGCCTCCCCATCGTCATGACTTTTGTCCTCATTGGACGTGCCGTGTCTCTTGAAAATGCCGGTGCCGGCATAAAACTCTACTTTGCGCAGTGGAACGGCGAGAAGCTCGCCAATGGACAGATCTGGCAGACCGCCTGCGGCCAGGTTTTCTTCTCCACCGGCGTCGGGTTCGGTTATTTTACCTCTTACGCCTCCTACAACACTAAGCACTCTAATGCGGTAATGGACTCCATCCTCATCGTCACTAGCAACGTCCTCTTCGAGAACATCGCTGCCTTTGCTGTTTTTGGTGTCGTTGGTTTCCTCCGTCTTTTCCCCGAGGACGGCACGCGCCTCGGCAGCTTCACTGTGGGATTCTTGACCCTTCCCCTTGCCATCACGGAAATGCCCGGTGCCAACTTTTGGGCCTTTGCCTTATTCTTTACCCTCATGGTTTTGGGCTACAGTTCTGCCTTTGCCATGTTGGATGCCGTCGTCACCCTCGTCATGGACACCGGTATCAAGTGGCCGCGTGCCGTCGTTGTCACCGTCCTCACCGTCATCTCTTTCCTCCTGTCTCTCCCTTACTGCACTCAGTTTGGCTACTACCTGCTTGATGGCATTGACAGGTGGATCAACGATGTTGCACTTGTCTTCGTCGTCTTTTCCGAGTGTGTCAGCTCCACCACCGTCTACCGATGGAAGGACGTCGTCGGCCAGGTGGGCCGCCCTGCTTTCATTGTGTACAATGCTGGTTACTTCGGCGGCATGGTTCTTGGCGTTGTTCTTGCCCACACCGTGAGCCCCCTGCTGGTGCTGGAGTCGGCTTTGGACTTTTGTCGCCGGACTCGTTATTTCCACCGTCATCGCCAAGACCCCGACGCCGAAACCCCGAATTTGTTCAAGCGCAACGTTTACCTTCGCCGAATCTATTACACTGCCTTTTACTCTGTAAGATACACCCCACCCCAACCCCAATCGAAAAGGAAAAGAAGAGGGGCAAAAAACATCCCATATCCCGTATCCGCTGCTCCAGACTAACCGTCTTTTTTTCAGGGCAACCAACTTCGCCGTGATCTCAACGTAATCGTTGGTCGCGGCAAAAACTGGAATATTCCGGCCTTCTGGAGCCCCTCCTCCGATACATCGCTGGCCCCATTCTCGCCATCGTGTTTGGCTTCTCGTATCCCGCATTTTATAAGCTTCGATACGACCCTCTCCACATTCTTGGATTCGCCGTGGGCCATATTGCCCTCATAATCGTTGCCTTCGGCTTCATCGTCCCCGCTGGTACGATGTTCTTATCCCCCTCGTCGTGGAGAAGGCAAGATCCCATACGCTCCCGGAGTCTTGTTCGAGTCCGTGGTTTCTTCCAGCAACAGCGACGTGGATGGGATGGAAAGTGGAGATAGGGGAGAGAAGAAGGAACTGGTTCAGGATACCCCGGAGAAATAGGTTTCTTCAAGTTTTGCTTTAGTTTGTTTGTCTTGGATTATCTTTTCCTTTTGACCTGATCTTCCTCTTTTTTTCCTCCTCTGTTTCATGATTGCCATGCCAGACCCGAGGCTACAGTTTCGATTACGCGGTAGCTGGAGGAGAGGCGAACATATAGCTGAGTTGGCGGTGCCTATCTTTGGCTATCGTTGGCTTCAATTGGCTACCTAGGGATTTGATATCGTGATGCACGGCCATTTCACTTCTTTCCCCCAGTCTCCAAGAACCAGGAAGGCAATGCACAGGCATAGCCTCTCACATCTGTTCGATTAATTATATCTTACCGCGTGTTGGTCCGGCCGACGTCTACTGGCTCATGTCTGTTCCTTAATGAGACCGTGCGGATACAATTGGACATTGTACAGCCTCTGTCCGTATCTTGTGACTAACAACACTATCTAGTATCTTCTTGACTCGTTGATGCGGCGAAGGGACGACGCGAGGCTGTTTTCTTTTGTATCCGTTTTACTAATGACAGGCAGCATTGAGAGGTAAGCTCCGTATACCCGTCTCCGCGCGGTAATTCTGGCTATCGTATTTATCTAGCGATGATCTTGCTCAACGGAGATTTGGCCGCGGGCGATTAGTGATGATGTTTTGATCAACAGCGAGAAAACCTAACTCTATGACAGTATCCATAGATCGTCAATAGTTTTCTGACTGGCAAAGCGGCCTTCGTGAAGGGTTCTAGCTAGAGGGTATATAGATGTTGTAACCGGAGCGTACATACTACCTGAGCTTTCTGGACGGCCATGTATAAAGCACGAGGACGCTGCGCTTAGCCGAGAGTTGAGAAAAGAAGGGGGACGTAGATTCCAGGAACCAATTCAAACTATCCCTTGTGCCATCATTATTCAAAGCGCTTGCCACCGGGCGTTGACAGCAAGCTAGACTAGGCGAGAGTACTACAATTATATCCATATGCAACGGGGAGAAGTCGAAGAAAGGAAATAGAAGCCAATACGAAACACAGCCAAGCTCCCCATTCAATCACTTTTGCTGCTCTGCGAGAAGCTTTTGGCCCATGGTAGCGAGGTCGTTATTCATCAGCAGATCTTTTTGAATGCCGTTCACAACCTGATCAATCATGGTCGCAGCAATTTCCTCGACGGAAAGAGCCTTGAAGTAGCCGAGGGATAGCAGGCCCACCGCCTTCATCGCGGTCCTCGAAAAGAAGGCGCCCCTGGGGGTGATCAAACCCGGCCTGACGGTCATGGCCTCGATATCGCCGTTGCTATCACCGGCATACTTGATGACGGATCGCTCCACCTCACCCTGCGTCCTCGAGAGTTAGGTCATTGAACATAAGGTCATGGAATGCGAGGTTATTGAAAGAGGGGTGACTTACCCTCAACTTGAGGTATTCTTCGGCAAACCAATGGCGCTGTTTCTCATCTCGCGAGATGGAGAAGCCGCTGACGTAGACGAAGCGCAGGGGCTTTTCTGGGCCGGCCTCGTGCATAGCCTTGATGCCGGCCATAGTGTAATCGAGGCAAATGCGGCGGTGGTCGGCCGGGGTCAAATGCGACATCTTTGTGGGAGTAAGCCCGATGGTCCTACGGAGGGCGCCGGCGCGAGCGATTTGACGGCGGCGGTTAGTCTCCCCATTTCCCAATTCTCCGAAACAATCTAGAACTCTCATTTCGTGCCGGGCCAGTTCATGTACTCACCAGATGCATCCTTTGGCCCCGGCAAGCTCCTTTTGTCGGCTTCGGAATAATGATTAAAGTCCTTGAGGACGAGATTTTTCAATTTGGAAGGATCGGCTCCTTGTGGGGCGGTTATCGGCCGTCTGCTGACGGCGACGACGGAGGTGATTTCGGGCCTTTGGAGGCTCTGGCGGATGACCTCGGTGGCGAGGAAGCCGGTGGCGCCACTGACGATGAGCTTCATGCTGCGATGGCTGGATGGGGGCCTCTATTTCTCTGGGTTGCACAAGGCAGGGATTTTGCGGTAGATAGAATCGCAAAATCAAAGTCCAAGATCAGGCAAGACGGGGATGAGACCGACCGCAATTTCCTTGGGTTGTCCTTGACGGAAGTTCGTCGGTCTGATGTTCTTATTTTATGGCAATTGACGTGAGTGGGAAAATACATGTACCCAACGCATCATTGATCAATGCGGGAAGTTGCAAGGGGAAAGATACGTTTGGGGATTTGGTTGGTTTATAGCTTTGTGTTGGAGTCTATTCGGAGGGGAATCCTGCCATCGATCAGTTGATTTCAATTTCGATAACGTTTGTATTGGGGGATCGGACACCCAAATGTCGTTGCACGGCAGCCGTACATCTCGTGTTTGTTAAACCCCGAACAATTAACCCCGAGACAGATATTTGGGGGTCGGCAGTATGATTCTCGACATCCGCCAGAACGGGAACAATGAAATGATGTACTTGATGGCTTCTGGCAGTCGTTCCGGATACCTTTTTCCGCGGGCCCTCCATACGTACCGTACCGTACATTCGTACACGCAACCATGTGCGACATGTTGAAGCCACGCCCGCCTTCAAGTGTGACAGACCTGTCAGTTTGAGGTCAAGGACAGCCCGGCAATAGGACACGGGGTGGATCAATTGATGCAACGTGAACTAACCTTGCCCTACCTCGGTACATGTAGATGAAAGCTTTGCAACCCGCTTTTGTAGCTGTATCGTGAGGGGTACAGCATGATTGTGTTCAAGCATTATCTTGTCTCCTCGAGAGCTAGATGCGGTGCTCACACAAGACCACTTGGTCGATGAGCTGGGTTCCGCCGCCGCCCCAGTCCCCAAAATTTAGCATCGTGGGGCAATTGAGTATTGAATAGCCAAGTGGACCATTCTCCACCACCTCGTGGACCCGACATGGAGCCTATGTCTACATGCAGGGGTGGAGGTCTCTGGCAGCATTGAAGGTTTTCAAGATCCCGCCTTTATTTCGCTTTTCATACGAACCCGACGTATTCCTACCTGCCCTCGCTCAGGAGGAAATCGGATTTTCCCTTCTCTGCTCCATGGGTCTCTCTTCATTCTCTGCTTACTCCCATCACCTGAAGCCGCCATGAAGAACGCCATCGGCCGAGAGCTGTCAGGAACAGGACCGAGCCGACCGGACGAATTTTGGGTTGGCCAGTCACGCCAGCCCTGCTGGTGTATGCTAGTGTGCTAGCGGGCCCTGGCAATGTGCTTGACGAAATTGCCAAGCTTTCCGCAGCAGTGAAGACAACGTCGGAATACGTGATTCGAGGCCTATTTTCGTTTATCCATTTCATCGGGCCAAGGATCGATTGATTCGAAACGTGCTCTTCCATTCCCATTTCTTGTGTATGGGCCATGAGCCATACATTGTTCTCTATCGGCGGTAAGATGGATTTACGCACTATTTTGATGGCCAACGTGTGGCGCTCGCTGGCCCCATCCCAATCTTAAGTTGAGCGTTGATCAGTGGGTCAAGTGTACGGGGAATGGTCTTTTCCGTTCTTCTCAGCGCCGGGCCAACCCCCGAGGATGTTCATCATCGACAGACATGTCGTCTGTTATTAGGGAGCTGTGGCATTTCGGTATCACCGCCGTTTCGATCTTGCAAACTCGACAGAAATAGGGACCCTGATGAACAAAAACTGTAAAAAAGGACACCGCAGGGGGACAAGGCAGGACAGATGATCGCCCAATGGCCCTCTTCTCCAACACTGCCTCAACCTTGAACCGACAACACTGCCCATTGGGAGGGAACAGGGAATGGGAATGAGCCGGCACAGGGCCATGTCTCCACTTTCCTATTTTCTCGAATGCGACGCTATATCCAGCCCTCCTCATGAGCCTGAGTGCTGTGTCTTGGCGTAAACGGGGAGGCATTTGTCCGTTTCTTACTTCTACTTGTATTCTCATATTCTTCTGCCCCCTTGCCGATCGCGATAAAGGCAGCGCACTCCTTTTATTTCCTTTTCCCCCACCTCAGTTGCTGGTCCTCTTCTCCGTCATCTTCATCCCCTTGGCCAATTCCTCCCAACTTTGCTCCAAATTATCGACTGCGCGACTTCGCGAAGCCCCAAATCTTTTCACCTCGAGATGCTGCCGCTACGGCTCTTGTGCTCCCTCGCGCTGCCGCTCACCTCGCTCGCTGCGAGCACCCGTATCGTTTCCTCCGACACGCGACGCACCAACACAGGGCCTTTGACGGAAATCTTTACCCCGCCGCCGTCATGCACCGAGATCCGGACCGTGAACAACAGGTATCCGGACCTGCAGATGGGCTGCGAAGGGCCCGGCGGTAACGAGTGTTGTCCGCCCAAATGGGCGTCCAACCGCTACTTCAGCCCCGGCGTCTGCCCCTCGGGATACCAAGCGTGCACGCTCCCAACCACTAGGCAGCGCCTAGAAACTACGAATCTGTGCTGTCCCGCGTATGTATTCCCCCATTTTTTGGGCCCTTTTCTCCCAGAGCTGGTTGCGTCAGCGGCGCGTGTTCCTCGCTTCAAGTCGCCCAATACTAACGCTGTGCGCCACCCTTAGGAGTTTTGACTGCCCGACTGATATCTTCTACGGAGAGTGCCGCTCCTACATCAACACGCCGATACCCACAAACTACACCATCAGCGGAACCGTCTATTCCAGCGCCATGAGTATAGTTTACGCTACCCCAATCCAGATCCGCTTCCAGGCCACCGACTCGGGCGTTGTCCCCATCCCTACCGCCTCCTTCAACCTACCCGGGCCTCGGGCGGGTCTCAGTGCCGCGGCCAAGGCTGGAATCGGTGCCGGTGTCAGTGTCGGCGCAATTCTCATCTTGACAGCCGTCGTTTTCTTCATCAAGAGGAACGGCAGGCGCACGGGTGGACAGCCCGGAGGTGGAGAGGACGTACCGTTGCAGACCGGTACGGAGCCCGTCGCCGTGGCCGCGGACGCTGGGGATCGGCCACCGCCTTATTCTAAATCGTAATTGGACAATGGAAGATACAGCGCGGGTTAGGAATTGTACGAATATAGATGAGCTGATACCCCTTCAATTTTTTTCTCTTTCTTTGTCGTGGTCTCGCTTCTATTGGCGTGGATGCCTTTCATATCTTTCTTGATCTCTATGAGCTTCATGTGCATCAATCAAATGGTTTATCTTTTAGTGTCAACGACAGTTTACGCATTTTTTTCTGAGTGAGAACAAAGTGAACGAGTGAGTGAAGAGGAAGAAAATAATTCATTAAATCGTGATATATATCGTTGTACACTTTGAGTTGAGGATGTAGGGCAGCCGACACAGCTATCCATCCCGAGATCCAAGGTATCATATCTTCTCCAGGCTGTCTGTTGTGGATTGTTGTACACTTGCCGTCCGACTGCTCTCGTCTTTTTGGTGGAAAAAGACCTCGAGGAGCACTGGTAGACAAGAAACACAAGGAGTACAAAAGAAATTCAAGAAAATAGACGAGAAACGGAGAACAAAAAGAAAAGCCCAAAACTTCCCCCTATTTCGAAGAAGGATGAAATGGAACAGCGGTCGTCATTTACGCCTTGTGCTCCACGCCAGGCACTTCACTCGACCTGGTTCTCTTGTTGGCATCGAGAACCCCATTCTCGGAGCCGCTCTCAGCGCCGGGAGCGAGATGGGCGTCGCTGTCGCTGCCGCGGTGACCGGTGGCGGCGGCAGTGGACCTGGCCTTTCGGACTCGTCCTTGTCCTTGCGGTTGATGTAGCCGGGAGGCACCCAGGAGCGGGACTTCCAGGCCTTGACGGAGGGGTCGCTGTACATGAGGTCGACGTTTTCGAGACTGAGGCTGACGGACTCGTAGAGGAAGAACCAGACGACGATGGCGCCGACGACATTCATGCCGACGAAGACGTAGCCGTAGGCGTACGAGATGCCATCAGTGGCGAGGGGAGTGAGGAAAGAAATCATGACTAAAAGCAAGTGGGAGCAAGAGTTAGCAAGAGATTGGAAGCATTTCATCGTTTTTTGACAAGGAGGGCTAAATGTGGGTGGGGAGAAAAAGGACGTACAGTTTCCAAGCCAGTTGAAGGCGGTGGCGAGGGAGGCCTGCTTGGAGCGGGTTCGTAGAGGGAATGTCTCTCCGATGACGACCCAGCAGATGGGACCCCAGGTAGCGGCAAAGGAAGCGATAAACATGGAGGCGGAAACAATCATGATGATACCCGAGGTGTCGTTCTCCTCGGGGTTGAGGGCGGTGCCCATGGAGGCGAAGACGGTGAGCCAGACGGCCTGCCAGATGGCGCCGATGATGAGGGGCCAGCGGCGGCCAAACTTCTCGACGACGTAGAGACCGAGGAAAGTCATGCCGACGTTGATGGCGCCGAGGATGAGCTGGGTACGGATGGGGTCGTCGATGCCGGCGGACTCGAAAATAGTAGCGCCGTAGTAGAAGAAGTAGTTGACGCCGGTCCACTGCTGAATAAAGTGGAGAGAGACGCCGAGCAAGGTGCGGTAGACCTGCTTGGGGATGCCGTTGGGCTTAGGGATGACGCACTCGCGCCAGCTGCCGACGCCGACGGCCTTTTCCTTTCGAGAATGGTGCGCATCTCGGAGAAGTCGGCCTCGACGAAGCGGTTGTGGGGGTCGTTGCGGAGGCCGCGCAGGCGGGCGAGGGAGAGGCGGGCGTCGTCCCAGCGGGAGCGGGCGGCGAGCCAGCGGGGACTCGGGCATGGCGAGGACGCCGAGGCCGAGGGGTAAAGAGAAGGCGATGCCGAGGCCGATGACGACGCGCCAGGAGGCGGGGAGTCCTCGATCTCGCGGACGCCGTAGTTGACGCAGTTGGAGACGAGGATGCCAAAGGTGATCATGAGCTGGTAGGAGGCGACGACGGCGCCGCGGATCTGGCGGGGCGCGCACTCGGACTGGAACATGGGGACGCCGACGGAGAGGTTACCGATGCCGAGACCGGCGACGAAGCGGCCCATCATCATGTGGACCCAGCTGTTCTGGGCGGTGATTTGGATGATGGAGCCGATGATGAAGATGAGGACGCCGAAGGAGAGGGACTTGCGGCGGCCGAACCAGTCGGCGGTGCTGTTTGGGGGGCGCTTGGTTAGCGGGGGCGAGAGAGAGAGAGAGAGAGCTCCGAGACTTACTAAGACGAAGTGAGAGAACCGACGAGGGTACCGATGCTCATGAGGGAGACGACGAGGGACTCGATGATGGGCTTGAAGTCGCGGGTGCCGTCGGCTTGATCCTGGCCGAACCTGTTGATAAAGTCCTCAAAGAGGAGCATGCCGGAGATTTGGCCCGTATCGTAGCCAAAGAGGAAACCACCCATGGAGGTGATGATTCCTAGGAGGATGGCCTCCAGGCCGCACTCGGCGCCATTGATGCGGAAGGACCTATACAACAAGACAAGAAAGATGGCTGTTAGCCTTTTCGGAGCTTTTCTCAAGAGGCAGTGAAAATCCCAAATTATTGGATGGCTTGGCCGGCTCGGTGTGTAAGAGGTATCGTGGCCCAGGGTATATAAGCACTTACTTTTGTCCAAACATGGTGAAAGAGGAGAGAGAAAAAGAAAAAAGTATTACTAGCCCTCTCGTATCCGTCTAAAGAAGGGTCTATACTCTAGAGACTGCTTGAGAGAGAAAGAAAGGAATCAAGAAGAAGCCCAAACGAAATCCGGGGAAGGAGGGTGGGCGGGCGTCAAGTTTAATATTTCCCCGCGACCGCCGGTCTGGGGTTCAGGGACGGGGAATTCTCTCGACGCAACTCGGCATGTCAAACATGGGGCACCATAGCGAAAGGAGAGAAAGTGGGACGCCCCAAAAAAAGTACGATGACTAGGGTTGGGGGAAGGTCGGTCGGATCGTGATGTCAGCGATCCGGGACGAGAAACTAGCTGTGATGTAATCCGTGTGAGCGGGATGGGGGCAAGGGGGGGTGAGTACGTCTGGGCCAAGATGGAGTGCGCGAGTGCGCGAGGACTGGACATGCACGCACGGCGATCCGGAAGGAATCAGCGGGAGGGTTGGGCCAGGAATCTATGGATGTAGTGTCCTGTTGCACGTACAAGCCAAGCGTGGTCTGGCTAGGCCGCCGGGGGCGACTTGCCACGGCCGAGCCGGATTGTATTGTGGACAAGCACAGGGACCAAAGACCCCGGTCCACACTGGACCAAATCGAATGTGAGCAGAAAAAGGGAACGGAGTTCCCATGGTGCTGTATTGGAAAACTACGAGTACGAGAAGGGCCGTCTGGCGATATCCACTTCTTTCTCTGCGGAAAAAGGGCCGATGGTTTTGCTTGCGTACGTTTGCCAAACCGGGTCATCTGTTTTTTTCTTCTTCTAATAGTAGCGCCAAACGTCAAAAAGAAGAAAGGGGGCGGCCATCTCCACACGACGCCGGGCCTCAAGGTCTTGGGGAATTGTGCCCGTCTCCGCAATGGGGGATGGGGGCATCGACGGAGCCTATAACAAGACTGCCATCGGATGGAGCGCACATAGCCTTCAGAGTTTCGCCTGCCAGTCGGTGGCCCCACTAACTTTCTTCCGACCGTTCGGTGGGAATGGCAAATAACAAAAAAGAAAAAGAGGGGGTATTGGGACATGAAGCGGTCGAGTAGGTACTTCGGCCGGAACTTGATTTGCGGTTGAGAATTGATCCCCAATCCCCTCGTAGATGCCTTCATTGATGTTGACTATGCAAGTACGGTACCCCGCGATGACAAACAAGGACTGGCAGGATGCGTTGATCTACATTTCACCAACTGCTAAACGGGTTCAATGTTGGCTCAAGGTGAACAATGACTCGACTGGGAATCGATAATCGAACCGCCAGTGATCAATCGCCAGTTTGAAGCCGGTCAATGCACATGCGGGATGAGAAAAGGAACATGGGATCCTCCGAGTCCCGAGCCCTAAGTCTGTCGTCTCGTCTGTCCATTGCCAACTTGATGGAACCAACAGGCTGGAGTCGACATCGATGTAATCAACGTCTTCAATCTTGATTCAGCACCCAGTTCGATGGCTCTTTGGCTGCATCCATGATCCATCTGCGTAGATTCCCCACGTCTAAATTGACCCCAGACGCCCATCCACTTGGTTCGATTGGTTCGACGCCGGTGCCATTTGCGTCAGAATGTTCAAATCTTGTCTACGTTGGTCGGCACAGCGCCAGAGCGACAGGCTCGTGCCCTTTTTAGTGGGGTTGGGCGACACCAAGAACTCGGCGTCAACGAAGCCCTGCCCATGCCCAGACACAATTGGAGTGACGTCAGCGCTTAACAAGGGGCGACTTTTCTATTTTTTTTTCTTCCCCGAGTCTCACGCGGAACGCGGCGCGGAAATGGTGTCAGCCAAGGCTTCCAGAGTAATCAATTGAGACAAGGGAGGAAAGTTCCGAGCCTAGACCTCTGGGCTGGATTCATTGTTAGGGTGATAAGCTGACAGCCAAGGCGCGCCAAAGTTACGTCGTTTGCACACCCGTCCACGATCGGTAGTTGGCAGCGTCTTGCAACCTCCAAGATGCTCTAGCGGCTTCGAGGTTGCATCTTGGGCGGGTGGGGAATCGTTAAGTTCTCGGTCGAACCGAACCGAGTCGACTGCAGTCCTTCCATTCATGGAGGGCACACCTTGACAGAACACTGAAAAAGGAAACGGAAATCAAAAAGAAAAAGGGGAGAGCAAAACTTTGGCTGCCGTGTCGATTGTGGTTCTATCAAGGGCGGGGCAATGCACGGTGGTAATCCTCATCTCCCGTCAAGAGACAACATTGAAGATTTGATTGAATCCAGACTTTTTACTGTGACTGAATGATGTGTGCCCTCTTTCCGCAGCTCTTCTTTTTCTTCCTACACCACAGTTGCTACGGGCTCGCCTAGTATTCCAAGAATACATCTATGGATCTAAGTCTTAGACGGAATGGATCCTTGCATGGGCAACGATTATTCCATTTATTAGTGTCCACTTCCTCCTACTTCTCACTTCTCATGCCAGCTCACTAGCCCACCTTCCACATGGCACGTCTCAGGTCGGAGCCCCGCCAAATGCTTCTACTTTTCTTCTCCGGGTCGAGCAATGCAGTAGTAGCGGGCCCGAGACGGACAAAAGGCACGGCACTCCACCGGAGCCTTGGTATAATGGGGGCTATCCACAATAACTTTCCAAGGCGATCCACTAAATCGCCGAGTTGCTGCAAGTTTGTGTGGGTATCGGCTTGATTTCGGTGGCAGCTGGACAGTATGTGGACCACATGGGCGACTACTCTGTTCCATACTTTTGCGTGTAAGCTGAGCCTCGTGTGCCGGGCTCCGGGATATATTATACACGGATGGAACATCAATAGATGCCGGAGGACAGCGCCCGGGGGTTTTATTGGCATTACATAGAAAAAAGCCGTACTATTAGTGAAGAGGTGCACTTAGTTGATGCTATTGACAAAGGTTGATTGCTTCACGTTGTCCTTATCTTCGAACTTGCGGCAGTTCATGAACCCGGAGCCCGCCGTGAGCCTGCTCCATGTCCGATTTCGTGTGCTCACCCGAAGATGGTAAGACCAGTTCAGAAGTTGCTGCATCCACCAAAAGACCACGGTTTGGCCGGCCCCATAGGGCTTTGGTGTTATCCCCGACCCGCTTTGCGGCTCCTAAGAACCGACGTTCCGCCGAGCCCCAGCGGGTTTCCAGATGCAATGCCATTCCGGAGCCACATAGAAGCTAAAACGGCGAGGAATAAATGGATACTTTCACAGATGAGATTCGAGATGGGATGATTATCTTGTTTCCAAAGTCTATAGACCCACCAAACCGCCTGAAATCTCTCTCTTCTTTCCAGCATCGTTCTAACATGCCATAAATGCGAGACGCAGAATCCCCGCCTACTCTATATCAAAGTGAAACCCTACAGTTCAAATCGAAACGTTTTCCACAGTTAAGTCAGTTCTAGATAAGAACAGCTAGGAATTCCCGGGCGATCTTGTCCGGTGAAACTACTGATGGCGGCTTATACCGAGCTTTGACCTCGGACTCTCGAGTCCCAGCCTTCCTGTAAGCCGGCACCCTGTCGTGATCCCAGGACTTCTGCTCTGCTTTGGACGTTCCCTTAGACCCAATATAATACAGGAAGGGCATCTGCCTTGCCTTGGTCCCCTGCCATGCCTTGCTTCCCCGTAGACTTTTGTACGCCCTGGACTAGCCGCTTTTCACCCATGCAGACCCATTTCAACACACCATCCTCTGTAGCCGCGTCATTCAAGCCCACAAAAGGGCCGAGGCTATGGCTCGACGTGTATTTCAACAAGGTATTCTGATATTCAAGATCCATGGGGCCATCGCCCTTGGAATTCTTTGTTGCTCCTGTAGGTGATATGTAGAAAGACCTGGCCGCTTTCCCGAGGTCTTCGGCTGGAAGGAAGAGCGAGCAGATTTTTAGGTCTGCTCCATCGGCCTCTTAGATAGCTGCAAGCCTCTTTGACATGCTATAGATGATCCCTTCTGGTGTTTTTTCACCATCGTCTCCAGGTTGCAGTTCTCCTGTACGCCTTTCTTCCACCTTCCTGCCTGTCTACCGCTACGGTTCGCTTGCTTTCACGTGTGCATCAAGAAGGACCGTCCTAGTCTGCCTGGAGAGTTGAAACATGGGAAAATTGCCGATATTGATACATCTCAGAGGCCCCTAAGTACCCTTCTCTACTTCCCATCTCTTCCCGCCCTTTGGAAGCGCACGACGCTCTCGTGGCGAGTCAGAGTGGTCTATACATGAGGAGGGTAGTGCTATTCTCCAGGTCCACCGCCTCCGCTTGTTACAGAATAAGCCCTCCTTGGCTTCCTTCTCCTTTATGCTGCATAGGGCCTATGCAAAAGGGAGATGGAGAGAGAGGGGAGGCCCTTTTTCTCTATTATTCTTTCTTTAGGGCCAGCGAGAGCGTGCAATGTGTAGATGTAGCAATGTGATATTCATATAAGGTAAACAAATTTGATAAAGGCCCCACACCTGGGCCCGAGTGGGTGGGACTATAGAAACACCCTCATCGCGCCTGCTTATCTTCGAGGCCGACAGGGACCATCGACTAGTATCTCGGTTCGCGCATCTCCGCGGAGAAAGAGGAAAAGCCAGATCGCCTTGGGCTTCCTCGATTGCCAACACAAGTCGATAGCACAACTCATTGATACAGTCCATCCACCTATCATAGGATCTAGATGCATTATCACGGATGTCTGTGGATTGGTCGGCCTCTTATCAACGGTTGACTTCACTCAAAAGAAAAAAATGAAGCTCCCCAAGATCCTACAAGCTTCCGTGCGCGATAACCCAGCTCGCTCCGGGTTCGGAGCCTGGTCTACAACGCTGCTTGGCGCGGTCCGCCTCTGGCCCTCCTTGCTGCCTTTCTGTGGTATAGTAATCGTCCCTTTGAAGTTGCGGCCGCCAATCTTTGGCGGTTTCCTCCCCACACTTGAACCGGCGCTCGCGGTTTAACGTGATCATCAGAGTTGAGCCAGCGCGGATACACGAAACTGCCCAGAGTCAAGTCGGCTGAGGGAATCGGGGCGCTGGTGAGAGCACATATGACGAGATGGTAAAAGACTTATAGGAAGAATTTAGGAGATAGTTTTAATTTTTGTTCATTGGGGAGTTGAACCCAGGGTAACGAAGTTCACAGCTTCATCCGTCTCACCTACGTTGCGGATCATTCCAAGCTTTTCGCTTTCCGGCCAGATAGATATCATTACTAACATTGCACATAACAAAATGGAAAAAGAACAGGAAAAGGAAGCAAAAAAATACCCGACCCCCTTCACCCCTCTTACGCACAGCGAGAGGTTCGGAATCCTATTAAACTTGGCTAGGAGTGCTAGCACTGTTGATGCTCTTCTGGTCGCTCGTGATGGGGGCGCCGGCAACAGCAACGGGACCCTGAGCTCTCTTCTTCCTCGACATCAAGAACAGCGCGAGGCCAGCCACGAGGAATACGCAGCCGATTACGAGCATGGCGATACCGGCCTTGGTGAGGCCCGACATGCCACCCTTGTCATCGCTGTCCTTGCCGTCGTTAGAGCCGGAGGCCTTGCTGTCCACGTAGGCAGCGCAGAAAGGCAGCTCGCTGTTGCACGTGGTGCACCACTCGCCTACCTCGGAGAGCGAGCGTTCCGTCATGCTAGACTCGAAGTCGGACCACGAGAGGCTGTCCTCGCCGGTGCCGAACAAGGGGTACGAGGTAAAGGCGCCAGTGGTGCCGTTCTTGAGGAAGAAGCGGACGCGGAGGTCGTCGGTGCTGTCGGGGAAACCCGTGACGTCGTTCTCGGTAAAGAGCTCGAAGCTGAGGGTGGAGGCGTAGTCGGGCAAGCCCTTGAAGTCGTCCGAGAGCTCGGTGAGGCCGTTTACGCCGAAGAAGGCGAGCATGGTATCGTAGCTACCGGCGAAGAGGGAGAACTTCAGCTTGGCCTTGGTGGTGACGATTTGCTGGAGCTGGGCGAGGAGCCCCGCGTTCAGGGTGCGGGCGTGGATGTCGCGATCGGGCTGGCTGGCGTTGAAGTTGGTGCCAAACTCGGCGCTGTCGGCCAGGGTGCGGAGCTGGAAGAGGTCCTCGTCCGAGACGTCGAGGGAAGGGGAGGAGGCGTTGTGGATGCGGGCAACGTTGACCAGGTCAAAGATGTCGTAGGCGTTCTTGTACGAGAAGTTGGCCGGGGTGGAGTAGTCGTAGACGTCCTTGAGGGTGTCTTGGAACTTTTCGTAGAAGGACTTGGTCTCCTCGGACCGCTGGGCGAACTCGTCGCTCTTCATGAAGCTGTTCTGGGCGGTGATGGCGCTGGGGCAGCTGTCGTCGCCCTTGATCCAGATCGCGTCGGGGGCGTCGGCGCTCTGGCCGTGGAGCACGACATACTGGTAGCCGTTGAGGGGGCTGACGGAGTCGCTGCCGTTGTTGAGCTGGTTCGCGGCGAGGTCCGGGTCCAGCCCCTCTAGGGGAGGGTACAGGCCCTGCAGGAACGCGGTCGCGGTGTTGAGGAGGATGGCTTGGTCCGGGGCGCTGGCGGCGACCTGGGCGCTGACGTACTTGTCCTCCGAGACGCCGAGGATCTGGAGGGAGGAGTCGGCGTCGAGGTAGCGGGAGCGGAATTGGCTGCCTTGGAGGAAGTTTTGCTCCGCGCCGAGGCTGGTCAACTGCTGGTTCTTGTAGTGCTTGGTGGTCCCTGTCAAGGAAGGAAAGGAAAGGTTAGTTTGTGCCCGTCGCCGCGTTTGTTGGTTCGTGAGGATTCAGGTGTGGAACGGGCGAGCACTTACTGTCTCCGTGGCGGGAGAAGACAACGACGCCATGGATTGTCTCGGCCACGGCCGAGGTGAGCAAGGTGCTCAGTACGAGGGCAAGCTTCGTCATGGTGCTTCAAGGGGTGGGGGATCTGGCGCAAAATAAGAAAGGGAATTGAAGATGAAAAGCAAGAGAGAAGAAGGGTAAAGCTTCAAGTTAGGGCTCAAGGCCTTTCTCCAGGTCTAGGCTCGCGTTTTGATCAAGCTTTAAGTTTGGAGATGTTTTCAGGTTCAATCACTCTTAAGCTACACGATCGTTCTCCACTATACCCAAAGGACCAAAAGAAACAAGAGAGCAAAAAAGGTTCCCTTGGAGAACGGGAGCTTAAAAGCTTTTCCCCTCGAACCGAATTTTCTTGTCGTCCCCTCCTCCCCTGCCCCGCCAACCCAAGGATCCCAAAAGGTCAAGGTGACTCGGGCTGGCTGGCCAAGTGGGGTGGCGTGAAGGAACGTTCAAGATCCCTCCCCGCTCTCGCTCTCTGCTTCTTCGTTTCCCGCAATCCCAACCCCAAAGCAATATTTCGCGGTGGGAGGTGGCAAGCGGCGAGCGCCTCTTTTCGCAGATAATTTCCTGATTACTTATCCGGCATGTCGCGGGCCCCAGGGTTGGATGGGACGGATACTATGCCCAATCGAGAGAGAGACCCTGGCCAGGGTGGTGTTGCCGGTGCATTCGCTTCGACCATGGGTGAGCAGGACACCACCCGGACACATATTGATCCCCCAAAATCCAAGCGTGGAGCGCCAACCGCAAGCGGAAATGGTCCCGGCAGGTGCGGGGAACTCGGGCTGCTTGATCCACCCAAGAGCCACTGATAACGGACGAAAAAGCGCCTCATGGACGGAGCGAGCCGCCTTGAAAAGTTTCTCCGAGGAGTTTTGTTTCCTCAGGACCGTGACATTGAAGATTGACTGGCAGACTGCACATAAGGTCATCCATTGGTAGAACTTGTGTCAACACCCCACGGCCCCAAATGCGATAAGCCCGATCGAGGAACTCTGCTCGTCTCCGCCCATGATCCCAGTCACGCTTACGATGCACAATGCCAAGAACCGACGTCGGTGCCATGAAGGGGTCGCCGACACCATCGCTGACCGGTCGCCGAAGCGCGGTAATCCGGCACACGCGAAGCTAGACCATGCTTAACCCCACCTTGCTCTGACCTGACGCCCAACTAGTGTGTGACGGAACCTTTTACGATCCCCGCCAAAAGGTTTCTCTGGGCGAACAGAAAAATAGGAGGCTGCGGTTCCCAAGGGCGGACCATCACTGCCATACAGGTCTTCAGTGTGAATTCGCATGTCATCTTCCAGGCCATATGACCGAAGCCGATGATCATCGTATTAGCATATACATGCAAGCTCTGGGGCATCAATAAACGTAAATAGCGTTGCAATGCTGTTTTGAGGGGGCGGGGAGAGGAGCATGGAATGGTACTCGTACAATGGACGTATCTGTGGATCCAGACGACTGACCAGTCAGGATGGCCGGCTGGCGATATAGTCTTGAAAATGAAGAAAACGGGATGATTATAGCCTCACAGATAGAGCAACCCTCCTTCCTCCTTCCTGAAAGAAATATCCACTATTAATCCTACATTTTATATTTACGGATTCGTTTCTGTAAGGGATCACAGGGTATGTATTCAGGCAACCGCCCAAACCGATCAATAGTCTCTGCTATCTTATGAAACAGCTATTCACTAGCAGACTCTTCTCTCTGTTAAAGAAACTATACCTTGCTATTCCTACGCCTTTCCCTGACTTCAACTAATAACTTGCAACACCTGAGCCACCCTGAAGGCTCTTGTTTTATCATCAAGCAACAATGATTCGGCCCAAATTATCATTGACACACAATGCGTAGTTTCTACCGGTTCCCTTGACCCGGGGAGTTTCCCCATACTTTGACTGCAACCTATGTAAGGGCGGGCCATCGAAGTGGGCGGGCAAGAAGTTGAAATTCCTTAGCTCGACGTTGGTGAAGATCAAGATCAATTAAAGCGGCGTGGGCCAGGCCATGATTCATCATGGCGTGTGTCGTGAATCTCTCCAATATGACCGCATAAGAGTTCAAGGGAGGTCACGACGCATGCGGTTGTGGATGAAGCTCTATCCCCACCTATACTAAACAATCCCGAGATCGACAAGAAGCATAGACTATCATCTCTAGCTAAGTGTGCTGGCTGGTGAGCGAATACCAAAGTTATAGATCAGCTAAGAATACCATCTGTTTAGTACTAGGTTTTATGCAGGTCTATCCTGATGTAGAGATTTTCAAGGATCCGCTCTCGGGGTGTGTTAGGATTCTAGGAGTCAGTGAACGACCATGCCTTTGCCTATCACCAACCATAGATCCGTTTCATCCTCGCCTTGACGACAGCAACATGATAGATCAGTCAACCGAGGCACACATACAGTTCGCTCTTCTAGGAAAATCAAGTCCAAGATATCCAACAAGGGGTAGCCAAACTTGTAGACGTAGACATCATGGGAAGAAACCCCCTATGAGCCTTGGAACTGGCAAGTTTGACACCTTTTGACGAAGGGCTAGCAAAGAGTGCACCCGCGTCCAAGGTATCATCTGTATGGATGAGCCATCGTCAAGGAGATTTCGAGAGAGGGTGTCTTTTCTCGATCTGGACTAAATTTCATCTCAGGATTTCCTCACTTCTAACGTCAACGAGCATCCAACATGCGGCCTTGTTTTGTTGACCCCCGCCCCCGGGTACTATTTAGTTCGGAACGGCTTCCCTTCAACCTTTTCCTCCCATCACCATCCATGGATCCTCCGTTTACACTTAGAGTAGATAATCTGAAGGGCTTGCCGCCATATAGTGTGCAACCCTTCGAGACACTCCGCTCCAGCCTTCATGCTGGAGGCCGGCTGGATATACCTAAAGCGTGGAGGCCCCATGCGGTAGTTGGTGTTACACCTGGCACTTGAGGAAAAGGGAGAAGAGGGAGGCGGGGCTTTCTTGACGGAGACGATGCGGCAGACTAGTCCATCTCCCCCTGCGTTGGATGCCGCATATGAATCAATGCTGTGATGAGAGAACTTTGTTTCCGGTTCCAGATCTGTAGACGGTGTGCTTACGTCCTCACGGCCGCTTTGCTTGGTGTATCATCCCCTCTAAATGCGAGAAATATAATGGCGAGGAACATTTCCAACACCACGAACGGCCACACTATCAGAGAAGGACCAGTATGATCAGTGGTCTTCTGTTCTTTCTTTTTGTCTCCTGGATATAGGGCTGCCGCAGCTTAACACGGTACAGAGTTGGGGCTGGGCAGCGGCATAGAAGCGAGCCAGAGATTGACGGAATTGTTCCTTATCTTCAAACCATTGGGATCCATGGATATGTTTGCTGTCGTCCATGTGGCGTGGCGAGCCTCCTTGTCTACGGGACCCCCTTCCCCTCCCTTTTCATTAATGCTACTTGACGATCTATCGAGAAAAACAAGCCTGGCGTATCGGAAGATTAGATTTCAAGCGGCGCTTGTTCCGCGTTTTTAACCTCTTTCTCGTTTGTATCCAAAATTAAACTGTAGCCACGGCTGCTGCAAAGTTTAGATTGGCGAAACAAGCGGTGGTGCAGTGCGGCATTCTCCCTCTTGCATATCATACCGTACAACATGCCGCCGCCGATCGTCAAGTCGCGTGCCGCCCTTGGCGCTGGTTGGCTCTTAAACTTTGGGATGGTGTCCTGCCAGCTCAAAATAACATCCCTCGCACTCAAGTCACAGCCACACCCTACTGCCGAGCTGCGTTGTGGAGCAGAAAAGGAAAAAAAAGTCGGCAGCGTGAGCTTACTTACTTGCAAATATCCTCGGCCCCTCCCTGAATCAAGGGTCCATCCCATTGACTGAAATAAACGCTGTCTTCCATGGTAGGGTCGGTCAGATAATAAGCATACCACGTTCTGTGCAGGCCTTGATCTCCCCCTCCCGATTGTCCCACAATTGTCCAATCAGTGCATTGGTGGGGGCTGCGATGAAGCGTCGTTGAGCGAGAATGGGAGGGTACTTGGTGGGAGGGCCGTAAGACTCCGGGGAAAGTTGCTCCATCCCCTGCTCGTTTGTGGCCCTGAAGGAAATTAGCTTGTGTCAATCGATCAATCGAATACTACCCACCAGCCCTCCGATCTCCTCCCTCTTGGCTCAAAGTCCGGGAAGCATATTAATATCGAGGGAATAAAATCTAAACAGTCTAATATAAGTGACGGGCATTTCCTATTCACCTTGGACAAGGTGGCGAGGCTTCTCCTTCTTGGTCCCCTCTGAACCTTTCGCAGCTCTCGTCGCAGCTCTCGTCGCCGCTCCCCCATTTATTCGACGCCCACCCCTTGGGTTCTGAGCGAGAATGAATTATTCCACCCTCCCGGAGGTGGCGCCGGACTCAGCGCCAGAGGCCCTTTCTTCGACCGAAGCGCACGACAGGACCGGCGCGAACCTCGGCGATCAAAAATACATAGTCACCCAGGACATGCATCCAGCCTACCCGGATCGTCATGAGAACTTGACGCCCGGGGCCTTTTCAACCGTGTCGCCAATGAGCCCGGCACCTCCCTATAGGCCGCCACTGAATGAGGTCTACTCTAATAATTATCCAGCCAGCATGGGTGCCGGCACCGGCCTCGGGGTGGTGGACTGGGAGACAGCACAGGGGCCGCCCGGCGCGACGAGGCATGCCGATGGGCAGGCACAACCACCCTCAACCAAAGGCGACGAGGCGAGGATATGCGGCCTAAAACGAAAACTGTTCTTGATCCTCCTGGCTATTGTTCTCGTTGTTCTCGCAATCGCAATCGGCGGAGGGGTTGGTGGGGGCCTAGCTGCGAGGAACAAGGCCCAAAAGGCATCACAAGAAGCCGAGGTTGAGACCGGTGACGAGGATAGCGTTGTGTAAGAGATCCCTTCTAAACACCCCCACGATTCCCCGTTGCCATGGCGCGAGATGGAGGATGAGAGAATATCTCGCTTGTCCCTTCACTGCTATATCATTTCTAGGAGAAACTCTCAAGGTGAAGGGGAAAAAACAAAGAGAGAGAGAGGGAGAGGGAGAGAGAGAGAGAGAGAGAGAGAGGCCAGAGCCAGGAAAGGGTTCCTTCTTGATAGCTAACCTTGGGATTTAGGACCCCAACGCCTTCTGTGGATGTTACTTCTTCCCCACCTGCCATCACTTCTGCTCCAACCACGTCTTCGTCGAGACTAGTACCAGCCCCGTCAAGTACGAGCACACGAACCAGCGTCAACACGCCATATACGTTCGAGGCGTATTCCGGTACGAAATATACGGGCCTTTCTTTCAATGTCGAGTCGGATCCTGGTTTCATCGACTTCCCCTTCAACGTGACGAGCTACAAATGGGACCCAAAGGGCGCAGACTGCTGTGTTGTATTTTGCCAGGGCGAGTCAAAATCCGTTGGATGGAGGTGCAGCAAGTTTGACCGCGAGGTCTCCACTGCTCCCTTTGATAGGTTATTCCTCGGCTGTGGCAAGGGAAAGCCCACAGAGGACAATCAGCGTTGCTCATAAATAAAACCAATGGCCTTTTGCTCGTTGCAATTGGCTGTCAGCTCCCTCGAAGCATTGCTGTATACAAGTGCTCTTTCTTTTCTTCTCTGGAGCTCGATGGGGAACGGCGTCCGTGGTGGAGCGAGGTGGAGAGCGAGGTGATGAATCACCCGTGATGAATAACACCCGCTGCGGCAAAAGGTGATAATAGCTCCCCTTCAATGGTCCAGTTTTTTGATCGTGGGGTGGGGAGTAAGCTTAGCTGGGTCGGAGCATCGAGCGAGCAAATGTTGCGTTCGCAGATGCTATTGGAGAAGATATGGCGGAAAAGTCCGCCGAGGCGACCACGATGGAAGATGACACGGAGTTTTGGTCTCAGCGCGACAGGATGACATAGACGAGTAGAAAATACCAACGAGCACTGAATACGCCAAATGGATTTTCCCGCCTTCAATGTTCTTTCTGATCAATTGGTCTCACCAGACACGCTCCACACGGCAGAGCCTTTGCTGATGGCGGATTGCCCCACTCAGCGGTTTGTAATTTGCCCCCTCTCAACAGCCCGTCTACTGTTCTGAAGAGGCACAGCTTAAAATGCCATCCGAGATGTGCCCCAACAACCATTGACCGACATTGATATTTGTTGGAATTCTCCATCTCGGCCTATTCGCGCTGTGATCTATGCTCTACGTGGAGGTGAGGCTTCCTTGCAGAGGGAAAATGACGTCACATCAAGGACGAGAAAGTACCGGCTGTTCCAGAATAGTTAATAGCCAAGTTTGAGGAACAATTACAAAGGAAAAAAAAAAAAAAGAAAAAAAAAAGGGGTGTGAGAACGGGGGTCGCGGCCCTCGGACGCCTCAATATCTTCGGTCAGTCAGTTGATGGCGGTGAGGGGAGAACATAGAAGGTTAGACTAGAGATACATGGACGAATGGATCCGTCTGTTGGATGGGTGGTTTGTAATGATAGAGGGGTACAGAAATGCATTTAACAGAGTATGCTCGAGAAAGCAGGGCGGACCATTGATATATCGGGGTCGTTCTTCGTTGGAGCACGAATCACCTGCAACCCAGCCATCCGAGACGTTGCGGGCAAGCTCGTTTGCCTGATCGATTGATAATTTCAAATTATTCATGCTTTCTGTCGGTGAGGCAATCTCAGCGCTTAGGCAAAAGATGATTGAGTAGATAGTGTCGGCATGGATTGTTTCATTGTACTTTCAGCAGCTTAGGGAGCTACCTTTTCTGAGAATGACCACTATTCCTGGCAACCCAGGATAGTACTTCCTACATGTGGTGATTAAATGAACAAGGAAAGAAAAACCGTTGACGATAATACATAGATCATGCAATCGAGATTCATGCAGGGGCTAGCTATTGAAGGGCGTTGCGCAAATCCGGCATTTCGAGTGGACGGTGTTTCTCCTGGGATGCTCCTTCCTATGAATAATCTTAAGAACATCATGCTTGCCAAACGTCTTCGTTCCGCGAATCCCGGCTTGGTTGGGCTCTGCTTCGCGTGGAACCCAAAGCATTCTCGCGCACACTTCGACTGGAATGCCCAAACTAGAAACTGGCGCCTAATTGCGTGGTGTTGGGTTGGTTCCTGCGAGCATCCATCCATCTCCTTGGATGATTTGAACTTTTGATTGATGCCTCACTGCACCTACCAAGTATTTGATGTCCTCGCAGCTTGCTGTCTCACCCTGTGTTGCCTCCTCCTATTGAAGACACTCGAGTGATCGCAATAAGCGGATGCGGCAATTATTATCACCTATGCGTGGAATGGACCGCCAGTTTGGGCGGGATAGAATGGAAAAAGTCGATACCCGGCGCCTCGGGACATGTCCATCCATTGGTTCAGGGTGGTCCATGGATCAATCAAATTCACCGACTTGTCACTGATGATCCTTGACCACCGCGAGATCTTTTTGGAACACGGCAAGGTCAAAAGGGTGTGGTCGCATCCTCCCCTTCCGCACATCACAACGGGTAGGGTATCGTATCGGTTTCTCGTCTTCGATTCAGATGCCGTATCCGTTCTTTTCTCACTGTCAACTTGATTTTTCTTTAAACCCCAAAATGAATCCTGTGATCTCCTCCGATTGATGTTTACGCCTACGTCGATGCTCATTATGCTGAGAGCATTCGAGGGAGACCACGCAGAGGCTGAGGTACTCGTCCTCTAGAAAAGTGAACTACGACTCGGATCATCAGATTGGCTAGGTGATTGCATAATACATGCGTTTTGTAATATCTAGCGGCCAGCCTGGTCAACTCACCTGGGTTTGCTCTCCTACAGCTTCAAATGCTACCGACACTACATATAGAATTGAGTCCTAGGCTCGATGCTCCTATTACCTCACTTCGGGGTGGCCTAGTGGCGCTCTCTCCCCTCTTGCGGCATGGCTGATCTGCTTATCGATGGTCCAGAGGTCCTCGCCGGCCATCGCTCGTTCCTTGTCGTGCTATCACCTGACCCATAATAACTGCCCAATCTTAAACCAAAGACTTGGGTCGGTTATTGATTCCACTGCATGTACTTGTCTTGCAAGGAATTGCCTGCCGAGATTTACCAAGTCTAAGGATAATCCATAAGAATTGCCTCGGGCTCTCTGGAAGATGGTCTTTTGGTAGGTAGGACAATTCTGAAGTGAAGGCTTCATCTGGGCTGGCCTCTGGCTTTCTGGTCACTTCGGTAACAACTGGGGTAAGAACGGGTGGGCGAAAGCGGCTGTAAACCAGCCGGGGTCCCATCACCGCCTGTTCAGGGAGCTGTATCAGGCTGCTCGAGCACATGGCTAAAGACGTGAGCTGCCCGTTGGCGAACCCGCCACAAAGCCTGTTAGAAAGCTGGGCTCAACAAAGAACGAATCGAGGAGCCCTAGACGAAGATTGATGTAATTTTTGCTCCCTTTTCTTTTTTTCTTTCCTTTTTGGCTTGCGTAAGAAAAATTTTAGGCCTTGGCCTTTCGTGTTGTTCCCCTTGGTCGCCAATTGGTTTGCCACACTGAAAAATTAGGTTCGGAACGAGCTCAATGGTGTTCATTATCGCCACCTTAACGCCGAGGTAGGAAAAAATTCAAGCCTGGGACTGGGAGTGCATAGCGGATGTTTTTGAAAGGGGGCTTGGTCGGTCGAGGCCTCCGTTGATAGGGGGCTTTGAAACGAGGCGAGCAGGAAACGGGTTTATTGCATAACGCAGCAGCTGCGCAGCGTTCTCATTTCAACAGCCAAACATTTCCTTCCGAGAGCAGGGGCGCCCAGGCCGGAGCCTTCGTGCCAGAGCTGACAGTGCACCGTGCGCCAGTCAGGGGCGCCCTTTCAACTTTTGCTCCACTTTGGGCTGCTATTTCCAGTGAAAGAATGGACGACGCTCAACTGTCGAGGCCCATCCGCGGCAAACAACTGGCTGCAAGAACGGGTCAGGCCACAGCACATCGGTCACTGGACCAAAAACTCGCCTCCTCTTCCTCTTTCGAAATCCATCCATCTCTCCTCCCTTCCTCCCCCTCACATAACCCACCATCACCACTTCCTCACCGATCTTTGCCTCCCGCCTTTCGCTCTCCCGACGCGGCTCCATCATCAGGTAAGTTATATCTTATTCTTTTTCTTTCTCTTCTCCTTCCATTTATTGCCATCCCCCTCCTATCATTTCTCCCACGCACCCATACCTAAAACTATTTATCTCTCTTTACCTAAAGCCCTAAGCCTTCCCCTCAATCCGCCCCAGCGTTCATCCCAAGGCCATCATCGTCGTCCCCTCAATCCCTAATACTAACTCACTCCTTTGTCTAGGGTTTAGGTGTGTTATCTCCCCGAATGTTCGATTTTCCGATCACCCTACACGCGTATTCGTTTTTCTTGCTATTCATCACCGCACCCATCTAAGAAGGGGCAGCAGTCGCCCTTTCCTGTGTCAACCTCCCCTCTCCACTATTTCTCCCAACCCCTTGGGATTCTAGGCGTTTGCCTCCCAACATTTAAACCTCGCTTCACCTCACAAACTACCCTCCACGTATTCATTTCAAGCCTCAATTCCAAATCACTAACCGCTCTGACTCAATAGGACGACGTTTCTCACGTCCCCTCCCTCTAATTCATTCTCGATTTAAACCAGTTCGCTTCCGTCCTTTGGGAACGGTTGCAACCCAACACCGCACGACATGACGACCATGGTAAGTCGGCGGGCCTCGGGATATTCCCAGTCATCACATCACGTCTGTAGTCAAACAATCCTAACATTTTTCTCTCATCAAGGATCTACGCGTCGGTAACAAGTACCGTATTGGCCGAAAGATTGGATCGGGATCTTTCGGTGACATCTACTTGGGCACCAACATCATATCGGGAGAGGAGATTGCCATCAAGCTGGAGAGCGTGAAGGCGAAGCATCCCCAGCTCGAATACGAGGCCCGCGTATACAAGTCTCTGGCTGGCGGTGTTGGTATCCCCTTTGTCCGCTGGTTCGGTACCGAATGTGACTACAATGCCATGGTCTTGGACCTCTTGGGCCCCAGCTTGGAGGATCTCTTCAACTTCTGCAACCGCAAGTTTACTCTGAAGACGGTCCTTCTCCTCGCTGATCAGCTCATCTCGCGAATCGAATACATTCATGCCAAGTCGTTCATCCACCGCGATATCAAGCCCGACAACTTCCTCATGGGCATCGGCAAGCGAGGCAATCAAGTCAACGTCATCGATTTTGGTCTTGCCAAGAAGTATCGTGACCCCAAGACTCACTTTCACATTCCCTACCGTGAGAACAAGAACCTCACCGGTACCGCCCGATATGCCTCGATCAATACTCATCTTGGTGTTGGTAAGTTGCTGCCGGTTTTGAAATACTAAACACTGTGCGATGCACGGGATTTGTGCTTACTCTGCTGCCTCCTCTCCTAGAACAATCTCGCCGTGACGATATGGAGTCGCTTGGTTATGTCATGCTCTACTTCTGCCGTGGCTCTCTCCCTGGCAGGGTCTCAAGGCTGCCACCAAGAAGCAGAAGTACGACCGCATTATGGAGAAGAAGATGACGACCCCGACTGAGGTGCTTTGCCGTGGCTTCCCCAACGAGTTCGCCATCTATCTGAACTACACGCGTTCGCTCCGATTCGACGACAAGCCCGACTACAGCTATCTCCGAAAGATTTTCCGTGATCTCTTCGTTCGTGAGGGCTTCCAGTACGATTATGTGTTCGACTGGACAGTCTACAAGTACCAGCGAAACTTGAACACCAGCTCGTCCTCGCAGGCCGCCAACCCCAATGCTGTTGCTGCCCCAGGCGCTCCGGGTGCCAAGCCCAACGCCACCTCGTCCCGCCGACGACCTCAGGAGCCCGAGGGTGATCACGGTGTTGACCGACTGTGAGTTTCTTGCCGTGCGCCTTGCACGCTTTATTCGACGAGGCCATGTGTCCCATAGCGGCATTTTCCACATTCTTCAAGTACAATCTGCTTACATTCCGAACAACCAGTGGACGATGAACGGTGACAACCAGACTCTGGACGGACCCGCCCATTCCTTGCACCAATACACGAGCTCGAGCTCCTCGCCACTAGCAAAGCACTTTTGTACTTGAGCGTTCTTCCCCATGATAATTCTGGACCCGAGGGCTAGGAGTATGCCGTCTTTTGAAGTCGGATCCGCGACGCACCATTACTAGGAATTACCAGTCTCTCCCGGAGCACATCTTTCTGGCGGTATCTATCCGCCTTCTCCGCTGCAGAACAAGGTTGATTGGCGTGTCGCGCGCTGGACCCTGTCCACAAGCATTTCATATTCCATGGGTGTTTTCTTTGCAGTATCTTTTCCTTTCCTACTTTTCCTTGCATCCTTTAGTCGTTGCATTGGCTCGCGATGAGATTTAGCTATGAGCTTGGTACCCGCTTGCTGCTCACCAAACAAGCAGAGTTGAGGGACTACTTGGCTTACTTAGTTGAATCTCATCCGAACGGCATGCCCGGTGGTTCTTCCTTTTGAAGAATCGCCACCTCCGAAGGCGAAAGGCGTGGAACATCAAACGTGGCATTTCAACATATCTGGCAGCACGCTTTCTCCTCCGTGCTATCACTCCGTGTTTGATTCTTCCGCCGGCCCATAACGAATTCAACCAAGGCGGACTATCCTAGCAGTCAGACCTCGAGCCTCGTTTTTCTTTTCTTTCTTTGTGGTCTCATCCCATCCTATCCCTTCCCATCCCCCACCCCCTGTTACTCGATATTTCCTACCTAGCGTAGCTTCACCTCTCAACATGCCCCCGTCTCAAATCACCGTTGCTCCCTTGGTCCAATCGGATGCCCGAAAACGACTTGATTCACAGTTGAGGGATGATAGGAACCCTTGCTGCGTCGGGATTTCCACTTGGCATGCTCCAATTCAAGAGGGCTATGGTCGGTCTTGCTCGATGCCCTAATACTCGAGTTGAGCTTTCTGTTATTTGCTCTTGGTCGCGTCCAACTCAAGTCTCGTCTTGCTTCCATCACCTCGTTCATCAGCTACAGTGTCATGATCACTGATGTTCATGCACCACTCGGTCAAATTTTGTGGTTTGTCGAGCCCATGAGAGGTGACTGAACAGAACGGACGAGAACCGTTGACCGCAGCAATCGGATGCTGGCTTCAAGTACGTGACGGGGAGGGAGGTTTAGTTATCTTTTTATTAGCATGCTGAATCAAATGCGTTTTCCTCATTTCTTTGACAAATTATGTTCCATTCCGCCTCCTTGTGATGTAAGCTATCTCATATTCCCACAAACTAAGCCACATGCAAACGGCGCCGCGTATGTAAATCTCTCGTAGCCTCTGGGCGTGCATAACGATATGACTTCACCCAAGATCGCTTCACCCCTTTGGCGAGCCCGTGGCTGGAAAAGGTTGGATATTATACGTTAATTTTGCATCACCCCGAGTTAAATATATGGCGAGAATGGGGTGGTATGAGGCGTATGCTTAACCTGCGGTCGACGAACCTGGTCCGCGTTCAGGAAGTTTTAACGTCGTCAAGAGAGTTGTAGGGATGCAAGAGGTGCGTCGTTAGTCGGCGGGGAGTCAAGCTAAGATCAAAGACCTGCTCCTCCGATGGTATCAGATGATATGCGATGGATCGGGAATAGAAATGCAATTGATCATGTTCGCACCACGACGAACGACGAACCAGGTGAGACAAGAGGTAGTGCGTGGCGTTCCGTTTCCGTGGGGGAAGGGCGGAAGCCAGACAAAGAGGCAGGCGGTGGTGGGGGTGGGGGATATAGGTGGTTGGACCAATTTAGGTGAGGAATGGCCCAAATCGATTGGCCAAGACCCTGATGCGCCGACTTCGCCATGAGCGCCATGAGCACAACTGGCCAAGGTCATGGCCTCACTGAGACCCTCTTTGGTTTAGCGCTATGTTGCCAGGAGCATTAGAAATTGGTCCATGTCCATTCCGTTCCGTCCTGTCTGTCTGTCTCCTTTTATCTGATCTGATCTCCTTGACCAACCCTAACCTTCTCAGCTCAGGTGCCGTTAGGAATACTTTTGAATCTTCCGTCGGGTTGTGCAACCCTGCTTTTTCATCTCTAGTCTTTGTCCTTTTGCGAGAAAAAAATTCTTTCTTCATCTTCCTTTTTCCTCTCGTATTTTCCCCTTTCCTCTCGTCCTTTCTGATCGTAGAGCGGCCCCCTACATTTCGTCTCTCCGAGACCCAATCAAGACGATGTTTTGGGGTAAATCAGTTTCCTTTACGCCGAAAACGGACATCCCCTCGCTTGAGGGCAAGGTCATCCTCGTCACTGGAGGCGGGAACGGGATCGGCAAGCAGTGCATTCTCGAGTTTGCGCGCCACAGTCCATCACGCATCTGGCTGGCAGCCCGGAATCTGGAAAAGGCGCGCGAGGCGGTCGGGGACATCCAGAAGGAGGTCCCGGACGCGGCCATCGAGGTGGTGGAGCTCGATCTCACCTCGCTTGAGTCGGTCAAGGCGGCCGCGGCGCGGGTGTTGGCCGAGTCTGACCGCTTGGATGTCCTGCTCCTCAACGCGGGCGTCATGGCCATCCCGGCGGCGGTGACAAAGGACGGCTACGAGGTGCAGTTTGGTACGAATCATGTCGGTCACGCGCTCTTGACCAAGCTCCTCGTCCCGCTTCTTGACAAGACGGCCAAGGGTCCCGGCTCGGACGTGCGCGTCGTGGCCCTCTCGTCCATGGGGCACAACTACACGGCCACCGGGGGATCAAGTTTGACTCGCTCAAAACCACGGGCGAGGAAATGTTCACCTACGCCCGGTACGGCCAGAGCAAGCTGGCCAACATTCTCTTCATCCGCCAGCTCGCCAAGGAGTACCCCCAGTTCACCGCGGCCGCGGTCCATCCCGGCGTCGTGAATACGAACCTTTTCCACGCCGCCACCGACACGCCTGCCATCTTGAGGATCTTCCTGCCTCTCACCAGCTATGTTTTGACCACCATCGAGACCGGGGCCAAGAATTCTCTCTGGGCATCCGTCGCCGAGGGCGTCAAGAGCGGGGAGTATTACGAGCCTGTCGGCATTCCAGGCAAGGCCAGCGCGTACGGCAAGAACGATGAGCTGGCAAAAAGTTGTGGGAGTGGACCGAGAAGGAGTTGGAGGGATATAGTCTCTAAAGAGATGTGGAGCCTGCGGCAGCTCATCGTGCGGCGAGGACGACAACAGTGTCTCGGTGCATTCATCTAATATCACATTAAACATAACCCTAAGTGTATAGAAATAGATCCATTAGACCTGCCATTACAATGTACATGTACCGCTTTCTTGTCAATGTCTGATCGGGGAAAACGAGACCCTACCAAAATTATGCACAAATCTCTTCAAGTTTTCCACTTACATGTATGATGTACCGTCTAGAAATCTGACAGCCTTGCCATGGGCGATTGGTTTGCTGTGCCCCGTCAATATTAGGTAAATAATCGATGGGCATCAGGACATTGGTCCAACTCGCGCCAGCGGCTATGGTGGCCAATATGCTTACGATGGATGCAGACTATAGCACGACATATCGTTTCTGACAATGGATAAATCCCCCAAGTTGACGAATAAAAACAACATGAATGACCCCCATGTCCACACTAACCTTGAGCTTGATATCCTTGTTAGCATCCGCACCATGACATTGAATTCAACCCTTACTTGTAATAGCTGAAAAGCCCACAGTGCATGAGCCTATAGTTAGAAAAGTAGGGGTTCTTTTTACGTTGCTGTTCGATGAACCTTTTAGACAGCTCGTTGCATGTGACGTCCCAATGCCCTCCTCACTTCCCTAGCTACACGTCCGAGTAAAGAAGACCCCTTATGTCAAGGACTCTTTGATCGGCCAGTCTACATTCATCACCTTGTCGGATGCCCCCGAGAGCAAGCCGTGTCGGGGCCTTTGGGTTATCCCCACTTCTAGCCGATAAAGAAAAGCATGCATCATTCCGATCAATATATGACTCCCCTTGATAATCTCTACGATGGAAAGCCACTTGAATTGTATGCGCAGTAGAGCACCTTTCACTGGTATTGATAGGCTCGTTACTGAATGTTCACGCGAGGCCGTGGTGCGGTCTTCTAAATGGATTGGGACAGCCGAAGGGGGTATTTGAACCCTCCCATGCATTGATGCCAAAGCTTGGATGAGGCAGTGGCCAACACCTCGAGGGACCTCATAGATCCGTAAGCGCACTTGTCTTCAGACAGCCCAAGTTTAGCAGTCAGGGCCAGCATCGGAAGGGCCAACACAAAAGTTGATAGGTGCAAGTTGATGCCATGGAGAACGTGCCACTTGCCGAGCGGGAGAGGGGCATTAGCCACTTCTCAAAGCCGAGCCTAAGCACGGCCCGCGAAGTTATTGACGACGGAGCAAGAAAGATGTCAAAAATGGAAGGGGATGACGATGTGTGTGGATGCTGATCAAAACGCGGCTACCGCTGTGGACGGGCAGTTTGCCTCTGAGAATTATTTTGAGAGATGGTGACGGAGGATGTTTGCCACACAAGAGGTTGAGAAAACTAAAGACAGCACACTTCCAACCCGCACACGCGGGTTGCCCTGGCTGAGCTAGACCAAAAGACAGTTGGGTGTAGTTTTGGCAGCGCATGCCCCCCAAAAGAAAAAAAAAAAAAACTTCCCGAAAAAGGCAGACAGAACTCTATCACGCAGCTACTAGTCAACGGTGAAACTGTGTTTTCGCAGGGAAGCACATGTATGTGCGTCCACGGATGTATGGTAAGACTAAAAACACTGCACGCAGGTCGACCTGAGCTTAAGGGGAGATGGATACAAGGTGCTTTGATGGAGCGTTGAGTTCTCGATCCGGCTACGGAGCGATCAATCCGCCCATCGCCACGCGGGCAAGGAGACGGTGGCCTGACCGGGTGAATCGGGAATTTTGGTCCTGTGGCTCCCTACAAGTACGGACGAACTGCTCCATAGTTATCTTCAGTTCTCAATTTTTCTTCCGGATCACCTTCCCCTCGGCATACACTCCCTCCTCCCCTCCCACCAAGTTAAAGGTGTAGCTGGGAGCTCAGGGTCGTGTGGAGAAGTATGGGGGTTCAAGGTAGCAAGCACTAGTTGAAAGAAGCGGCTCACTAATAAGAGTCACCAATCCGCGGAATGGAAGGCAAACGCTTACCCGCAACCAATGCCAGTGACGTCACGGTGACGTACGACCTTCTCGCTTCCGCTTCCCCCAACTGCCCTTTTCCCAACCAAGAAGCACACAAAAAGAGGGTTTCCGGTACAATATGAATGAGCAGGCCATTTGCCACACATAGCGCAGCGCATCCGCACGCCAGTGCAGAAGGGTAGAACGAGTAGGCCAATCAAACTCCCGTTCATGGCGCTGTCTCATCACTGTCAACCACGCCGGTGGTGCTTGCCCTCGCACCTCGCTCACGTAAAGCACCCATCCCGTGGCGACTAGAGAGCCAACTACGAATCGAGGGTGGTTATTCCCCCATTCCCCGCTATCTCTCCTCGTCCTCGGCCACCGCCCGTCCCAACAAAGTTTCTCTGCGTCTGCTCGTTCGTTCTGCTCCATGGGGTAAGTCCACATAAAGTCGGCCGAGGCCCTGCAGATGACGATCACGAATGAACCGGGTCACAAGTCCACATTCACTCACCTGTCGAATCGTGTTCGGCCCCATCCCTGAACGTCCTGTATCAACAGGACCCTTCTTCTTCTACACTCTTCCCCTGATTCTTCGACGTACAGACGTACACACACACACATATACACACACACACACACGCACACACACACTCGCACACAATCTCTCAACTTCTGCTTTTTTGTGTCTCTTATATATCAATATATCGAAAGGCCCACCAGTAACTCCATTATCATTCCCGCGGTCTCGGCTGCCTAGTTTGAAATGCCCAAACGGCAGCTAGACGCCTACTTCACCCCACCACTCACTACTGCCTCCGAACTCCATCCCGCGACCTCTTCCGCGAGTCCTTCCGGCCCGGATCAGCGTCCGCGGAAAGTCCAACGGGTAGGCTGACCACAGCTCTGCTGCTCTCCGATGACAAACACATTGCCTTGATTCTATTGCATTCAAGAACCGCGAGCGAGCGTGCCGCCGCTCCTCGTTCCTTTTAATTGACCCTTCCTTCTTTTTATCTTATTTCTTTTTTTTTTTCCTTCTCTCTCTCCATTCATCTTCTAGTTCCCTCCTTCGTGTCTTTCTGCAACCGGCCCCTTCGGGGATGCTAAATTAGACAAGGGGTCCGCCTCTTTAATTCTAATCATGGTTTTCGATCAGGCTAGCTTTAGCGAAGCATCCGCCGGCTCGAACCCCGGAGTGGAGAAATCGCTAAGCAAGCGGCACGAAGATGCCCCTGCTGGCGTGACTGACCAATCCCAAACGACAGGGCCACCTACGAGAAGCGATGACCTGCATCAGCCAAACTCGAAATCCCCGATGGGAAGCGGCCCATGCCTAACGAACGTCAAACCGAGGCTGGAAGCGGGCCGTATTTCTCCAACCAACACGTTCCTACCGGCCAACCGAGTTTCGGAGGGTCTCAAAGCTCAGTGATCGATGGCGTCGCCGTAGAGAGGGGTCAAGGACCTCAATATCGTCCATTCTCGCATCTCCGCCAGAGGCTTCATCATCGGCGACGCCGGAATCCACATATTCGGGCAGCATTTCCCAAAAGCCTTCAATATGCTCACCTTGGCCGGACCCCGCAGTCCGACTGATAGCAATGCAGGTAGGTCGCGAATATCGAATCGCCCTTTTGCCGTTCGCTTGTATCGGTTCCGAGTTCTCGGATTAACATGATCATAACCAGCGCAACGCCACAACCCTTTCAAGAGCACATCCTACGGGGCGGATAGCCGCGAGCAGGGGCATCCCGGCAAGCACGAGGCGGCCGAACACCCTCCCTCCGATTCGGGCCGTGCCAGGGTGGCCGTTACACCCACATCTCTGAAGGCCAAGCTGGGTGCCCTCAACGCCGGTGATAGTAACGCCGTCTTCCCCTTCACCAAGATGTTGCCCAAAGACACGGGCGGGGAAACGCAGAGATTGGAGGAGCTGCGAAAATACGCGCGGCGGGAGGGTGGATATTAAAGCTCTTTCCGAGACCCGACCGTCCCCGAACGCCCCGAGAGCAACCCGAGTTCTGACACCGAGAAGCGACATACCGATATCAAAGGAAAGGAAGCGGTTTTGGCACTCTACGCGTACCCGACGACGGCCAACGGGCACCGCGAGTACTTTCCGTGCGTACCCCAGGGTCGAAGAGAAGAAATTGATCGTGCCCGCGAGGAGCTACGGAGCATGGAGGAGCAGCTGCGCTCCGTAACACGCCAGCAGATGACTGCGGCGACCGAGAGCTTGGAATCCACATCACCCCCGCGGACGCCCAAGGAACATTATATCAGCTAACGTTTGTGTGGCATTTGCCTACATGGCTCTAACGCGCACAGCTCCCGCCTTTTGCCACATTACCGATATCCCCCAAGGAGCTCTGTGATAAAACGGCGCGAATTAGCAAATCACTATCCCGATAACCACGCCCATAACCGTTTTTAGACACTTTGAAGGCCGCGAACCATTCATTCACCAAGTCCTCACGCATTACCTTTTGAAAGCTTTCGCAAAGGCAACGAGAAATAGCTTGTAACTACCTCGGTATAGAAGGGCCCTTTTTGAAAGTAACAAAAACAGAGATGAAAGGGGATGGCAGTTAGGGCTGGTATAAGCAAAGAAACCTGCTAGGTGTAGAAGGGCTGAGCATGCACGACTGTAATGATTCGTCAAAGTATCACTTCTCCTGCTTGTCTCAGTAATATAATTGTACATGTATTTATTGGTTGGATCCCCGTGCCGTCTTTGCATGGCCGGGAGACGTGCCAAGGGTCTTATTGTAATGGGGAGGCGTCGGCCAACTGCCACACCTCCCCTTGATAATCCCTTATCCTCACCCACATGTCCAGGCTAACTGCTCCCGTTCTGTTCTTACTCTTTTCACACCTCCTTTTTCACCCACTGGACGTTCTGTAGAACCTATCAAAAGGAAGACGAGTTCTATGTCCGATATACCCGACGTGTGTGTCCTCGGATTCGAGCGGCTGAGGAGGCAACCAAAAAGCACTTGGATGTGTTTGCTTCCTGCAAGGAACAATAGTGGCGCTTGGCCTTGCGGGGCTAGGGGAGGAACCCTCGCCGAGGAGCGCGTCGCGGGCCTACACTAAGAACGTGCAGCAGCCGAAATCTCGCTGCAGGGAATCTGTGTTGAGAGCAAGCTGGCTGAAAGAGGATCCACTGGGCCCCACCGTGGCATCGCAAGATCGCCGATAAGGTTTCGTCGATGCTGGGCCTAGGACGACGCGCACACTCGACGAGGCGGTTCTGGACAAGTGGGGGTTCTGGGAACCTCTCATCTCTTCACGGGAGGCACAGCGAATGGCAAAGTTTCTCCTTCATCGTCGGATGGGTCGGCTTGTGGGCTACGGAACACGCCTGGCGTGCATTGCCCCAAGTTAGCGCAATTGCCTCGACCTAGAAGCAAGCCGTCGCTCAGGACATAGCCAATAGACCGCCACGTGTCAGGGTCTTGTAGAATTCCGGGAGAGCGGAAGAGTTTGCGTGGAAGCAGAGATGAGGAAGATAAGATAGCCCTGTCGTGAAGAAAGAAAGTCAGGATGTCACGCTCCCTGGGATCATCCAGTGAGGGTGGGAAAGGGGATAGACAACCGCCTCGTGAGGGGAGTGGAGGTACAGGAGGTACAGGCTGTGGAACAGGGAGGTCATTCCCAATCTTGATGTTGATGCATTTGACGGCAGGAGGAACCTTGAATGTTGATTGCAATTGCCGACTCCCTAATTGGAGAAGGTGCAGTTTTGGGAGCAGCCCAAGAAGGAAGGAGTTTGTGGGGCTTCATACTTGGTCGTGGCCATTGCGAAGACATTGACGATTTCGGTACCCCTCCAGCCCTCCCTCTTCTCTAGCTGCCTTTGGACGCCACAGCAGTTTCTCTCCGCGGTGCATCTCGAACATTGACTTCGAGGGGACTCTGCTCATGTTCTTACGAAGCGCCACGCCGTTTCCATAAAATGAGTGGCTTGTTGAGATGGCTACGTTTACAAGTACTTGCAGGATTGGCTCGCTTCGAGCGCCCAGCTGGATGCCGTGGCATTTGCCTTCCAGTGAACCATGTCCATCCCGTCCGCCAAGATCCTGGGAATCCACGAGCAGAAAGAATGTTCTTCAGAGACATTTTCCCCTTTGCCAGTCATGGTCCCCACAAGGAGGCACAGGGAGGGCGATGTCGTACGTCTACCAATCCCCTGGTATCCAGCTTGCTTGGCTTTTCTTCTTGACGATATTACCCTGCAGCTGCGAATAATATTCAGTAGTTTGAATCCATTCACTCACGCTAACTAACTGCGAAGGCCCCCTGGTCTGGTCAGGAGAAGGAGCAGAAGGAATCAGCCCTAACCAACGCTAATGCTAGCAGCCCAGCAGCTCTATCTTTTCAGGCCGCTCGCTTCGCCAGCATGCACAGGAAGACTGGGCAAAAGCCACCATTTTCGCAGGATTTCCAAGCCAGCGAGCCTTGCCTTGGGTTCCCGTTCACCGGCTACATTCAACATTTCTAGGTACGGCGTTGAAGAGGCCATTCGTGCTTTTTCACACTCTCCACATTGAACAAACCACGAGCTGGCTTGGCCTTGACCCCAGGCCTACATCTAACAGAGAATGGCAAAGATATTGGACGTGTGGATGATGAAGGATTCTTCTCCGCGACGCCCACGCACGGATGTCTTTGCCCCCCCAGGGCCTGTCTTGCGTTGTGTTACCCTCGCATAATACAATACAGCATACACTAGGACAAAGTCCCTGGCCCAGCTCCACGTGTATCATCATCCCTTTTGCGGAATAGAGTCCTTATTTCCTCATTCAATTCGCCGGTTGCACCTGGGGCGGGGAATAATAGTGGAATCCTCATGCACGCCTTCAAGTGCCAAGATCCTGATCAATACTTGTCGCCACCAAAGCCCTGTCCCGCGTTCGCGAACAATCAGTGCGATGCAGTCCCGGGGCCCTCAAAAGAGTTGAGGTCTAGTAAGATTAGGCCTTCGAAAAAAAAAGGGGAGCAAGGCAATTAGGAAAAAGAATAGGAATAGGCCAAAGGAGGGGCAGATGAGGCGGGATTCCATGCAAGCCGCTGGGGAAACCTCTTGCTCTTTCTCGATCAAGACTGAGTGGTTCTTTGATTGTACTTCAGGAGGTCTTGCAGATGCGCCGAGGTCTCCAAGTGGCCCGGGGCGATTGGCCTTCTGTCCGGCATAACTGTGCGGCGCTCTTTCCCCGTCCGTGACAGGATACTCCCTGAAGCGGGAAGATTCGTAACGATTTTGTTCGAATCGGCTGTCAATCCGGACGAGTACTGAAGTAGAGGTGGGCAAGATGCCATTCTTCACTGCAACACCAAGACCGCTTCCAGGTCAATGTGGCATGCTTGGCGACGTCCACGTCCACACCGAGAGACCGGAAGTTGCGTGGAGTGCGTCTTTGCCAACAGGGGCATCCAGGCTCCTCTCCACGCAGCCGGCGTGTGGCCCCATAGTGTTGCCTTTTTGGGTTTAGGCTCCTAAGGGTCCGGGAAGCCGGCCTTGACTCTCTGTCTCTTCTCCAACTTCCTCCCGGCCTCCCCTCTTGAGAGGTGAGAGGTAAGGAGGTAGGGGGTAGCGTAAGCTCCAAGTGAAGGCGAAGGTGTTTGATTGCGAATCGTTCTTCCCCGCTCCGTTGGTGGCCTCTGTTGAGCTCCTCTCCTGACCTATACTTGTTGTGGAGTAGATCCTTCTCCTAGGTCTAATCAATGTCGAACTGTCGGTAATTGCATCCCGGAGCGGACTCCTCGGGGCTCAGAAGCCTTGGATGGCAAGGGTTTTGTCTAGTCAGGGAGGTGAAGGGATGCAGGGAACCTCGAACAAGCCCATCCGGACACGTCTTTAAGGGGACGTATATTTACACAAGTGCTCTCCCCATCTTGCCTGGTGGCCATAGATAAACTCTCCTCGGACCATTCCTACTTTTACCCCCTAGGACCCTGTGACACCGTCCTCTTCTTCATTCTCGTACGATTTCATGCTCTAGTGGCCTACCTTACAGCAGCCAACGTTCTTCCATCCCACCCACAGACGCCGCGAGGTAATCCCTTGGAGAATCAGACCACCGAGGCACTCTCTCTTCCTGCACACGCCCCTTCACCCTCTCGCCCTCCTTACACACAGACATACCAGCCCAAGATGACGACATCGACGGAGCATATCGACCGAAAGTCCCTTTACACGAATCTCGAGGCCCGTATCGAATACCTACATCGCTTCCTCGACTTCAACGAAGGTATGTTTTGCCTGCAACGCGGCCCCAGTATCGTTTGGCCACCCCATAGGCGCAAGAAGTGTTCTTAGCCGCCAGGCACATGGCCTTGACGGCCTTCCAAAACTCTAAGACATTGTCCACGCCCCAGTCCTACTCTAACATAGCCAACAGATGACGTTGCCGCACTTGCCTTCGGATCCAAGTTCGTGCAAGACATCATCCCCGCCGTGGTCCACATTGTGTACCGAAAGCTCCTGCAGTTCGACGTGACCGCCAGGGCATTCGAAAGCCGGGATACAAGGTCCGACAAGCCCTTAGAGAAGATTTTGGAGGACCACAGCCCGGAACTTCAGACTCGAAAGATCTTTTGACCTCTTACCTACACAAAATTTGCTCCGATCAGTCGCAGCTGGCGTTTTGGCAATGGCTGGACCAAGTCGGGTAAGAAATGAATCCACCTTACCAACTGCCCCCTTGTCTGTAGATTCTAACGGTGGCCGATGCGCGCGCATCCTGGCAGAGCTATGCATGTCGGGCTTCGACGCAAGAACCCGCTCCATGTCGAATATATCCACATCAGCGCCACCCTTTGCCTTATTCAGTCGGTACTTGTTGAAGGTATCTTAGGGCACCATGGCTTCCCATGTCGAAGCGTCTGGCCATGGTCAAGGCCATCAGCAAGGTCATCTGGATCCAGAATGACCTTTTGCAAAGTGGTACGTTCGCGACGGCGATGAGTTCGCCGAGGAGGTCGCGCAGGGGGCGACGGCATCGGTGGAAAGGCTCAACAGCTCGACGGAGACGCAACTGAAGCAGCACGCCTCGACATTGGCGGCGACCTGTCCGTTTAGCGGCATGGCGAAAAGCATGCAGGGCCTCCAAGTTGGGAGCGGACCCGAGTAGAGCCTCACTCGCGCAGAGGACGGCACCGACCGGTTAGAGGCACCGAAAGAAATGGGCATGCAAGAAAATAAGGGTCCTACGTGTCTCCTAATCGCCCATCCTCAGCCTATTTCTCGTACTATCATGTTTGGGTCATGAATATCTTTGTCTTTTTTTTTTTTTTTTTTTAGTTTTTCCTCTTTCTTCCCATCCCGTCTTGTTTGTTCAATAATTTTATCTCAGCATGGCGTTGCCGCTTTTTTGCTGATAGCGCATTGGTCAATGGAAACGAAACAAGAGCATTTCAGGGTTCTTTCAACGGCTGTTAGTGGCGCAAACGTTGTTCCTTCTTTCGATGTGCAGTCCCTTGGAGGCTAGGCTTGGTCGTGAGATGTGGAGATGAGTTGGGGGTTCTCGAGCCTCTTTGGCAAGGGGTGACAAGGACACAGGTGAAGAAGGTAGGAGGCTCAGTGAGAGTTGAGTTGATGGCAAATGTGCCGAAAACAGCAGGCTGGTAAAAGCGCCGAAGCCAAGATGATAGAGACGAAGTGGCTTCGCAAACTAAACTCTACCAGGCTTCTTGCGTTCAAGCTTGGGAATTCTCCACTCGAGTAAGCACCTCCCCTTTTCGGCCTAGTGGGCTAGCAATGAACGTGCGGCTAGGAAACCTATCAGCTTCTTGGCTTTGAGAGTTTCCTTGCTGGCCTGAGCTCTCTTCCCTCGAGGAGACGTGCAGATATGCAGATGTGCAGGGGAGGGCTTGCGAAGGCAAACATGCTGATGGGTCGGAGGGAGGGATACCCTCTCTTCAGTCTGAAGAAGAGATGGCCTACAACGCCCGTGCTGCGGTTTGTGTGCGGGAGCTTGAGGGGTACGGCTCGACGCCGGCCCTTCTCGGCTTCCTGCATCGTGCGCAGTCTGGTCAGTGGCCATGAAGTGGGGGTGAAGAGGGTAGTCCCTGGTTCCTTTTATCTTTATTATATGAGCTTGAGAACTGGGGCTACATCAAAGGGGACAAGCAGTCCCTGGTTCCTTTTATCTTTATTATATGAGCTTGAGAACTGGGGCTACATCAAAGGGGACAAAAGAGACGGGCAAAAGAAAAACAACAGCGCCTGGTATTCATGCTATCTATTTATCTTAGTCCCTAAAGATGAGCTCGCCTCGACTACAAGGAAAGCCCCCTGCTTTAGAGCACTCTGGAGCACTCGATTCACTTCATTATCCTCCTTCATCCATCTTATTCGCAAAGGGAGACGGGGGCTTAGCCCTGCGCTACAAGACCTCTTAGGACGTTGATATTAGTCCTGATGCCCGTGATGGTGGCGCCCTCTGGCTCCTCAAACTCCTCAGCGTAGCCCAAGGCGGTCTCGGCAAAATACAGGGCATTGCCGTAGTCGGCAAAGTCGTAAAACACGCCCATGAGGTCGAGGTAGATCTCCTGCATCTTGCCCTCGAGCCTTTCCTCGGTGGCGAGGCGGATGAGCTCGCGCGCCATGTCGGAGGCGGCCTCGTAGGACTGGTCGCCGCTCTTGAGAAGGCCCTCGATCTCCTGCATGCGGCGGAGGCGGCCGTCGCGGGGAGGCTCTCCTCGTAGGGGAGGCTGCAGAGGGCGCATTGGCACTTGAAGCCGAAGATTTGGGCGGTTAGGAAGGCGCGGTGGTCGGTTGGGAGGCCCCATGCGATATCTGGCACGGTTTAGGTTTAGGGTTAGATATGAGGAGGACGAGATGGGGAGATTGGGAAGACATTGTGCAGTTTGTATTGTTCCTTTCCTTTCCTTTTTCTTCTCGATGGTCTGACCTCCAGAGGATAACAGTACTTACAGCTAAACGAGATCTCTTCGCCTGGTTCAATATCTCGCAATGCCATGGCCTCCATTGTCAACTGGGTAGTTGAGAAGCGCGCCGTTGCACTGTTCAAGACACGATTCGGTTAGAATACACGGAAGTGAAGCTGCAAGATGATGTGGACAACAAAGCCCACGCGGTAATAGGTATACAGATACAAAGAGGGTGGAGGGAGGTTGCTCACTTTGGCTCGCAGTCGTGATTGATGCGCTAGAACAACGCGAATTAGTGTCTTTGTGCTTTAATATTGACCATCTTTCGAAAAGCAGAGGGAAGAGAAAGGCCATGGTGCTTAGCCAGAAACATACCGCAACCTCTGGGAACAGGCCATTGTGGTTCCCCTCGTCAGTCGCCACGAGGAAAGAGTTGGACTTGAAAATGTTATCGATGCCCTCAAAGCTACTCCGGCTTCCGGAGAGCGCCAAGACACGGTCCTTGCCGCCGAGACTCTCCACACCAAAGTTGTACAGCGCCTTTCTGTCCTCCTCGAAGTCGGCCACAGCCTGGTCCGCGAGCGTTTCCAGGCGGGAATCGATAAAGAGCGACGGCAGGTCCGTGAGAAAAACCTCCTTGCGCCGAATCCGACGAGTGGCGATGAGGCCGATGCCCTTGCCGGGAATCTCCTTGAGTCGGTACTTGATACCCTTGGTAGGCTTGGGACTGACTTTTGCCGCAGGTGCCGCCGCGCTCTCCACGCGGGCTCCACGTCCCACAGGCGGCCGGCCGCGCTGGAGGCCGCCTCGGGGGTGGTGAGCAGCGTGATGCCCTCGCCGAGGTTGTAGGTGCCAAACGTGTAGGAGCAGAACTTGACGTCGTCGCCCTCGTCATCCTGGAGGTCCGGGTACACGCACTGGGGCTCTTCCGTCCACGGGCCCCACTGCCCGGTGCGCGAGGCGGTCCGGTCATCGACTACGAGCGGGCACGTGGTTCGTCGGGCGAGCGTGGCGCCGAGGGGGAGCCGTGGTCGGAGGGACACTGGCCCGGGGCGAACCCCGCTGCCATGGCGGGGCGGCGGCCGTCGCGAGGACGAGGGAGAAGAGGATGGATTTTACGTCCATGGCGGGGGACGGGGAAGTGGCGAGGGGAGAGCTCCGGGTCGCGGGTTTCGTCGAGGACTATAAGCTTCCAGTAATCAAGGTGATTATTGAGCAATACAAAGAGTGAAATCTCTCCCAAAATAGGCACAGAGATAAATAAAGAAGAAGAACCGCTCAAAAAAAAAAGAAGGAAAAAGAAAGAGAAAGAAAGAAACAAAAGAAGCTTCACGATGCGGTCACAGGAAATTCGGACGGCAGTAGACGCATGAGCTCTACGAAGAAAACACGTCGCGGATTCATTATGTAAGTTTCAGGAAGCTTCGATACCTAGGTGTCTCCGCGCGAATAACTGCCAGAGAGATCAATCCATGGGTATATAGTATATATATCAAGTGTTAAATAGGTTGCTTATATGAAATCAATATAGGCGGTGGGATATTTCCGAAGCTTTTGATGTGGCACCCGCGGCTAAATTCCCGTGGGGAGATGGCACAATGACATCGGCTCGAACAGATCGGGAGATGATTTAACGAATAAGGGAAAAAAAGAAGGCATGCTTATGGATGTCATGGTAAATGGCTTATATGAGTTTAAACCATCGCGGCTTTCTTCCCCAGGACAGCGCTTCGCCATCCATGACGCCATGGCAATACACGTCCCCAACGTATGAGTAAACACCCTCCCGTCCATCTACAGGACGCAAGACAACGGGCAGCGTCGCGCCAAAGAGCACGCAGACGACATCCCCCGGCGCATCTCCAGAGGCCCGATGCCCACGAAGCCGTCGGCGCCCAGGAAGCCCCGCCGAACCTCGGACACGGCGAGGGACGACGCGTAGTTGTTGCACAGCACCCCGCCGGGACGCAACTTGGCCATTTGCATCTCGAGTTTCCGCGATTCCGCTGCGCTGGCTCTACTAGCTCAAAGAGCTCTGCCGTCTCCTCCTCGGTCAGCGGCAGCACCGCGTCAGTGGGCTCCCCGAGCACGCAGAGGCGGTGGTAGCGCAAGACCACCTGGACTAGCTCCTCTGCCCCCATCTTGGAGCGTTCGGGGTCGCTCTTTGGCTGTGCCAGCGCGTGCTGCCGACGTATTCGTGATCCGCCACCGGTATGCGCCAGCTGGCTTCCTCCCATCTGTCTTTTTGCTCCTGGTCCTCATAGAGGGATGGGATGGCTTGGCTTTCATTATCTCGATCGCCTCCAATATGAGGGCCTGGAGACTAGACAAGGCAGGAAGTGCTTGTCGTAAACTTCGATCCCCGTGTTCTTCGGCCGGCCAAATCTCGCCTATCTTCTCAACTGTGTCGACAAGTATGCCTTGGAGCGATAATGCCATAGGATCCTCGGATCCGGCCTCCGCCGGCCTGGCTGGCTGGGATCGATGTAGACTCGCCGAGAACGGTTTCGCGGATGAAATGGTTCGAAAGGTGAGATGGGGCACCGAAGAGATTGAGCGGAAATCAGCAACCCAAGACGGTAAGCTCTGGTGCGACGCGGTGCGGTGGGCCAAGAAAAGAAAGTCCACGTCTCCGGCGTCGATGATACGTCTCGTAGCATCAACGTATACGTCCTCCATGGAGACATCTTCGCTCGTGTGGATAGGGATTCGAAGCTCTACGGCATCGCTAGCCAGGCCCAAAAGTCCATACACGTAGTCCTTTGGCATCGAAAATATGGTCGCGTCGTCCCTGGCCACCCCGACCGTGTAAGTAGGGTTTAGCCGGAACCTGCGGATAAGCGTGCCCAGGGTCGCGGGCGGTTCGTCCGCGGTGCCGTGGAGCTTTGCACGAGCCACTAGACTCGCGTTTGCCGCGTCTCGTCCCGGCCTCTCGCCGAGCAGGATCTCCATCTTTTCGCGGATTTCAGGAGTCAAGGGTTTCCCCGTCACGGCTTTGAGTTTCATAGATTCGTATTGCCAATGCCGAGTGTGAAACTGCAGCGCTGCGTATAGGATATCCCCGTCGATCCTGTGGTCGCCGCGCCGGAAGACGAGCTTGGGGGCAAAGCCACTTCTTGCTTGATCCAGCCGCGCCTAAAGTACGGCGCATCAAAGAACTCGTCCAGATCTGCAAGGGCCCCCAGCTTGTCCCACTCTCCCTCCTCGCGCATCATGGCCAAGACTCTTTCTTTGACCGGGCGCAAGGCCTCGGGCACCACCACTAAGCCGGCGGCCTCGGTTTCTTCGTCCGCTAGAGCTGCTCCTGGAGCTGCTTAGTTACGGGCCCCAGCCCAAGGCTCGCGAATGCCTCGCCAGTGCGGGTCAGGTACCGGGTAGCCTTCTCCGTCGAGGATGCGGCCAACCCTAGCCAAGCAATGGTACACGAAGAGCGCGTATAAATGTCTTTCATCAGTGGAATCTGCCGGTCCTTTTCATCAGAGTCATCTTGGTTGATGCAGATTTGATCGATCCACAAGTTGAAGGGCTCAGGTTCCCGGAGTCCACGTAGAGCGGTTTCCAGAGCGAGCGTGATAGGGAGGCTAGTGCCATCGCTGATTTGCAGCTTGCCCGTGGCCTGGCCTTCCCCCAGGAGTAGGAGAGGGCGGCAAACTGACACGGAGAGTCGAGATTCGTCACGAATATCTCCCCTCTAATATCGCCAGTCCCGTCTAATGAACACGGTAAGAGACGGAGGACTCGGATATCCCTCCCACCGAGTGGAACTTTGGCATAGTCAAAGGCTTTCATTTGAGGCATAGGTTCTAGCATGACCACCGCTTTAGGCGTCAATGTTAAGATTGAGGATATGGCAAGCAAGTGAACCTACCGGTGACCAATCCTCTCTATAGATATTTTAAAGAAGGAAAGAAAACAAAAACATGAAAGAAGACAAGAAGAGACAAGGTTGCAGGGTCCGTGGACTTTGCGCTGTGCCTCTCCTCTCGTCGGATTGTTACCGCCCTGTTATGTAAATATCCGAGGAGCTAGATGGACAAGATATGTTAAACCTGACTTATACCCTCCAACCTTCCCAAGTATCTCTTCCTCATATTGTTGTGTCGGATAAAGCGATGACACCGATACATAGACCATCGCTGACTATATGCCGCCACTTAGAAGGATTAATCCAATCACTCAGCACACGCATGAGCCCGAGATGTCGGAGGTGAGAATAGATTCCAAGACGCTGTAAACCAAGAAATGGCATGTGATAAGGCATCTTTTTCCTTTGAATTTTGGACTACAGGAGATTTCCACAACTCTTAAAGACCAAGGAGGAAGGAGGGAATGCGGTTATATTTCCATGTAAGCGCACCCGCCTCTTCTAGAAAGATGCCATACAAGTGCGTCCGGGTTGCTGTTACCATTCCCCTTGCCTTTGGGAGGGACCCGCCTGAAGTCAAGTCCTTGCCCAAGTTTTGCTTTTATATATAGAACCACCGGTGATAAGCCAGTTTTACACATCGTCCCGATGTTAATCCAATTTTAAACGTACCAAACGACAAGACACGGCAGAGTGAAGGCATTAGGGCTGCTCAGAGTCTTCAATGCTCAAGGAAAGGACTCGCGCCTCAGCATGATTTTGGCCGCTTGCATAACCGTCGTAGTCTTCATTCATCGGGTCACAGTCCGCTACCATGTCCGAGGCGAGCGACCCGTCAATATTGCTCTGCGGCAGATTCCAAAATTCCGGGTTAATCCACCCAGGATACTGCTGGGAGATATCCGGCTGGTGAGTGAAGTCTTGGATATAAAAGTCCTCGATATCCTCGTGCACCTTATCTGTGGAATCATTACGAAGCTGGCAAAGGCACCCGCCTGCCGATGCTGTGCAGTTGTGCTCCGCATCGCAACGGAGAGAGATTCCAGAATCCCGGAATCCGGATTCTGGGCTTGCCATTTGCGATTCGGCTTGCGCCTCTGCTACCGATGACGTGTCGTCGGATTCGCTCATCGGGGGCAGCGAGGGCGAATGGGGCGCTTGAGGAGCAGGCTGCGCGCGTTGGGGGCTAGCCTTCGCAAAGGTATAGGGATTTTTAGTATAGCGCTGGATTGTGTATTCTCCGAGAGTCGCGGGGGCCGCTCGGAACCAGGCGCCTTGGAAGAGGCGGATGATCGTCGTGTGCTGTTGCCGCTGTTCCCAGCCTCCGACCCCGGCGGCGCTGAGCCGGAGCCCAGTCGCCCTCTGCAGTTTTTCAACGCAGAGGCAACATAGACATCGACGACTGTTTCTAGAGCTCGCAGCACTTGGAAACCCTGGCCGGGATCCATGTCGCTAATCTCAGAAAGCTCCCTCTGTAACCCGTCCGAGAGATCACATTTCGCCTTCTTTAGTTCGGCCTTGACCTCATGGAGTTCAAGAACTGGTTCAAATCCTACAAAATGGCGTAAAAAGAACAAGAAAAAAGGGTTAGCTACACGATAGTCGCTTTTGGGACGGTAAAGAGGAGAGGAGGTGGGACATACCAGGATGCGGAATCTCTTGGTCCATGGGAAATATTAGCCTGCAGATTTGATCCCACGTTTGTATCTTGCCGTTTGCTTTTCTCTCCGCCAGCGTCTTGTCCATTTCTTCCGTGATACCGTCTTCCGGGTCTTGTGTTGGCTTCCGGGAGCTGGCGTCGCACATCTGATCCTTTGGGAGTTCAGAGTGCTTGTCCAACGCTGCCTCAGAGGGAACCCCTTTACACCGTCGGCACTGATACAGGCTCGGGGTCTCTCGACGATGCCATGTTCTTATATGGCGCCTAAGTATTCCGTGGTTAGCAGGAAACAAAACACATCACCCCAAAAACTAACGGCGCGAGGATTGCATTTACTTGAGCTCGGGGATACCAATAATTGGTCGTCTGCAGCACTGTTCAAAGTCGCGGATATTGAACCGTAAAGGATTTCTCTTCCGGAACGGGCAGCTGAATGCCGCATGCTGGGAGTCGGTCCTGGGACGTTTCCGACTCATGTCATCTGGAGAGGAAGGCTCATCACCACCATTTCCCCACCGAATGGATTGTTGAAATAGCCCTCTTCATCACCACCTCCCCGTTTCGGGTTGCGCTTTCTATCGCTACCGCCTCTACCAGCCCCGCCCTGGTTGAACGGTGACGCAGAAAACGTCCCCGGGCTTCCTGCGGTGGAGCCGCCACCAGGGAGGCTTGATGTACAAGGCATGAGGGCAACGCGGGCGATAGTACAACGGAATCAACGTCATCAAGACACCTAAGAACGGCATCGTGCACCTTGAGAGGCACTGGCGCTAAAGATGGCTCAATGCCATAGGTTTCCCGTAGAATCGCGTGACAAACTCTCTGAATGATTTCAGGGTCGCGCCGAACACCTTCAAGGGACGAATCGAGCTCAGACTCTGCATCCCCATCCCCCAGCGGTATTATGACTTCCTGTTTGAGGCTGCCTAGGGAGCCCAGAGTACTAGGTGGGTATTCGGTCGGGCGCGCCTCGCTCCTGGCAGTATCGGGAGGCGGGTGCTTATCGTTAAGGGATTTGACGCCGGAGTTACCTGCATTGTATCCACGATCCTCGCGTCTGCAAGAGGAACTCCGTTTAAGCTTAGGAGATGAGGTTGTGTTGTAGTCGAACGAGCTTCGGTTGTGAGTGCTCAGTTCTTCTGCCAACGGTACTGCGCATGACGGCAAACTAGAACGCCTCTCGAGAATGGGAAGAGACTTTGAACGGTGGTGCGAAGACATTCTCAAGTTATGCGACGTGTTTAGCGGCGGCTGCTGGCCGCCGATGTCTGGGTAGGGGCTAGATGGTCTACTCGACTGAGACGAATCTGAGCTACCACGGCGCCGCATGATGCCGTTCTTTAGGCGACGTATCCTAATGGGAAGATTAAAGGTTGGAAAGGAATCGAAGCTGTGGCGTGAATATTCAACATGCTCATCGCACTCGTCCGACTCCTCCAAGATGACGTGGATCTGGGGAGAGTAGGGCTGGCGGCATTGCGCGCCTCCTTCGGGATAGAGCGTCTCTATATGAGGGGGTAGCTCCGAGTCTTTGTACGAGTCCCTGTATAGACTTAAACTCGCATCATGGTCGCAGAGAAACGGCGTAGGGCTCGACGGAAAGGTGCCTGGCGTGCTCGGCGTTGAGCCTACACTAGATACCGAGTGGGTGAGAGACTCGGCGTACGTGCTGGCGGCAGACGGGCTCCGTGAATGGCTTAGCGCATCGCTGGTGCTTCCGGAGCTCTGCGACGAAACATCTTCCGAGTCACTGTGGAACCCGGAACGGCCCGGGCTTCTCAGCCTCTTGGCCAGGGCGAGGACGGAACGCTTCGAGTCAAGCCATGAAAAGGCAGATGAGGGGAGATAGGTGATTTCGCCGTCCTCCGAGCGGTTCGGCGCATGCGTCGACATCTCGAAGGGCGGAGGGGGTCACAGGCTCACCCTAGGTAGACGACTAGAGGTGGGGTCCTCTGACTTGCAGGCAGGCTTAGAGAAGGACAAGTTGCTGGCTTCACCGCTCAAGGCAGCGATGTTGGTGTTGGAATGGGGGCTGGGTGGAGAGTGTTTGACTGGCGAACAGCACAGCTTATTCGATAAGGCACGAGGGGGAGAGTTTTAGACAAAAGACCAAGTTTATTTTTCCTCTTGCACGAATGGCGATTCCTTCTTTTTCGGGAGAGCAAAAAGGGCGTTCAGAATGAAAGATTAACGAGAAAAGAAACATGCCGATAAGATCTTTGCCTCCCCCGGCAAGCTTGTGCTCGGTTCGCGACCGTCGCCCATGTCCCGCGAAGGCGGCGCTGGCAGGCAGCCTACCCGAATGGACGCGGGGAGGGGTCTTGATCGGCCAAAAGTGGACAAAGGGCTGCGCCTATTCTTGGGTGCTTGTCTTGGACGCACGGTTGCTCGAATCCTGGAAGGAGCCCTCCGGCCGCTGATTTGTTTATGGAATTCACCATGAGCTGCTAATGGCGGGCGGATTTCCGGTTTTATTGGCCGAACCGCCAAACCCCTGCATCAGTGGGCATACCCGTTTCAGGCAGTATTGAGAGTATTGAAGGAGGCGCGGGGCTTCATATCGTTCGACCAGAGAGGATGGCGAGGTGCCAATACCGTGCCGGCTTGCCAACCCTATCTTCGAACTTTGGTGGAAGGCATAGCTTCATGGGAGGCCCCATGAGACGGATGGCAAGCAACGGGGACCGGGTCCCTTTGCCTTACATCCCCGGCCCACATTCCGACGGGGCCATTGCTCCCTCTTCGTGAGCTTATGCATGAACTGTCAATCTTTCTCCCCGGTATTCGGGTGTCAAATCGATGTCAGTTTCCGTAGATGAGATCAAATGTGAGGAACGGCTTTCGTGAATGCCCTGAGATGTGTATAAGATGGGGCATGGTTTTTTTCCTTTCTGGCGAGTCTATAAAGTAGTGGTACAGATTAGAAGACGGTCAAAGAAGCTGAAGGAAGAATAAAACGAAGAAAGAAACAAAAGCTCGACTAGGAAAGGCGAATTAGCTGTTAAATCAACAATTATTGCATGTGAACTCAATTCGAACTTCTTCCAATGGCTGACCACCAAGTGAACGGGGCGTCTCTTTTGACTGGCGAGCAAAGACAGTAGGTTCGCCCCCACCACCTGTTCGCCGCCTTCCGGAGAGGAGATCCTGGCTGAGTTGAAGGGGCTAGAGGCGGAGCTGGAGTGGTACGGGAGGGAGGGGGAGCTCTCTGGAAGACCCTACCCACGCTAACCGCCGAATCAATAGGCAGGGATCGCCTCGGCCAAGAAGGAGCAGTGGCATGCTGGAAACGTTTGTGTATGACACAACGTCGGTCCAGGAGCGACTGCTGTTCCCTTGGGGACGACCACATCCGCCCACTACGTCCCCTCGAGCGCAAGCGATGCCCTCGCGGCGATTTCGCGATATGAGGAATTATCGACAAGCAATTCCGAGAGAAGCCAGAGGCAGCAGGGTTGACTTGATTGGCATTCGCTCCTTCTTTTACAGAGAGACGACATTTAAGACGGCCTGGGGAAAGGCCGACTCAGGAGGGTCCTGAACTGAACGTCGAAAGCGCCTTCTCCGCCGAAAAGACATGGGCTGGCCCCCGCGTCGATGGAAACGATGAGACTGCCAGCTTCACTCTTTTCCCCGTTACGAGCACCCTCGCTGCTTGCTGCTTGGCTGCCTAGACTTCGGGATAGCTGCCGACCCATGCGATGTATGGGGACTTCGGAGGGATGGAGGGTTCCGAAGCTGCTGCTGGCGCCGTCAAGGTTCTTGGTTTACATGCGAGCGCTGGTACGAAGAAACTAAGTCGGCGAGAGTTCGTAGAGCAACTTCAGTCAACTTCTTGCTACCCAAATACTCTCGGGTAGCTAGGTGGCTGGGGCGCTAGGCCAGGAGGCAAGCTTTGGCGAGGGTTATGGTGATAAGAGGGAGGGGAGCGATAGATTACGCAGGGCTTCACGAGGCGATACCGCAGGAGGAGATGCATTATACCAGACTACCAGACCAGAATGTGTTTTTGATTTCTGCCTTTGGGTAATGATCAAAGATATATTGATAGAGTCGAATGTTAGATGGGCGTGGATGAGGGACTCGAAGCGAGTGCCCCTGAGAAGCTAGTGCATGTATGAGCGTAGTCCAATACCTAAAGCTAAAACCATTGCGCCAAAGGCAATCCCAACGCCCCCGTAAAAGCCTACTATAGAAAGAGAGGGCTGGGAAAAATAGAGTCGATGCAGTGGAAGATGGATGAATGGGGGCGGGGGCCAAAGAAGAAAAAAAAAAAGATAAAAATCGAGGTGCAACGAAAGCTCTAAGGGTGGGACCGTCGGCCTCTCCAACCAGATCCTCCATGTAGCAACCATGCCGGGTATCATAAGCCATCGGCCTTGTTTAAGCTAGACCCTGTTAAAACGAAACCGCTATTTCTCTTCACCATCCATTATACAGCCACCACCCTCCAACCATGGCAACCACGAGGGTGCCCAAGATCATCGCGCCCTCTTGAGTGCTCCACAGAAACATGCTCCATCCTGCCACGACCTCCTTCTTCCTGGCTGCCATTCGTCGTCCCCAGGCCTCCGGATCAATGGCCACAGGCAGCTTCATCCGCGGGTCGGAGTTCCATTCGGCCACCGTCTCTGCACTAATGTCATCCTCCAACCCCCTTGGTGGAATCAAATCGGCCTTGTCGATCACAGGGACATCGGCCCGGAAGAAGACTGGACGGTGATCACTCGATGTCATGACAGGCATACAATCGTAGGCTTGCACCTTGATCCCGGGAGACTTGGGAAGACGGGCCTTTGTCCAGGGCGCAATGTCCAGATAGAGAATGCGGTCCGTCCACGAAGGGTACCTATGGGGGCAAACTTCCAAGATACGTTCAATGGGTCGGTCTGCTTGCCTGCCTCCGAAACGATGTCATACTTGTACGTCGGGGGAAGTCTATCTTGTGCTCCGAAAGCCCGTGGAGGGTTCGGCCGGCTAGGCGCTCGCGGGTAAGCTGGTCAAGCGGGAAGAAATAGGGATAGTAGTGCTCTGACTCAGGGTCAAGGCTCGGGAAATCGGCGTCGGGAGAGGGCGACGTGGCCGAGATGCGGTAATTCAAGTCGCCACCGACGAAAAGGTGCGATGTAGGCTTGAAAACAGATATGTTATGGAGTTTCTCTTGCATGAGGAGGCTTTCTTCGTTGTGCTGGTCGTTCAAGAGGCGAACGGCTTCTTCGACACTCACGCGCTCGGCCTCGGGGTTTGCAGCAGAATCACCGGCGCTAGCCTTGCGAGAATTGAAGATCTTCTCCGGGTTATCAAACGTAAGGCCGCGCATGATTGCCGCCCAGTTGGCATTGCGGCGGGCGAGGTTCCATTCCATGGCGGCGAGATGTGTCGCGACAAAAGTCATTTCCGAGCTTTGGTCGCTTCCTAGAGGCTCGTACACGATGCGGAGGCCGACGGCCCCCTTATTCCCCATCTCGGCGGCACCAAAGCCAACCTCGGCCTCTTGAATGTCCGTGACCGTTTTCGGGTCTCGGGCGAAAAGAAGAATCGAGGTCATACCAACATTCTTCGATCGTACGAGTATACACCGGAGGTGCGAGCCGCACACGGTTGACAAGCAAGGTCGGGCCATGCTCGTCTGTGGCTTCGCTGAGGCCATTTGGGTTGTTGAGGGCATCGGCGGCGAGGTTGAGAGCTTCTTCGTAACGAGTCACATAGGGGTTGAGAAAATATGATCCGATAAACGAGTATGCTATTGGCGCAACTTCTTGGAGAGAGCTAAACAAAGGCGATTAGTATTAGCACGTCGTAGGGGATGGCATGGGATAAAAATGCAGGAGCCACGTGGGGTTGGATGAGCACTGATGAGCCAGCTATTATCACATCACTCTTCATCTATTCGGTCCACCATGTGACTGCTTCGTGGTGTGGTGTGCGGCGCCCGCAGGTTGGGCCGGCCGAAGGTGGGTGTCACAAGGTACGTCATGTCAAGCCTGGAAGGGGATGTGCTAGGGATCACTCACAAGACGACGAGCTCAGGAAGGTTCTCCCGCTGCTTGAAAACCGTATGGAGGTGGCTCGCAAACACAGGCACGTCAATAAAGTTCTTTGCACAGTTGAGCGTGAGGAAGAACACGTCGACGGCCGCCGAGGGGGTCATGGTCGAGGCAGGCGACGATTCGGAAGCTTCAAGGAGGCATGTGTCGGCCATGACAGAGGAAAGTTTGTCCTCTGCCTCAGGCGGGGCTGAAGGGGTTTGGGGGTTTTTGTGCGACGGAACATGCCGAAACAGGAACTCGTGGGCTCAGTGCTGCTGAGGTTGGGGGCGTTCAGTGGCTGGAACTGCACCAGTCTCGGAAATCCGCACAAGGTCGAGGAACCTGACTCGAGACAAAATTTCAATACTTGCACCTTTGACTCCAAAATGAAAGGCCTTTCGAAAGGCTCCTTGACTTTCCGGTCGAGTTGGGATTCCGTGAGATTTGCGGGGAGGAGAGATGCAGATGGTGGCGAGAAAGGCGACCTTTCATATACTTCGTATTATTACCAAGAGCACTGATTGAGCTCAAGTGCTCTCTCAAATCTCGATGGGGCCTTGGGATAAATCGGTTGATCGATACCCTGGCCAGGGAGAATACTACCAGGGTCATGCACACGCACGAACGACTTCTCTGGACCTTCCTCCATCTTTACGGGTCATCCTCCCTCTTTCCGAGTCAGGCAGCAGCTATCAGTGAGAAACCCACTTCACTAAGCCTCCGAATGTCTTGCCGAATTGTCGGACACGGGTCATCCGTGACGGAGAATCTTCAAAAGGAATCACCTAGGGGCGTAAACAGGTCCTAGTAGGAGGCCGCGTGACAGTTACATCTTCCCCAACATCCCTCGTTCTGCTTCGCACTAGCGTAGGCCAAACTCTCTTGGGCGTGGAGGCTCAACAATGCTTGTACTCTAGGGTGATGTTCACGATTTGGTTAAGCAGGACTTGGCTGGGTACAGCCACAGTGTTTCCAGCTCGTCTCCTCTCCGGCCATCGTCAGAGCTCTCAAGGCTTGCTTTAGCGTTGAGCAAGAAGTGGGGTCGAGAGGGCTGAGGCCACGGCTTCCCCCTCTCCCACCCGAGTTAATTCTAGCATGGATTAATATTACTTCGCCAATTTGGTTCATCCATCGGTGCCCCCTCCAGAGCCGAGAGTGAAGTCGTCGTACAGCTGTGATATGGACAAGGCCAGCCACCCCTTGGGGTTTGTGGTCAGGGGCTCAGAGCCCAGCGTTGTGCTGGAGCCGAAGCTGGAGAGAGCTTGACTGCAGGCGTTGAACCTGCTTGTGGCACACAGCCACAGCGGACTACAAACCAAACAACAGTCTGACCCATCGTCATACATCATCAACATTCACCCTTGCAACAAGGAAGCTGGGAACCTTCTTGTGCCATTAGTAAAGTGGATTAATATTATTATTTCACCATATTATTTCTAACCGGAGGTCTAGACTAGTCCGGCGGGCATCTGCGTAAATGCCACCTCCCTAGGTGGAAAGCCATTCACAATACTCCTTCGTAGCTAAACGATGGCCTTCATGGGTACATTAGGGTATGTTCGTATATGCACGTGTAGATGCTCGATGAAGCCGGTATTAATTCAACAAAGGTCTCCGTTTCTCTTACATCCTAGCAGTCTCGTCTTCTGCCGCGCGCCTCGTCTAGTTGAACCCTCCAGGGATCTCGTGATTCGGGGCAGGCGTCGCGTTCGTTCCGCCTTCACGTTAGAAATCTGCAAAGTAATGATCATATTTCTCCGCCATCTCATCTGTGAATGAGCTGTGGTTTCCATCATCCTCGGGATACCGGTCAAAGCACTGTGCATCGTCCGCCGCTTTGATCGGAGGAACAATCGGTCCCTTGCTGCGCCGGTTGGCAACATCGTCCCAGTTAACTTCTCGAAAGAAGGCGTGTTCCTTGACCCGTCCTGCACCGCCGCTGATATTCCCTAGTCTCTTTGACCTATCGACAATACAGAACTGGGAAATGAGATCTTTGGATTCTGGTGAGAGCGCCGGTTCGCTAGGAAATACAATGGGCTTGTTGACAATCCTGGTTTGACGAACGAGTGTGAGTATGGCTTGCGCATCCCCGTCTCCGTGCCATCCTTGCTGAGGAGGTAAAATAGAAAATACTCACTGCTTGTAAATCTCCATGGGGTTTTGGTGCCAGAACGGTGGATAGCCAGTAAGAAATTCGTAGAGGAGGATCCCCAGCGCCCACCAGTCCACCGCCGTGGTATGACCTTTATTCTGTATCACTTCTGGCGCAAGATACTCTGGCGTCCCGCAGAGCGTATAAGTCTCCCCAGGCTTATCCCCATCACGGCCCAGTCTTTTGGCGAACCCAAAGTCAACCAGCTTGATGTGGCCGTCCTTGTCTAATAAGAGGTTCTCGGGCTTGAGATCTCGATACGCGATGCCGTCCTGTGTTTCATGCAAGTACTCAAGCACGAGCACGAGCTCCGAAATATAAAACCGCGAGGTTGGCTCGTCGAAGCGCCGCATCCGCCGCAGATATGTGAACACCTCGCCTCCAGGGACATAGTCTAGAAGCATATACAAACAATCCCGGTCTGAGAACGAGGCTACGAGGTTGGCGACGAACGGATAACCGCTCACATCGCTGAGGACCGCACGTTCATTTCGGACATGATCAAGCTGTTTTAGCCGAACGACTGTATTTTGGAACAGTTAGCGCCTGGACCTACAGACAGGGGAGAAAGGTCTATAAGTTGGCGGTCGCGAAGGTGAAGTAGGCAAAGTAGATGCTACCAATCCTTGAGAAGGTGGGGAGCTGGGGGGGGGGAGGGGAGGGGTCTCGCCAGGTCTCCGATTCCTCCCCCTCTCAAAAGTCACATCCTGAGGCTAGATACTTGGAGGACGTCCTTACCTTCAGTTTTGCGGAGGATTTTGAGGGCATACACGCTATCGTGGTCATCTCGAGGGTGCCGACAGGCTTAACGAGACATACTCGGGCAAATGTGCCTAACGAAAAGTTTGGCGAAGGTGGTCAGTCGCGGAGAAGGGGAATTGGCACAACACCAAGCTAAGGAGGATGCGAACCTGTGCCTAGTGTCCTGACAAGGCGGAAGTCTTGTATTGATAGTGTCTTGCGCTGTTCAGCCCCGCGTTGAAGCCCGTGAGTGTCGGGGCTAGTGGGAAGGGAGGGGAGAGAGGCGCGATGGGCTTTCCCAGCGCCGTAGCGAGAGGAGGAACTGGCGCGACGTCGCTCGCCATTCGAAGTCGACCAAAGGTCCTATCTAGCTTGAAACGAAGGGATTCGGCCGAAAGCCGAAACGGAATCGAAGCTCGCGACGTGGTGGGTGATTCAGGGGTTCTAAGGGGGGCTCATGCCATGAGCCTCCCAGTCCACGTGCGGGTGTAGGAGGTCGGCGATGTGACGTGCCCTGCAAAGTTTATCTCGTGCTAGGCTTGGGATGCGTAGGAGTATGCCATAAAGGTGACATATCGGTCCGGGCTGGTTCTGTTGGGTGTTGCGCAACAGCTCTGGTGGTGGTGGATGGCGGGGATGTGGGATGGTGGGATGGTGGGATAGTGGGGGCGCCAGCAACGTTTTGCTCGCGGAATAGATCGCCAAAGGGCAGTGTCAAAAGTGAGCAGTCAAGGACGAGGCGCGGGTGGTTGAATCCGGCCGGGCGCTGGAGATATATAGTCTAAGTACGACTTTGACATCCTATCCTGGTTAGCCGCGGGGTGTCATTGCCGGCGTGAGGGAGTTTAATTGATACAAGAAAGGATGTACACTGCATTTGTGAATGGTCCTGAGCACAAGTCGGCCCAGCACACTTTGATGCAGCTGCTGCAAAACCAGGTTCCCTTATGCTTTTGCTGATGCAGAGAAGCGACCAATTGATGATTGGTTTGGGGAATGGCCAAGAGAGGATGACGCAACGTTGGTCAATAGAGGTCAAGGTCTCAATCACCAGTCGCACTTTCGTTGTTGCCGCCCGCTAACCAAGTTTGGTCGACTGCTTTCAACCAATCTTCTTTAGTGGACGTAGGGTACCATTCATCTATTCTCAGTGGACAGCGTTTGCACTATTTGGATGCTAACCGCGCACGTATTGGCGAGAGGCTTCTTCCGTTAACCGCCTAGTTTGCTCCGTTAGGGAGAACGGACGAAAACCAAAGGGCTGGCATGGGGGAGAAAGGGAGGCGGTTGAGGGGATCAGTGTGATGTTTGTCTCACAAGCCTTCATGTTAGCTGGAATCGGCCATTCCCGGCGCAATGTTACCATAGATGCTACTATCAATACCACAATGCCCTCTGTCAGGAGTAAGCTTCGTGCTGTCGCGGAAGAGCTCCTTCTGTTCAGAGGTGGATAGATCCGTTGCATTGAATGCGTGTCGTCAAGGCCAGGGCTCTAATAATAGCTCCGCATGGTTGATGACATATTCAACCTCGCATTCAATGGATCAATAGCGCGGACCCCTTATAATAGGCTAATTTCAAAAGTTGGGGGTGCTGTCCCATCCACTATTCCGGTGCGGTGCCATGTCTCTATCCCTGTATTATCCTATGTGCTGCGTCGTCGAGCTTCAACCTGTCGACTTGTCTGCTTGCCAGGCTAGCAGCAATCGGCTGAAGGCTCGTCCATAACAACAGAGAGAGATGGCAGCTGGTTCATCAATCTTCAGCCCCGTTTCTGTGTCCTCGTGCATAGGTCGGGTAGGTAAGTGGCTTTTTCCCCGACCGAGAGATAACTGCGAGTGCATACATGTAAGAGATAAGATGGACTTCATCACATGCAGTGATGGACGCTGTTCGACCCCTCTGCGGATGTCGCCATTTTGCAGGCGCCTGTAGATAACATCAAGTTCCCACCCACCTGATAGAAGTCGATGCGTACTCATCAACCTTTCATCCTTTTAGATTAGCTAGTTGCCATCCTGTTAGACTCGATCTACGTTGAGAGATACATCAATGATAGACGTCTCCCCGCCCCCTATCTAGTGGCTGTCTAGATCTGCATCACAATGTTTCTATCGCCGCCCGAACATATCATCGAAGTTGGTGTCTAAGACGAGATCCCGCCCCGCCCCCTTCAGGTATCCGGCGAAGGCGTGAGGTCGGGTTGGCAAGACACTAAGCAACTGGGCTCGTCATTCCCCTCCCTTTCCCCTTTCGTTTTTCTCTCCTGTTTCTTTAAAGGGGTCGGTTTCTATTCAAGCTAGCCTCGCTTTCGCAAGTAGAAGGTGACCGTCCCGGTTTCTGCGTGGAGCTCAGCCGTATGCAAAGAAGGTGGGGAAAAACTGGGTTCTAGAGTCGAAACGACGATTGTCACTGCGAGATTGAGGTTTTCCCTATTTCTATGAGCATCGAAGAAAATGTCTTTCATGCACGAGTGGGCTCGTCCCAGAAGCTTTGGAATGGGCCAAATGTGAGAGTTGAGAGGACCTTAGTTGAGGCTAGATAAGCTCTGCGTCTCGGCACACAGCTCCCTCAAATACTCTGAGGGGAGGCTGGGATTCCATTCGCGGGGCAGCCACGATAATCAGACGTCAAGCTTGGAGGGGTGGACAGAGGCCGCTTCTTCGGCCAAGTGACGGACGAAGTCCAGCTGAACGAATAATATTGTGCGCTTGGTGCTCTGGATAATATTAGGGAGAGGCGGACAGGGGCGTTGATGACTTTCAAACAGTTAGGATGGAGCTCGGGCTGGTCATACCATTGTTCCAGCTCCAGCGGCTGCAGTTTGCACGGAGTACTTCTGTTCCCAGCAAGAGGTGCAGGGAGAATTGTGTACCCTCGGCCAGTCCCCAGCTTTGCCAGTGAGGGCCTAGCCATACACATTCGAGCAGTTCATCCCCGCTTGACCGGGGCTCCTGACTCCACTGTTCACTGGCGACCTGTGGTAGAGTGCCGCCGTACCTTCCCCAAGGCTCTGCCGGACCACCACGCATCAATTCCATTCCATTGATCAACCCTCACCAACCCCATCGCCCATCTTTTTGGAGCTGTGCTTGACGTAACGGCTCCAAACCACCCCTTCCCTTCGTACGCTGAACTTGGAACCAACCAACCTCTTGCCTCCACCTCTGCAGAGCTCCACCGTTTCATTGAGTATTCGCTCCTTTTCCTGATCCTCGTTCCCTGAAGGACACGGCGAGCTGGCCCATCACCTCCGCTCCTGTCGACTGAAGCCTTCGAGCCCGAGCCGACACACGCCCGTTTCCTTCCTCCGACCCCGGATCCAGCCTTTCACCGGCATGATCGTGGTCGAAATCCACTGCGAGCCATGTTGAACCTCACAAGTCTTGTTCAAAAGGCTCAGCAGCTGATCGACCCTACCCAGGGCCTGAACCTTTCCGATTCCGATCGCAACCCCTCAAAGGCCGTCCTCTTTCAGAGCCAGTTCCGTCTCCCATCCTCGCAGACGCCTCTGCATGAAATCAATGCTGAGCTGACGATACCTGCCTCGAACGTGACCCATGGCGATAAGGCACTGGATACTGGCTGGCACTATGGAGGGAAGTTGCACCTTTCCGAGTCCTTCATGTGCTTCTCCACCACCCCGACGAGTTTTTCCCAAAGCGCCAGCACCACGACCTCTTCGCTGTTCACCGGACAAACGCATGGAGGTGGCCCTAGTGGAAACGGATTCACATTTCCCTTGTGTGCCATCCGTCGTGTTGAAAGGCTGAACAGCCAGAACTTCCAGGTTTGTTTCCCTCTCCCCTCCTTTGCGCTCCGTGGCCTACCTGCTAATATTGTTATCCTTTCTCTCATTGTATTAGTTCGCCCTCGCGATCACGACCTGGAATGGATTTATGCACGAACCCCCAAGCCGAAGACCGGCTCGGACAAAGAACCCCGTTGTACGGGAACAGCGTATAACGATCCACCTGGCCAGCACACGCCAGGCTTGCGAGAGATTTTGCGATGGCCTTAAGAGAGGTCTCCGGACCAATGTCATCAATGTGGCCAAGATGAAGCGAGTGTCCACGCAGTGCTACTCGGAATACTTTTGCGCACCGAGGACAGGAAGAATGCCGATCCTCCGGACGCGGGGCTAGGCATGCTTTTCCGATACCCCGGAGACGCGAAAAAGATGCGCGATCGAGCTAAAATGCGACTTTGGGCCGAATACCTGAGAGATAATGGCCGAAACCTCACCCTAATTCGACAGCCCACCTTTCACAAGCTCATTCGCGTTGGTTTGCCCAATCGACTGAGGGGAGAAACTTGGGAGCTGACGTCCGGCTCCGTCTACCTAAGACTGGAGAACCCGACGCTATACACGGATACCCTAACCAAATTTTCCGGCCAGGAATCTCTTGCCATCGACGAAATTGAAAAAGACTTGAACCGCAGCTTGCCCGAGTATCCCGGCTTCCAAAGCGAAGAGGGAATCGGCCGCTTGCGACGGGTCCTGACCGCCTACAGCTGGGTCAATTCTGATGTTGGCTATTGCCAGGCGATGAATATCGTTGTCGCCGCACTACTCATCTACATGTCCGAAGCCCAAGCGTTTTTCCTCCTCTCTACCCTCTGTGACAGACTAGTTCCAGGCTACTACTCGACGACCATGTACGGCACCCTCCTCGACCAAAAGTCTTCGAATCCCTCGTCGAGAAGACGATGCCCATCCTTTGGGAGCATTTGGTGAAGAGTGACGTGCAGCTTTCTGTTGTCTCGTTGCCATGGTTCTTATCGCTCTACATCAACTCCATGCCACTCTATCTCGCGACGCGTGTTCTGGATGTCTTCTTTATCGAAGGCCCCAAGGTCCTATTCCAAGTCGGCCTTGCGATATTAAGAATCAACGGCGAAGAGCTACTAGACGCTACCGATGACGGAGCGTTTATATCCGTCCTCAAGGCCTACTTCTCCCGCTTAGACGAATCGGCTCACCCCAAATCAGAGAACCCTAAGCTTCGGGCCGTGACTCGCTTCCAGGAGCTCCTCGTCGTTGCCTTTAAGGAATTCTCCGGGATTACGCATAGCACCATCACCGACCTCAGGTTGAAGAACAAGGATGCTGTCCTCAACAATATTGAGAACTTTGCGAAGCGGACGGCGATTCGCAATCTCGGCCCCGACAGCAAATTGCTCAGCACGGAAGAGCTAAGCGCTCTCTACGACAGGTTTTATGGTGTGTTGTACGAACGCCAGCAGCGCATAGGCATCATCCAAGAGGAGCAGCGTCGTCGGGCCAAGGGAAACCGCGGCCGCGTAACAGATTTGTTTCCCGGAGCGCAAGACCATACAATAGAGAAGGGGCGAGTGGGTCTGGGTCCCAGCACAAGTCTCATGGATTATGACGCTTTCCGAGAATTTTTGGCCGGCATCTCAAAGTGGGCGATCGCCGACACGCCCCCAACTCCAAGGAGAGATACGTTTGCCGACCGAGACAAGGGTTCGTATTATTCGCGCTCTAGAGGGACTTCAGACGCGCTTTCGGGTCCTTGGGGAGGCGGACCAGAACCGGCAGATCATGAATTCTTGCAACTTTTGTTCAAGAAGTGGGACGTGGACAACAATTCAGCTTTAACTCTTCAGAACGTGGTGACCGGACTTGCAAAGATCAAGTCAAAGCGCGATATCATGGGCACTATTAGTTACTTTTTTGACCTCTACGACGACGACGGCGACGGCAAGGTGGACAGAGAAGGTATCCTGAGAATCTCTGAGGCCTTGCTCTTCCTATCTCGGCGAGGACTAGAGGGCACGCTCAGCGCCTCCGCGACGACTCCCAATGGTGAGCCGGGCGGTGGTCCCCCGAACGCGTCTCAGCTTAGCCTCCCCGGTATCTCGAACAACGAGCGGTTCCTAGGCAGCGTTAGCGCCTTCATCCGTCGGTGCTTCGAGTACGCTGATCCGGACCACCCAAACAACCAGGGAGCGAGGGCGTCCCCGAGCCTGAAAAGGATTCGGAAATCGACAGCGCATTTTCCATCGGCGACGATGAGGACGACGAAGACGACGAGGATCTACTTGTCTCGTCACGTCCGGCATCTCCGACCGGCGTTCCCGAACCAGCCAAGAGGCCACCTGCCCTTTCAATCACAACAGATACCGGCCACAATCTCGGGCGAAAGGTGTCAAAGGCGCACTCGAATCCGCCAACGTGGCACTCGATCCGGCTAATCCTCTCCACATAACGCTTCCAACGTTCCGCATGGTTGTCCTGGCTGATGAACTTCTCGAACAATTCTTTGAGTCCTCTTTCCCGGTCTCGTTCCACATCATTGACGGTCTCCCGAGTCAAGCTTCGAGCTCAGGCGGCCTGACAACGTTTGCTAGTCTGGGCTTTGGTAGCCGGGCCCCGGTGCCAAGCGCGGCTAATTTGGGCGGCGCTGGGAGAGGTCTACGAGGAGTGCTGGACAACATCGTCACAGACGGCATGAGAGTCGCCACGGAGGTGAGGAGGAGGATGGAGGAGGCTCAACGGGAACTGGAGAAGAATGCCCAGCCGGGCCAGAAGCCATATGCGGACGATGATGATGATGAAGATGACGATGTAGGAGCAGTAATGCCTAGCTCGGCGAGTGGCAAGGTGGGAGTCAACGCGCGTCGGGGTACTGGTAGCTCCACGCTGGATTTCGAGAGGAGGTCCGTCAGGAGCTCTGACCGAGACCTTCTCTCGGGAGCAGACGCCGAAGCTGCGGACGAAGGGGACCAGGGTAAGGCGATGGCGGGCAAAGCCTCGCTGTTAGACACGGATCCAGGCCTTAGTGGGTCGGGCTCGACATCAACGGGAAAAGGCCTGGTCGAATTTGATGGGCGGAACTAGACCTGGCTTCTTCTAGCCCCGGGTTGGTTTCGTGTGGCTATTGACTTGGCTGCCCCGTTCCTTTTGCATTTCTTTTTGGGCGTGGTTCGCAGCAGTCATTGTACCTTGTTGATTTCCCATGGAGAAGCTGGCGCCGGGTTTTAAGGATTGATGGGATGCATGAATTCTTTGTGTCCGCAGAACAGGAGGAGTGGTGCTCACGTAGAGATGGCCGCTCGGCAGCTACTAGTCTTCCCATCCCCACCACCATCCACTTGCTTCCACACCTGTAGAGAAGAAGAGAAAAGAAAACACTCAAGACAGAAAGGGAAAATTACTGGCTCCTACGTCACAACTACGAGCTGGGCATTACCTCTTAAGCAATCGTGATGACCATGAGATGGCGCTCTCTAAACGCGGACCTATACGTCCGACACCAAGTGAGAGAGGCACGAAGGGGGTGCAAGAAAAACAGACACTAACAGTGGGACATTACTGGGAGGAGGAGAAAGCTGTGTGGTATCATCCATATAACCATAAAATCGTCTAGGGACTCCTCCCTCCCTAACTCTGCCCGCAGCACACCAGGCCAGATGTAAACGTGATATAAATATACAAAGGCTCGCCTCCCGATCCATCCACATAACAGCCAGCGCATGAACCAAACCTTCGACGTAGTCGCTCCAGAACAAGATAGAAAAACCCAGATTCCACGCCCTGCAGAGTTCTAGAGAAAAAGAAACCGCAACCAGAACAAGATAAAAAAAACAAAGAAACGAGAAAGAAGAGAGTAACCATAAAGAAGACAAAAAAAGAGAAGAAAAAGGACCGGTACCCGAGGAGGAGGAATAGGCGTCCCAGTTACTTCTCTAGGTGGCCGTCGTTGAGGAGCATCTCTAGCACAATTTGCATACCCGCAATCTCTGGATGTGTCATGGCAATTTTGACAGTGGTTTTGGAGTCGACGAACCCCGGGCCCGAGGGGCTGACGGCTTGCGCCGCCGTCATACCCGTTGGTCCTCGAGCGCCGTAATCAAGGCATCGAACGTCGCGGCCGGGGATAATCTGTCTCAGCCTTCCATTCTCGGCATTACGTACTTCGACATAGTCATCGTTGAATAAGACGAGATACTGCCCACAGAGTGTTGCGCTCTTTGCCTTCTTCTGCTTTCCGGAATATTCCATAATCAGAGTGCGACTGACATCTCCGTGCTTATCGACATACACGGCGCAATCCTCGTAGGCCAAGAGGAACTCTTGATCGTTCAAGCGGAACATGCCGAGGGGCTTCTGGTCGCGTATACGGCTCGCAATGTTGGCAATGGAAGGCTGCTTCACGTCGGGAATGGACATGGGCTGCTTCTTGTCCAGAGTCAACAACTCGAACCCCTTGGAAGTCGCGACGGAGATGTACGTCTGGAACAGGTTGAGCGAATAGCACTCGGTTGGGAAGAAGAATTCGTCGTAATCCCTAAACGACTCGGTAGATCCCGATTTGCGGCTGCTGCCTAACCATCTGGATTTCTTCTCCGTTGTCCTGTGGAATACGGGCTCGAGGACCTTGAAGAAGGTATTATGCACACCTTCCTTCCTCTTGTAGAACACAAGCATCCTGTCCTTCATGCGCGCAGCCGCAAAGAAGGAAACATCCTTGGCGAGCCGCTGAGGCGCCCGGCGAGAGTTGTCGTGGGCCGGTGCGGGAAGTTAGAAACGGGCGCCACAACATCGAGGGGGTAGGAGATTAGAGATCGGTCCGCGATGACCAAGCACACTGAGAACTCCTCTAGGACCGCAATTTGCGTTACTTTTGAGCAGGAACGGTCTATCACAACACGTTAGTTATCACTGGGGAAGGAAGAGTTCGATCTCGCCGTGCCGAGGAGCAGAGACGTTGACCGTCAAACACGAAATGTACATACCCGTTGCCAGCCCCGAGGGTCGGTGGCGTCCGAAATGTAGACGCCATAATCTGTACCAATCGCGATGATCGACTTTCCATACGCCGAGAACCCGGTAGAGCAGTTCACCTGAGCTCGGCAGACAGCCGGAGGGCCTCGGCCTGGGCCATACACAATTTCCAAGTCTCGAATGGCCCGGTCGAGTGGCGTGCCCTCAATAGGTACGCTAGGCTGTTTTCCGATCGCCGCGATCGAGTCATAGGCAAACGCGCTGTCAGCAAGCACACGCAGCCTAAAAGGTTCCGCGTTCTGGGAGAATAGCGCCTTCGCATGCCGCGTCTTGGCTTCAATAATCTTATTGCACCAGTCTTGCCTGATTTGAGGTGTCGAAGCGTACAATGTGTACACGTCGTGGCCAAGATGCTTGATCCGGAAGGGATACATGATTCGTCCCTCGGCATCGGTGGCTAGGGGTTGGCCGAGACGGGGCACCGTTGCCGCCGATGCCCCCGTGTTTGTATGTTCGAGTCCTGGGCGATCACCCCCAGCAGTAGTGGCCTTGCCCAATCTGCTATCCGACACAGAGGTCGTTGTTCGGCCTAGAGGCGCTGCAATGCGGTTCTGCTTCGCAACCGCATCATCGTTGGTGCTTTCAAGGCAGAGGAGAGGCATGGGTATCGGCTAGGTATGGTGTTAGTTAAGAGATTCCACTTCTTCAAAAGGTGGAAATGAAAACACATCGACTTACCTCCTTCGAAACGTCGTACTTCTTTTCGCCACGGCCGTCCTTGAGGCTGACGGTCTTCGCCAGGATGAGGTAGTGGTCAAAGAGGAGCGCGTGGGACTCTACCCATCTTACTCCCTTGGATCCCATACGCTGGAGGTCGCCCTGGAACAAGAGTTCTCGCCCGAGGTGGTCGAGATTAAGCATCGCCTGGAATCCTGGCCTGAGCACAAGCATGGAGTTGAGCTCCATCATCTCGACCTGCTTCTGCATCTCTGCCACGCGCTGGTCGCATTCCAGGGTGACGGCGTGGATCTCTTGGATGGCCTTGGTCAAGTTACTCTTTTCCTCGCTATCCTGGAGCATGTTCTTCTCTACCGTGCTCAGAAGGAAAGTGTATCGCTGCAAGCGAGTGATTGGCGTTTTCAAGAAATGGGTCCAATCCAGGCGCTCGGATCGCTTGTGGTTGCGCACCTGCTCGAGAAACTGGCGGAAGAGGATGTTGCGATCGGCCTCCCTCCTGACCAAAAAGGTCGCGTACGGGTAAGAGGATGCATATTCAATGTAAACATCCCGCGCTTTCCTGATCCACTCACGGAACAAGTCGCTGTAGCCTGTGATCCAAGGACCCTGTTCCTGCTGTCGGTATTTGAGTTGGGCGAGCAGGTGGTCTTTGTTCGTTTCCTGGACGGCGTCCACTTTTCCAAAGACGGTCTTGAGGAACTTATCAATCTTCCCAGGCGGGATGATGGGCGGTTGTAGAGTTCGGAGACGGTCGCGGTAAAGAACCCTGAGCACCTCCAGCTGGTTCATGTATCCCTCCTCGCTGGTGACAATCTCGTGAAGCACGTTCTGGCGCTCAATCTCCTTCTTGTGCTTGCCTTCGATACTCTCCTTGGTCAGCTTGAAGAACGTCGCCCAGTCCTCCTGCTTAACAGAGTCTTCGGACAAAAGATCGTCAAGATTGGCCTTCTTGAGCGTTCGGGTACAGTGGTACGAGTAGCAGCGGCCCGGGCACTCCTGCTCGTGCAGCTTAGGTGCGTAACAACCGGAGCCGCTGAGCTGCCAAAGCACGCCTGATATTGAACCGGGCGCCAACTTCACCCACTCCTCCTCTGGCACGAGGATGCCAGATTCCCGCATAACGGTGACTACTCGGGCAGAAAGAGTCTCGGCATCGGCGACGTTCATCGTGGGTACTTTGGCAGTGAAAAGCTTCACGAGACCTTCCTCGATGGTCTTTTGCTTTAAATCAGGTTCTCCCTCGGTCATGTCTCTGATCCAACTCGCAATGCTGCTCAGGGCCCAAGGTTCCGCACATCGTTTCATGTCCTGGGATGTCAGCTTCGATGGGATGAACTTGCGCTTCCGGCCGGTGGGTAGCGTAATCATGTCATACGACACAGCCGATTCTGCCTCATAGTTGAACGAGCCAGAGCCGGTCTTGGGCTGTTGGGCCTGGCGATACTGCCTTCGCCTTTCATCGGCAGCATCGGTCCTGGACCGTGACGGCGCATGGACCGCCGGTGTCGTAGTGTGGCTGGAGAAGGAGATGGATCTCTCTACCTGCGACTGCGCCGACCCGGGAGTGTTGTACACTTCCAACCCTTCTTGCGTCCGCCCCGACTCTGGGGCCCAGGACTGGTTGTGCTGGTACTGGCCCTGACCGGAGGAGGAACTCGGGGGCTGTAGCGACAGGGTGTCGAGCATGGGCAAGGCGGGCAGCGGCCGGCTAGACATGCCAGGGTGGTAAAAGATGTCTGGATAATCGTCCTTGAAGGGAGATTCGCTCCCGCTTTGTCGTGAGTGTAGGGAGGCTTGTTCCTCACCATCGTCAACCGGCGGGCGGTACGCATTGGCAGGTTGCAGTCCTCCGGCACCAGGATAGTCCATCTCGGCCTGCGGCAAGGTCTGGGCAGCCAAGGATCGGGATCCATATGCACCAAGCGCATCGTACAGCGGGGGTACAGGCAGCGGCCTGTCATCCGTCAGTCCAACATCGTTGCCATAGGTCAAGTTCCCCGCGTAGCCACCGCTGAATAAGCCGAGATCCATGCCGCCAAAATCGCCGTCGCTACTCGACTCCTCCTGCGCGATGTTGTTCAAATGCTCCGAGGAGCGGGTAGGAATCAGATCAGCCTCCGGGTAAGGGGCACCACTGAACCTCCGATCTTCCATTTCGGCCTGCTGCATGGCTAACACGCCAGCTGTGCCCTCGGGATCGCTTTCCTCCTCAAGCCGGTATGGGTAGCGCGAGGTAGTCCCTAGGGCCTGCGGAATAGCAGCTCCCCGCTAGGGTTAGAAGTAGGGGTCATCGGGTCGTAGTGTCGAAGATGTTCCATGTCTTCATCGGAGAGCTGGGCGCCGTTGATGGGGGCAGGCCGATCCCGTCGCGAGGACCCGCCCAACTCCGCCTCGATATCCTGAATGATGTTATCTTGCGCCAGTTGCTCGTCGATAAGATCGTCCTCTCTTGCAGCTCCGTTAGAGGACCAGTGCATATTATTCTGCCGGAGGTCGTGGGGCCGGGTTGGCAGGGGAGCATTGGTTGGGTGTCGCTGAAGAGTCGTGGTCGGCTGTTGGGGCGCTGGGGAGGGCAATTCGGAGGCACGGGAATTAGACCGAGATGTTCTGTTATAGAAAGAATTCGGGTCACTCGCTGAATAGCCAGACCCAGTCGCGGGTGTCTGGGGAAACTAGGGTAAAGGGCAGACGAATTGCTGGCAGCCGAGTAGGGGTGAGGGCGGGGCTATTGCCAGTCGAGGAGTAATTGCCATAGTTTGTAGGATTGTAAGAGCCAGAGTAGGCGGAAGGATCGTAGGTCGGGGCCTGGGACGACGATGCGCTATGTATTGGCGGGCTTGGCAGGGCAGGCTCATACTGGGGCACAGCTACTGTAGGAGGTTGGGTTGGATGGGCGAAGGCCGGTGAGTATTGGGCCCCAGGGGAAGGATAGCCAGGCTGCGAGGCGTACTGCGGAGAATAATTGTTGTAGCCGTGGTATGTAGGGTTCCTTTGAGGCACCGCAGCCGCGCTGGCATAGGCAGCGGGGTTGTAGGCTTGCGGTGTATAGTTGACATTTGTCTGCGGAGGAATGTGCTGGGCAAAAGCGGCGCCAGAATACTGCGCTTGCGGGGCAGGGTGAAATGGCAGGGATGTCGACTGCGATCTGGAAAACTGTTGCGGATTGTAGGCCGACGGGGACGTAGGCTGAAGGGAGGACGAGGGCGGATATTGGTTGTGGTAGGAGGAGAAATTGCCCATGGAAGCCGAAGGGTCGGTCGGGCTGGTTAGAAACAGCTCATCTTCGCCTCGACTTGGCGCATTCTGAAAGGCCGGAGCAGGCGACTGGCCAGAACCGAAGAGTGCCGCATCATCACCTCGATCGAAACTCGGTCGTCGCGCTGGGTAGGAAGAATGGTCGGTCGGTTGTCCCGCAATAGGGTATTGGACAGGCGGAACGTGGCCGTAACGGCGCTGGTCATCGCCGCGAAAGGACATGGCTACGAACTGGCGTCAGGGAGAGCCCGGCGGCTTCGTTCTGCGTCGTGGGGATCAAGTGGCGAGCCAAGCCAGTGGCTCCTCGACCTCTCTTGGGAGGTATTGCTATTCCCCTGCCTCGGTCGGGCAATCTGGGGAAGTTTTTGTTTCCCTTTGAAACGGATTCGGCTGAGGAAGCTCTGGCGGATAGACAGGCTTGTTTGAGACGACGCCTCCAGTCACTCCATCAGTCGTCTGCTTCGTGAGGAATATGTCAATAATGACGGCTTATGGGGAAAAGCACTGGCTGTTTGGGTGAACTTTTCTCCTGGCTGTCCTCGAGCGTCGGGGCGGTTGTCGAAGTAGGAGGGCAAGGCGGAGGTGCCTCGCCACGATGAGAATCAGCACGATTGGGGAAACGCGGCGATTGGTTTCGGGTGCGGAAGGCAGCGGGGTACGAAAAATAGCCGTTGCGAAGGGGAAATCTCGATGCCGCTTATTATTTGAAGTATCGGGACTCGGTCGCAAGTTCAAAGAGGCTTCTTCGTCGGATGTGGACGAGTATGAGCGTCCTCGTCACGTTGGCGAATTCGGGGTGGAAGCTGTTGGATTTTGCGTCCACAGGTTGGGTGTGGATGAAGTGGCGGGTTGGTTCATGGGACGTTACGGGCGGGAGACTGAAAGGACTGGGGTGTTGAAGTCCCTGGTTCAGTCGGCGGGTGGGTTCGAGGATTGCTCCATCAAAGTTGGGTGCGTGGGTGTGGGTGTGGGTGTTGGGTGTGGGTGTTGGGTGGTGCAGGGTGGTGCAGGGTGGTGTAGCACAGTTCAAATGTTTTGTGTGGTGGCCTGGCCGGTGCTGGCAATTGATCCTCCATCAATTGATGCAGAACTAAATGGATCAACGATGAATCAACATTGCTCAATTCCCCAGACCCCATGAAAACCTTTGCTCGTAGGGCTGCAATAAACGGTGGGCACACCACAGAGTCGCGCAGTCAGCCCGTCAGCCAACACAGACTTTGAGCCAAACCGGCCAGTTTAAGAGCCTCTGACCAGTCCAGAGTTCCCCCATCCTAACAATATTTCGAGGTATTGATCTGGAGAGGTAATGATGTTCAAACTCCCAGATTGTCGCGCCGAGTGCTTGGCGAGTTCAGTGCTAGTTCCACGCTGTGCTGCCACGCCCTCCAACCAGGCTGGGTTGTGCCGTATTATTTCTAGCTACTTGGCTGAATATCCACAGATGATCCGTAAATGCTTGTAAGATTGATCCACATGGAGGCATCCAAGCATCCAACCGATTAGGCGGCCTCATGGCCGGCCAAGCAATGGAACCCATCCATTGACTTGTCAAGTCAATGTTGGGATCAAATTAAGGAAATATTGGATCAGCGACGGCGACCCGTCTGCTCGCCAAACCTATCTATGGATCTCAGCCTCTACAATTTACCGACGAGAAAACGCCCAAGCCCACGCTCCAAGACAATCCAAGTCCAGGCTTCTGGTGTTCGAATGGCCACGGAGAACTCCTAAGAACGGCATGATTTGCATCTTAGCCCATGGTGGCTCCTGAGAAAGAAACGGGCCTCAAAGAGACAAAGTCCTAGAAATATCTAATTCATTAGCAATCCAAGATCACCCCACCACCACACATGTAGGATTGGAGTGCACATACTCATCGCCACGGAGCTGCTGGAGGTAACAATCAATCACTGTCCGCAGTCAGATGTACCCCTAATGTCAATCTTGCTGGTCGATACGCCCAGGAGGAGTAATGTAATTGATCTATTACGCCGCATCGACTATTACCAGGCCTCAAAAGTATGAAAATAATGATAAAATAGAGGATGAAAAAGCCTCATCAACATAATATAGATAGAGGTTCGCTTCTTTATTGAAGTCACAAAGATCCATCGCGAAGGCTTTGGGCGATGGCCAAGGAAGGCACATTCCATCCACCAACCCCTTCACTTTCACAGGCAAATTTCGAAAGGCCGGATGTCGAGGACAAAGGCATCTGACATCGATTCGGAGAAAAAGAAAAGATGGAATTCAGCGTACTTCCCGGCAGCTTCCTGTCTTATTCTGGCCCATGTCACCCACGCTACCTTCAGATCCGGAGTCTCGAGTCTTCGTGCTGTGCAACTCCGCCAAGCCGTTACAGGTCAACACTCCACCCGAAGAAGGTCTGGGAGCAAGGTCTCACTGCCGGGACAAATCTGACAGGCTAAGAGGGACAACACTGCTGCTCATTGAAAAGAGAAAGGGGGAAATTGGGCCAGGCAATGCAGTCAGAGAAGAGAGCCTAGACCACAACATTCAGAAAGTCGATAAACGTCTATCAATAGCGCCTTTGGGCCAATGGACGTGGGTGGGCGTTGTAAACCAGGCCCGGGCCTTCCAGCTCTGGCGGACTGGCCCGCTAGGCATGCTAGCAAGAGATGGATCCATCCATTGGATCCATTTGAGCAGAGCTGTGTTTGCTCTCACTTGTCTCACGCTCCGTGAACCGTGTGGCCGATCCTCAAAACGCATTCCTCCGTCCCCTTCGGATTCCCGAAATGAAGAAGTTTAGCTCTTATTAGTGGCGAACCCAGCCAGGAGTCTAAAGGTAAAAGGTGCGCGACTCCAACCCAACAGGAAAAAGAATAGAATTAAAACAAACCATCCAGCAAGATGGTGAAAGGAATCGTCGTCGCCAATATTCCTTGGTAGACTTGGTGGCAAGAGGGGCCGAAGACATCTTCACCTCACTCGCGTGGATCTTTTCCGCAAAGTCAGGACCGACCCTGGACTACCAACTGCTCCCTCTCTCTGACCGGCCTACATTCCATCCCGCGGATTTTGATCAGCGCGCCCAATCAATTCCCCTCACTCTTTTTGTTCGTTGGGGGAATTCGCAAATGTCCCCGGAAATACCAGGTGCGTTCGCGTCAAAGAAACTCGAGAGTTCAGTGAGAGTTACCATCCCCGTCTTGGCTAGCACCTTTGTCAGTTACGTGTGTGCAAGAATGCACAGTAAACTAAGGGAAGAATGAGTAATATTGAGCGCCCTCATCCGGGAAACTGGGCCGCGTCCATCTATATGTGCCAAAAATAAAATAAAAATAAAAATAAAAATAAAATTGAAAGACGAAGTACAAGGATGAAAGACCAGGCCCTGCGCACCAAGCAGGATCTTGAAGGAAGCCAGCGCAGTTCGTATCCGTCGACGCAAGATTCCACTTCCTCGTCAGCATCTGGCATGCCCACAACTACGTGCGACATGCTGAGCTCCTTACATAAACTGCCCTTAGTCGAAACGAGTGGACACTCGGACGGGCCAAACCCGCCATCAGCTCCTCTTCCAATGCGCAGTTGTCGCCACAGCCAGCCAGCTCCTTTTCTTGCACGGTGGTAAGTGGCAAGCGCAAGCTACGTTGATCATTGAGTGTTTAAAGGAGAGTAGGCACATTCGTCGTCAACTCATGTCCAGCCATATCAGCTGAACGAACTCTTGGTCAGCCGTGCCTCGTCCAAGGCCTCCGATCTCCAAAGATGTCTCATTCTTACACTGTGCCGCAGACAGCGAAACCCTCATGTCTCTCCAGTCAAGGATATTAAAAGGCAGAGCATATGAAAAGAAAAATAAATAAATAAATAAAAAATGAAAAGAGAAAAATGAAAAGAGAAAACAAAAAGACGAGGAGATAAGATCGACATGAGGTTCTGAAGAATATCATCGGGGCATCACCAGGAGGTTACGCCTCGACGTTCTTGAAACAGCTCGTGTTCGGAACATACAGGTCTTGGCATTCGCCCATCGCCTCTTCCCTTCTTGGCTTGGTTAATCTCTGGTTTGGGCCTTGCACCTGAGCCAACTTCTAGTGTTCTAGTGTAGGAGCCACCCTTCCCCCAGCTTATTATACCAGCAATGCCCATGGTCTCTACATCAATTACTTGTAGTATCAAATAATTCCCTATGCCGTAGATCGGCCATGTGCCTCGTTGCCGATATCCACCCGTCGCCTAGACTTGATGGGCCACTGGTAACGAGCAAGAGTGGAGTTGGTTGACAAAGGGAGCCAATTGCGCCACCTCCGCACGGAAGGTACAGAGGGGGAAGGTTTGCAATTGGAAAGGACCAGCGACGCTACCATCGGTTTGTAAGCAGGAGAGACGAAAATTACCACCGCAATGCCGTTCCGAGTCTGTTACGTACAACTCCAGCGAGGACTAGGAAGGTATAGTGTAGCAACTGATATGACGGCATGTCGAGTCAAGGGTACGGGAAGCACGGTGTCGAAGCTTGTGAACTGGAGCGGGGCACGCGTTTTCCCCGCTGCCGGCCAGACATCGGATCTCCGACTCTTTCCTTCTTCTCGGTTCTGTGCACATGAGGTAATAGTTTCTAGATCTTTTCTCTATCTCCTTGATTCCCCCAAGATTTTCCTGTTGTCTTTTTCATCAAAATCCATCCACTTTCAACCCCATTCCATCTCGGAAACGCATCTTAAACCACCAAACCGGGTAATACAAGTTTAGTTCAAAATGGTCAAGGCTGGTAAGATAGTCCTTTGCACCCTCGAACCCCACCATCCCAACTATCAAGGTCCTTTGGAGGGGTGTGCTGCTTGTCACAAGTCCCTATGAGCAGGTTTACGGGTCATTCTGCAAGGCACGGCGTGGCAGTTTACTGAATGCTTTAACCCGCTTGTTCCTGGCCATCGGGACGTGATGCTAATACGCCGGGTGTGTAGTTTGCGTCGTTCGCGGTGACTCGAATGTCAAGGGCACTATTGTCTTTGAACAGGAGTCGGAGTCCGCCCCCACCACCATCACCTGGGATATCTCCGGTCATGATGCTAATGCCAAGCGTGGCATGCACATTCACACCTTTGGCGACAACACCAACGGCTGCACCTCTGCCGGTCCTCACTGTATGTGTGCTCTTTCTGGTGTCCTATATACTCCCCAGCACCGATAGAATGCCCCTTGCTAATGCCGCCGACCCAAAGTCAACCCCCATGGCAAGAGCCATGGTGCCCCTCAGGATTCCGATCGCCATGTCGGTGACCTCGGCAACATTGAGACTGATGCCCAGGGCAACTCCAAGGGTTCCGTTTCTGACAGCTTTGTCAAGCTGATCGGCCCCGAGAGCGTTGTTGGAGTATGACTCGCCCGATGCCCTCCCTAATCTTGGCCGAGGCTAACTATATATTCACAGCGCACCATCGTTGTCCACGCTGGCACTGATGACCTCGGCAAGGGTGGAAACGAGGAGAGCTTGAAGACTGGCAACGCTGGTCCCCGCCCCGCTTGCGGTAAGTTGTGGTGGGCTCCCAAGTGGCATGCGGGTCAAAGAATCGTAGCTAATCAGACCTTCCAGGCGTCATCGGCATCACCTCTTAAGCGTCGTTTCGCTCAGCTAGAACCTTTGACTTCAAGGACCGTAAGCCTATAATCCATCGGAACATGGACTGCTCCAGAACGTGCAATGGAATCGCGCTGCTTTGAGTAGCCGTAATACAGCTTAGCCCGCTCATAAAGAATGAAAGAACGAAAGAAAGAAAAAGCGAGTATTAAGTTGATCCGAGGCCCCAAATATTGTCCGGCAGTGAACTTGTAATGTCTGTAAAATTACCACCTGGGTTGTCTGTCACTTTTGCCTCTCATCGTTTTAAGCGTTTCGTTCGTTGCAGCCAGAGATAGCTCCAAGAGCTTGAGCCATGGGATGCTCAGAGCTTGCCAGCTTCCTCCTATCATTCCGCACAGTGTGAACTCGGACACTGTGAGGGGTAGTAGTCTGAGCCGCTTTGCTCAAACAGCGAACGCACGCACGCACGCACACACACACACAATGGATATATCGATTATATACACACAAAAGAGAGGTGCCACAAAACAACAAAATCCCAAATTCTGCGAATGGCCTAACCAGACCACCCAACATGAGTAGACAGAAGCGCAGTGTCCAGGTCCAATTTCCCTAACCCATTGACCTGTACATTCATCGGGAAGCAAGGCGCTTGATCTTAGACTCGGTGACCACTTGGGGACGGTCTATAAAGCTCAAGGAGAGAGTAGGGGCAAAAGAGCAAGGAGGTGGAGCTTCGCTTCGGGACATCGAATCAGTAGAATACCTGGGGCCGTCAACCCACACGCAATTTAGCATCGAATAGTTCCGTCATTGATGGTTCTCCTGACCCCGCAATCCTGTGCAATCAGCGGCCTAATGGCATCAATGGATCGCGCCACTTGGCCTGGAGAGGGTAGAAACCGAGGGTGGTGTCCCTGAAACAACCATTGTGCCCAGAAGACCCCCGCCCTGGCCTCTGCCCACGCAGCACTGTCTCCATTAGGCTGGGGGATGCTAATGTCGGTGTGGTGCGTGGGCATGTTAACACGTCGACCCTGCCCTTGACATCTCCATACTTGAATCTTCGCTTTTGAGTGAGTACCCTCGATATCCCTTCTTCCCATCTCCTCACACCTTCTACATTCGAAGGCTCTTTTGGTGAGTTGGTGTTCTTGGCCTACAATATCACCCTGTTACACACATCCACTCGGCGCGTGCGTAGAGAAGCACCTCTAGCTGGCAAGCAGCTCCCGAGCCTAACCCTCTCGTCGCGCATATCACGACTGCTCCCCGCCCTGCGTAGCCCATCACCCCATCATCCCCAGACAAGCACAAGCTCAGGATCGGTTCACAGTGGATGGTTTGACATACACAAATCTACGACAAGCTAGATCATCTCGCTAATTGCTTCGTTCTCCTCTTTATAGACATCCCATCCTCTACGAAGTCACCGGCTCCTCGCCTGACCCCCCTCGGATCCCCAATATGGCTACTGGTAAACAGCTTCTCGGTTACTGCAAAAGCGTCCTCAGTGGCGACACAATCGTGATTGGCAATCCGAACAATGCGTCTGCTGAGCGTAATCTGTCTTTGGCCTACGTCAGTGCCCCCATCTAAAGAAGGAGGGCGACGAGCCGTTCGCTTTCCAGTCTCGCGAGTTTATACGCAACCTTGCCCTCGGAAAGCCCGTTCTCTTCACCGTCCTATATACCATCCCTTCGACCGGCCGCGAGTTTGGCATTGTCAAGATCAAGGATGGCCCCGACCTGCCCGACGAGCTCGTAAAGGAGGGCTGGGTCAAGGTTCGGGAAGACGCTGGCAAGAAGGAGTCCGACGAGGACATTCTTCAACGGTTGGAGAACCTCCGCACCCTCGAGTCCGAGGCAAAGGCTCAAGAAAAGGGGCTGTGGTCTGGTGCGAGCGGCGTGATCCAGGTCCAGAACGATTTAGGAGATCCTAGCTTCCTCAAGGAATGGTCTGGAAAGACCGTCGATGGCATCGTCGAGCGTGTTTTTGCGGGCGACCGCCTCCTCACGAGGCTAATTTTGTCCGACAAGAAGCACCTTCAGGTGATGACCCTCGTTGCCGGCATCCGCACCCCTTCAACCCAGCGCACCATCCCCTCCACCGGACAAGTCCAACCTGCCGAGGAGTTCGGCAACGAAGCCAAGGCGTTTGTAGAATCCCGTCTCCTCCAGAGGCAGGTCAAGGTCCAAATTGTTGGCGCCAGCCCCAAGGCCAGCTCGTCGCCGAGGTCATTCACCCCCGAGGCAACATTGCTGAGTTCCTCCTCCAGGATGGCTTGGCCAAGTGCAATGATTTCCACTCCACCATGCTTGGCTCGAGGATGCCTGCCCTTCGCGCCGCCGAGAAGCAGGCGCAGGGTAAGAAACTCCGTCTTCATAAGAACCATGTGAGCAAGGAAGGTGCCGGGGCACTGGACATGATTGTGTCCAAGGTTATTAGTGCGGACACCATCATCGTCCGCAACAAGGCCGGCGATGTCGAGAAGCGCATCAGTCTCAGCAGCATCAGGGGACCCCGAACCAACGAGCAAAGCGAGGCGCCGTTTAGGGAAGAGGCCAAGGAATTCGTGCGCAAGCGACTCATTGGAAAGCACGTGAGCATGAGTGTAGACGGGTCCAAACCCGCCACCGATGGCTTCGAGGCTCGCGATGTCGCCACAGTCACGGAGAAGGGCAAGAACATTGGGCTCGCCGTTGTGCAGGAGGGCTGGGCGTCTGTAATTAGGCACCGAAAGGACGACACCGATCGCGCCGCTAATTACGATGAGCTCCTCGCCGCCCAGGAAACGGCCAAGACCGAGAAGAAGGGCATGTGGTCCGGAAAGCCCTCAAGGCTAAGCAGTACGCCGATGCCTCGAATCCCTACAAAAGGCCAAGGTACAACTCGCGAGTCTCCAGAGGCAGAGCAAGATTCCAGGCATCGTCGATTTCTGCAAGTCGGGATCCAGGTTCACGATTCTCATTCCCCGGGAGAGCATCAAGATCACAATGGTTCTCGGTGGAATTCGCGCTCCGAGGGCACCACGTCTTCCGAACGACAAGGGTGATCCGTTTGGTCAGGAGGCCCTGGACCTCGCCAACCGCCGCTGCAACCAGCGAGACTGCGAGATCGACATCACCGATATCGACAAGGTTGGTGGATTTATCGGAGCTCTCTACATCAACCGCGAAAACTTTGCCAAGGTGTTGGTGGAAGAAGGTCTTGCGTCGGTCCACGCCTACTCTGCGGAGAGGTCAAGAACCCCGCAGAGCTTTTCGCTGCCGAGAAGAAGGCCAAGGAGGCCCGGAGCGGTATGTGGCATGACTGGGATCCCTCTCAGGAAGAGGGCGAGGAGGAACCAGCCCCCGTCGAGACCTCTAGCGGATCTGTTGATGCGGGCTCGAAGAAGCCCACCGACTACCGCGACGTGGTCATCACGAGCATCGACGACAATGGAAAGTTGAAGCTCCAAGAGATTGGTCAGGGAACGGCCGCCCTCGAGACCCTCATGTCCGCGTTTAAGAAGTTCCACCTCGACTCCAAGAACAATGCCCCCTCAAGGACGCCCCCAAGACCGGAGACTATGTCGCGGCCAAGTTCTCGGCTGACGGGCAATGGTATCGCGCTCGCATCCGATCGAACGATAGGGGTGCCAAGATTGCCGAGGTCGTCTATATCGACTACGGAAACACGGAGAAGATTCCGTGGGCTAACCTCAGGCCTCTCTCCCAGCCCGAGTTCAACACGCAGAAGCTGAAGCCGCAGGCCGTTGATGCGTCCCTGTCCTTTATCCAACTCCCTACCGCCCCCACTACTTTTCTGATGCCTTGGGATTCATCAACGAGATCACCGAGGAAAGCGCCTGGTCGGCAGTTTCGATTTCGTAGATGCCAAGGAGAACATCAGCTACGTCACTCTCTACGACCCGAAATCTTCCAATGAACTGCCGGGTCCCCTGGAGTCGATCAACCGGGACGTCGTAGCAGGCGGCTACGGCATGGTTGCTAGGAAGCTCAAGGCCTGGGAGAGGGGCAAGGCCTTTGAAGGTATCCTGAAGAACCTGCGAGAGGTGGAGGATGAGGCGAAGAGAGACAGGCTAGGCATGTGGGAGTATGGTGATATCACCGAGGACTAAGCCGGCTCCCAGCGTAATCACTGCGAGGCGTGGAAGGCATGGACTTGTATTAGGTCGTCAGATAAAGGTGATGGGGGATGGCACTGCGGATCGGGATCACAAGGCAGTTGGGTGGTTCCAGCAAGGCGCCGAGGAAAGAAAAAGGAGGGCGGCTACCAAGTTTGCATCTTGACGCGATGGGCAAGGAAGCGGAACGGTTTCACGAGACATGCCATCCGAATGAATAGAACGATGAACCCACACCACCCCTCTAGCTCGAGAAATGAGTGAAGTGACGTCTTGGAGAGATCCAAACACCTAAAGAGACATATCCCACCGTTTCAGGCACAGGCACGTAAGTCCCATTCAATTTCATCCTCTCCCTCTCCGTGTGTGCCTGCGCGGGTCTATCAAAGCCCTTGTATCCTTCCCTCTTCGAGAGAAGGTGGGATAAGGAAAGAGAGATTACGCAAACCAACCCAACCAAAAAAAAAAAAAAAAAAAAAAAGGAAAAGATCGTTGAGGCTTGCACGAGTGGGGTCAAGTCAGGTGGAGGGGTGGGGGCGAACAGATCCACCAGGATAAATGGCAAGCGCGGAGGAAGAGGGGAGGGGTAAAATAGCCAGAAAGGTGGTTGCGCTTGCTTCTTCGAGCTGGCAGCTTTTCACTGTTATCAATGGAGGGACCATGAGAATTTTCGGCCATGCGTCCCTCCATTGATGTCTTAAACGGCCCGTGGCAAGAGACATTGAGATCGATCTTGACCTTGTTCGTTTGCCCCATCTTAGAGTTTAAGCGCATCCATCGACTGGCTCACAGTCCAATCTCTAAAGGGTGAGATCATTGGAGCTCCTGGAACCCTGAACGCTCCCTGGTTTGAGTTCCGAGGGCGTCCTGCTTTTCCGCATTAGTATGAGAATGGAGCTTGTTGTGGTGGATCAGACTCGGGAGTGTTGGTGCGCTCCAATCATCAGTGGGAAATCCCCGAGGAGATGACTGTTTGATATCCCCTGGCACCTTATAGAGAGGCTCGACTCATTGCTCTCCCAGTCCGTCCTCCTTCTCATCAATTTGTCATCGATTGCTACCAATCCAACAGCAGGTCGAGAAAACGTGCAAGGTTCGGCATCTCGGGGGTGTGGAAGTGAACGAGTCGTAAAACAGATCAGTTGGATGTCGACTGTGCTTAGGCATTTCCGCGGTGCCACGACCCATTCAATCTTCCATTGGGGGCGAGATAGGGATGCGACACATCCAGAGATCTTGGCCATCGATAGTTTATGGGCTCGTGACGCACGTTGAAACACCTACTGAAGGAAGAATGGTGGACAAGGCTCCACCAAGACTATTCCGCGGGATGATGGCACAAGGGAAAAAAAAAAAAACCGCGCTGGGCGCATAGAATAGCCCGCAGACAGACGGAGGCGAGACCGGTCGCGGAGGAGGAGGCACACACTTATTTGCCTTGTCCATCTACGAAGTAGCTGTGGCTCTTGTTTTTTTTTTGTAACCCCTCCCAAGCTGCCTCAGCTTATTTGTAGTCTGCTCACGACTGCCGTCAGCTCCATTCAATGTCACGGATACCTCGACCCAGCAAAGTGAACCGTGGGCGAGAACTACACTCAGCATTAATAACCTCTGTACAATTTTTTGGCCGATATCCTGACAATGCGATGATGAATGAAACATTAAAGCTTCCATTCTACTTGCACATCGTCGTGAACCCCTTCTTAGATGGCCAATGCCAAACTTGCCAATAATATCCGGCTTGTTGACTAGTACGAAGCGTAGTAGCTATTCACCAGTGTAAGCCGTCGGGTCCGATCCAGAATCTGGCCGACCTGACGCGCCGACCATCAGTGCTGAGCAACCCGCGACAACAGTCCGAGGGTCACATCGTCTACCTGTAGATCCTGATACTCCATGCCTTCATCCCACGACAGATTCCAGTCAAACTCCCCGTCCGAAACACCAACCGAGAGCAAACACAAGGGTGTGGGTGGTCTAGAAGCCGCTTCCGGGAGTCTGTCGTCGGGGAGCTCTGAAGATTAGCTCGCTGAGACGGATAGACGGTGTTAGAAGTAGCTGTTACATAACATGTCGAACACACTAATACCTCAGCTTCGGTGTCGCCACATGAGACCAAAACCTTGATCAATTTTAGCCTTAGATTTCTACCAGGCGCTGCTCCCTCCTTCAAGGTGAGTACATGCTACGAGCTACGGAGGGCAGGAAGGGGAAGGGGAAGGGGGTCAAAAACAACGTGCATGACCCCTCCTTAACCTTCCTTTCCCTTCCCTTCCTGAACCTGCTCCTCGTCGTTCCCATCTTCAACCAAAACACCTCGCGGGAATTAAAGGAAAAAAATTAACTCCTCAACCCATCTCATATTCTTATCCCTAGGTCGAACATTCTCAGACTCAGTCCACTCTAAACCTTAGCCCTCCGAACCCTCAATCCCTCACCTTCAGTCACCATGTCTAACTCTCTTGAGCAGCTCAAGGCCACCGGCACCGTAAGTTTTAATCTACCCCGCGCTTCCCCTACCATCCGACAAGACAACCTCAGATACCTCCGTCCCTTGCTGCTCGAGAAAGCAAAGCATACGCATGAAGCTTTGACCCCGCCTCGGGCATTGTTATTCTACTGGACTGGATGAAAGGGAAAAGTGTCGACGAGCCTGCTATTTTCTTTTCTGGTCGCGGCGAAGAAGGCGTCTTTCTCAGCACTCTGGTTCTTGATAACTAACTGACTGGTTGTTTTCCGAGCCCAATAGGTTGTTGTTAGTGACACTGGTAAGCTTTCTTGATCCCCTTCCGAACCCATCGCGTGTTGGGACGGAATAATAAAGCGAGGGACGCAATTATTAACTTTACTCTCTAGGTGATTTTGCCTGTAAGTAGCTTCCAATGCTTTTGGCCCTACACCGAATCAATCAGACGAGATAGTCGCCGCCCGGCCTCTCGCCCCCACACCTCTTCATCGTGAACATCCACTTACACCCATCGCTTAGCCATTGGCAAGTACAAGCCTCAAGATGCCACGACCAACCCCTCTCTTATTCTCGCCGCCTCGAAGAAGGCCGAGTACGCTGCCTTGATCGACAAGGCTGTTACCTACGCCAAGGCCAAGGGCGGTTCCGCCGATGACCAGGTCGAGCTGGCTCTCGACCGTCTTCTCGTCGAGTTCGGTAGCGAGATTCTCAAGATCATTCCTGGCAAGGTCTCTACCGAGGTTGATGCTAGCCTTTCCTTCGATACCAAGGCTTCAGTTGACAAGGCCCTCAAGATCATCAAGGTGAGTTTCAGCGCCTTGCTTCTCGCTGTAGCTCTCGCTTACGCTAACCTCAACCTCCCCCACAATAGCTCTACGAGGAGGAGGGCGTTTCCAAGGACCGCATCCTGATCAAGGTTGCCTCCACCTGGGAGGGCATCAAGGCCGCCGAGATCCTCCAGCGCGACCACGGCATCAACTGCAACCTTACCCTCATGTTCTCTCTTGTCCAGGCCATCGCCGCCGCCGAGGCCAACGCCTACCTCATCTCTCCCTTCGTTGGCCGTATCCTTGACTGGTACAAGGCTGCCACCAAGAAGGAGTACACCAAGGAGGAGGACCCCGGTGTCGCCTCCGTCAAGAGCATTTTCAACTACTACAAGAAGTTCGGCTATAACACCATCGTCATGGGTGCGTCTTTCCGCAACACTGGCGAGATCACTGAGCTCGCTGGCTGCGACTACTTGACCATCTCTGTAAGTATTACAAACGTCACCTCATCAAGGTCTTCATGCGCTGGGTTGTTGCGCAAGGAAGCCATTTAGAATGGCGACTTTGGCACGGCAGAGAACGCCCCGTGTCCCCCTTAGTGCTAAACCCACGCTAATTCGATTTCTCTTGCTATAGCCCAACCTCCTTGAGGACCTGGTGAACTCTCAGGAGGCAGTTCCCCAGAAGTTGGATGCCGCCGGCGCCGCTGCCCTCAACATCGAGAAGAAGACTTACATCAACAACGAGGCCACTTTCCGTTTCGACTTCAACGAGGACCAGATGGCCGTTGAGAAACTCCGAGAGGGTATCAGCAAGTTCGCTGCTGACGCCATCGTCCTCAAGGACATCATCAAGGCCAAGGTCAGCGCTTAAGTACTGATTTAATTCACTGAATCGGTGTGCTTCCATCTTAATCTACACAGGACACAATGTGTAATCGACGGCAGCCTGAGCGTCTCACCATGGATGTCCACTGTAGCTGTTCAGCCAACGGGAGAAGGGCGTCTCCGGCGCAGGCAAGGCCTCCCAAGTTTTCGAAGATTAGTAGAAATTGAATAGCAACTTGTATAGGGACTGGCATAATGGTAGATAGGCGTAAAAACTGGAGATGGGCAAAACAAAACACAATCATACTATCGCAAAGGGAGCGGGATGAATTTATGCATTCGGCCTGAGGAAAACAGGCTTCCCCCGCCTCTCTTGCTTTTCTCTCGTGCAATGGAAGAACAGAAGAATACTTTCAATATCAGCTACGAGCTCTTTCCCCCTTTGCGTGATATCCTAACGCATTTTTCTCTTGAGTGTCTTACCCTGGGATATTTTGTGCGCTGAATCCGAGCCAACAACAGTCCGTCACCAGGCGCTGCATGCATTTGATCCATCTAACTGGGACGGGTAGCTGGGAGAGTAAAAGAAGCATGCATAAAGATATGCAACGAGGCAAGACCTCGTGGCCCAGCTGGTGTCTCGGACTGCCCCATTCCAGCACATTCCAGCAGGAAATAGAATTACTGATGTCACGGCCTTCATCAGGTTCAGTCAAACGGGAAATCAGCGCGTCACCCCCGACAACATGGATGAAACAGTCAACCCGAGATTTGTGGCAAACGTCTGTGACTGTGATTTCAAGGCATTTACGAACATCGCCGCTGTTTTGAACCAGAGGATGCTGACAAGGCTGATGAGGAGCCAAGGCAGAGGCACAAAGAAAGCATACTCGGGACATGGGACAGGGGGCCCCTAAAAAAGGTAGAAGAAAGGATTTTAAGAAAGATCGTGGGTATGCATGGTTATGGATGCGTTGCCCTCTCCTAGATACAGGCATGCTCTATGCTTTCGTAGATTCAAGACAAAAAGAGAAAAAGAAAACCAAGGAAAAATAAGACATGATAATAATGCAACTCCTTCCACCCCTAGCTTATCGCCTTTGTAGCATATTCGTTCGTCGACTATCCTATTCGAGATTAAGGTCTTTTCGATTCGAAGCATAGCATCTAAGTCTCGCCCGTCCTGGTCGAGACAATTAAAAGAAGGCTCTGTGCTGTGCCCATTGCCTTGGCTAGAAAAACACTGATATTTGAAGTAGAAAAGCGGGTAGAGTGGGAAAAAAATAAAAAAGAGGAATAAGAAAAAAGATATGGTCCACTACTATTGAGGACCTTGATGATGGCTTGGTGTAGGTTAGGATGAGGCGGTGGCGGTATATAGATCCTTGGGATCCTGCCCAAAACGGAGCAAGGCTAAAGAGCGATGCAGGGCTTGAAGAGAGAGAGAGAGGGAGAAATGGCCGTCCTAAAGAAAAGGTGGAAAAAGACCATTTGATGCAAAGGGTGGATTGGGTATGCATCTATCCCGCTTTGAATTTATTCCGTATTTTCGGGCTCCTGTTCTCTTGAGCAGTCGACAGATATCGTCTTTTGTTGGACGCCAGTCGAGGAGCCGGATATAACGAGGGCGGTAAGCTGCTCGCCAAAGACACACCTGGTGTTGAGTCCAAAGGTGTACTTGCCAAGGTTAAGGCCGTACTTGGTGTCGCGACCATAGATGATTGTTTGCCTCTCAGCTTCGCTCTTCTCCGATTCCATGCGGTTCCAGACAGGGGCCCATTCGTAACCCGAGTAGTCGTCAATGGGGACCATGACGTCCCTGTCACCTGGCCTGGCGGAATCTTGGTAGGCGGCGAGAATGAGGGCGTCTTTGGCCTTGCGGCCGATAAACTTCTTCTTCCCACTCTCGGCTTCTTGCTTCTTTAGGCGCTCCTCGACCAACTTCTTAGCGGTCGTCCAGCGGACTTGTTCGCGGGGGTAGACGATACTGCGCATGTTCATGGCGGGCCAGGGATCGTGAACATCAGGTTTGAGGCCTGGGACGAGGCCCGCATGGGAAACGTAAACGCTTTGCACGGTGGGGATGTTGCCAATATCGAGAATGGCGGGGAGATCTGCGAGCCAGTCGATTTGCTCAACAGTAAGCGAGTTGGCAACGATTCGTTCGACGTAGTCTCCGCGCGCCAGGTGCTCCTGCTCAAGCTCATCATCGGCCTCGTTGTCGCCGCCGAGGCCATGGATCTTGTTGGTTCCGTTGTTGCGGGGTGCGTTCATCAATTCGCGCACCAGAAGCACTCTGTCCTCTGGAATTCCGCGAACGGAGGAGGCGCCAAGGCTCATGGCCAGATCGACAACGGCGGCGCTATCAGGACCGAGGGTAAGCAGTCCGCCGGTGAAGATGAGGTGGTCATTGCCGCTCTCAGCGTCATAGCCGGTCTTGGCTAGCAACTCCTGGAGGGGCCAATCATGCCATTCACGTCACCGATGAAGATAAGGCGCTTCTCATTCTGGGACGATGGTAGGTGTTCGGCTGGGAGTTTTGTTATCCTCTTGACGTCGCCCGACCCTTTGAATGGCGGCCGTGCTGCGGTGCCATAAGTCATAGGTCGATCCGCTTGCGTTTTCCAGGGGCCTGAACCGGAGGCTTCGGTTGTTGCGTCGAATCATTGGGCTTCTCGGTGGGCTTTTGGGCCGGAGTAGTCTCCTGCGACTGCTTGTTTTGTTCGGTATCCTCCGACTGCTTGTTTTTCTCGGCTTCCTCGGGCTGCTTCGCGTCTTGCTCGGCCGGCTTCGATTCGGGCTCGACTGGCTCGGGTGCTGGCTCAGCCGGCTTGAGTTCCTCCTCCAAGGTCGGCTCGTCGGCTTGTGGTTTGGGATCTTGGAAGGGTTTTGGCTTCTCGATGGGCGGCGTTAATGATACTGCAGAGTTGAACAGGCGGTCTGAAGTATAGAGGAAAGAAACAACAGCAAAAAGGCTAGAAGTAGCACAGTATGCCTCCGCCGACGGCCGTAGACTGGGTTTCGAAGGTTCATGATTGATTATTTAAGAGGGAGGGGGCAAAGAGAAGATAAACAGCAAGAAAAATGAGGACAAGAAAATTGGAAAATTGTAGGACGCCTTGCCAACTATCCAGCCCCCGCGGTTCCTAAGAGGCGGGAAGAGGAGAGGGAGTGATGGTAGGCGCGAGAGGCGATGATGTTGTCGAAGCGTGGCTGCGAGCGAGGGGTCAGGAAAGCCGCAAGTGAAAGAACCGTTTGCGTCGGTGGAAGGTCAGTCAGGATCGTTTGTGTGGTGTCGCGAGTTCCGACACAGGTTCACTGATCGGATCCTCGATTTGTCTTGCCCGATTTTTTTTCGAGTGGCACTAGGTGGTCGCCCGTCGGGACCTCGTTACGGAAAAGAAGGGCACGCGACAGCAAACTACCCGGGAGAGAATGACAGGGCGTGAGGTGGCAAGGGGCTTAAATGGCACACCTGTGATGCGCACGACTTAGGACAGCATCTGTTTCGAAGAGTCGAGGGAATATGCTGACGTCGATGAACGAGAAAAATAAATAAAACGAGGGTATAATGTTCACCTCTTCCAATTACAGCCCAAGGGAATAGGAAAGGGGAAGAGGGGTAGAAGGAAAAAAAGAAAAAGAAAGACAATTACAAGAGACGAAGAAAAAAACCTGGGGAATGCTTGCGGGATGGTGGGAGGGAGGGAACGGAAGCCATTGAAAGGGGTCGAGATAATTCATCAAGGCCAAGACTGGCCTCCTCCAATCTCAAGCGCACCCACACCCTCTCTCCCACTCTCTCATGGGTAGTCGAGGCTTGACCGTTGGCCATCTTCATCTCTTCACTGTCCGAGGCCAAGCTGATAGGGGCTTATTTCTTGGATCATTGGTCCTTGCCCGTCTTAATTAACGGAAAAGGAAAACTCCCGCGTGGAGGATTACTCGACAGGGTTAATCACTGGGTACTTCCAGTTGCTTTCTGGATTGCACCCACTGCCAGTTCGTAGGCTTGGAGGTACCGGTTACAACAAAGGGACAAATAGTGGTCCCTCAAAACCTTTGACTGCTTCTGGGTTCTGCGCATGCCACCACTTGCCTCAAATGGTCTCGGGTGCTGAAAGCGCAGAAAGTATGTGGGGAACGCGACGGATTGTGCCTGGCTGACGGACTCATTTTGGGGCGATGGATGTACAGACATGTATCGAGGAACATTACATCCGGCTCACCCAGCCCAGCGCAAGCCAAGCGCCATCCATGATCCGCTCTCCGCCGTCCCACCCAAACCAAACCAGGTCATCCGCTTTGGATCCAACTGGTCACTTCTGGGAGAGAGTACTTGTACGAAGCATTTCGCGCTCCCTCGCCGCTTGCCATTCCTCTTGCTGATGACAATGTGTCCAACGTCATCAATTGATGCTCACTCTCACTCACAGACGCCGGTGTTGCTCCACTTGTGCAGGGGGATTCACAGAACAGGCTAACGTTCTCCTTGAACCTGCCACCTCTCGACTTCGGTGCGTGCCATTTGATGCCGTCCAAGGGTAACAACCCCAAACCCGACAATGTATCCGTCCTCTTCAGATTAATCTGGGGGCTACTCGTCCGACATGCCCAATTCCTTCGGCTGGTTGAGATGCTTTATTCGTAAAATACGGACTATGCGCCAAGAGTTTGTTGCCGGTGGGAAAATCCAAATAGTACTTGACAGCTTGGTCATCCACAATGGGAGAGGCAGAGAGTGGTTGGGGCTGTTCCTGCTTGGCCTTCTGCTTGTTACGAACAGATTGGCTGTTTAACAAGGTGACATTGTGCTTTTGGAGGGTTCTCTCCAAAGGTGCAGCACTCGAAGCTCCACGATCTTGAAGCGCTCTCGCAACACCGCCGTCTCCTTGATTCACTTGTTGTCACAAGCCCATCTCTGCTTCTTTACCTCTTCGCTTCTCTTTCCCCTCAGGCTTCCCTAAAGAGTAATTTTTTTCCTACTTCCCTCACTCAGTCCTCTCCTAGGCCAGAGGCCTTTAGGTAATACCAAGCGCTTGCTTGGGGCCTCGGTTTCTTTTTCTCTCGATCTCGGGCTTTTTTCGCCCTGCGCATCCAAGTATTTTTTGTAAAAATGGACCACACGCAGACGGTGGCAGTGTGTGTGCATGTGGCGTCGCCTTGGTCTGTCCAAACACGAGTGTCCTTCCATTGGCGAGTCTCTTGGCAGGGTTGCCGAAATGCCGTTAGACTGAAAGGGGTACCGCCCAGGCATAGGGCCACTAATCAATCGAACAGTCTTGCTAGTCAAGTTCTAGACTTACGCAAGCCTCCCTGCGCGCATCTATGATGGATGCAATGTGCCCCTGAGCCCAGCAGCTTGAGTGGAGTCTAATCCCTGGTGTATTTGACAAAAGGAAGAGTAAACTGCCTGTGTCCCTTTTCATCAGCAGTCCCGGGTGCACGCGCATTGCCACGCGCATTGTCATAGCACAGCACTGAGGTGTTAAACCTGTTTTTGTTCTTGCCTTCCCATTTCGACACCGCTGCTGGGTACATGTACTGAAAGGCATATGGTTCGATTGCTCACTATTTTCTCTTGCGTGCCTCTCCGTAACTGTCTGGATCTGATGCGTGGGCGAGGAGTGCAACCAGTCGTGCGTTGCACGACCACCAAACGTCTCTTTTTCCCCTCGCCATTTCGTTATCGAACATGTTTCCCACGAAGTTTTATCATTTCTCGTTGGTCTGAATCCAGGCAACGTGTCTCACGGGGCTGGATGAGGTTCATTTTCCCTGTTCTTGCGCTCCGGGTATCCGATCAGCCCCTCCTCGACAACTACGGATAGGGCCCACCCACGCACCAAAGCTGTGCCGAGGAGCCGCGCAGATGGCCATCCAGCGAGTTGGGGTTGACAAAGCGAATGATATTATCTCGTCTCGCTCTACACTAGTACATCTATACTAGATATATGCCAGGTTTAATGTGTGACATGGATAATACAGATACGGATGATGATACAAGTACAACTAACTGATGAAGAAGAAATACACGGAGCGGTAGCTGTTGAGATGACCGACTCCTAGCCCAAAAGAAGAAAAAAACGCCGTTTGTTCGAAATGATGCCCCAACGCCGTCAATGCCGATATCCTACGATTGATGTTCGTAGCTCGTCCGTAGCTCGTCCGTATCCTGGTTTTCCTTCCACGGGCGTGTCCATAGGCAAGAGACCCAATTGCCGTGGATGGTATGCGTGCTCGGAGCCGCCACTATGCTTTGGGAGGACCGTCTTTCTTCGCTGCTAGTTCGGCGCGGTATTTCTCATTGGCGAGCTCGCGCCAGTCCTGCTCTTGTTCATCGCCGTTGGTGTACTTGACGCCGCCTCCAAAGGCGGTCTTGCCTGCGTAGAGCTGGTAACCCTTGCCCTCCTCGTCCGCCTTCTGTATAGCTTGGTAGGACACGGGGACGTTGCCGCGGAAGCGCTTGCGCATGTCGACGAGACCGCGCCTACACTCGGCGAAGCCGCGTTTGAGCTGGAGGCACTTGGGGGAGGGTATCGACGAGCGGGGCACGTAAGCAGTCGGCAGCGGAATTTCGGTGAACCATGACGCATTCTGATTCCTGTAGACATTGCGCCAGAGCCTCTCCTACGTTGCAAGAAAAACGCGCGCGAGAGGACCGTTAGCCACCGACTTCCTCGTTGACACAAGCAGGAGGAGAGCAAGGCTGACCAGCGCCGAACGTAGGGGCTGACTACTTACTCAGTTCCTTGCAAGAGCTAGGCATTGTGAATGTTCCTCGCCAGGTCTAGCAGTAGATTTTCAAATAGGTGCGAGACCGCTGGGGACTAGAGATAGTCAGTGGGTGGTAGGTCAAGGCTATCGAGTATATAACAATATCGGATGTTCTTTTTCAGAGGAAAAAATCGGGAGAGAAGAAAGTTCCGAGCTCACTGATTGGTCAGGTGGAGTGGGAAGACGAGATATTGATTGATTTCATTCGCCATTCACCGAAACTTCTCGGTCAAGCATGGATCTCTTGCCTCTTTCCCTGACTAACCATTTCAATCTTGCTTCGGTCTCCCGTGGTTCATTTTCGAAGTCGCCCCATCAGGCTTGCAGGATCCCATGACAAGCCTTAGTTTGCTGCAAACCAGGTCTCAGCCGGATGCCAATTGTTAGGATTCCATTTCAAAATAGCCCGTCTTCGTGCTCAGATCCTGAACAGGCATACCAGTCTGTGTGCTGAGCCGCAGGGAGTGGATAGTAAATGAGCGATAAATTGATCTATTGTTATCAAGGGATCAATTTCTTGCAGAGCGCTTCGCGGGAGGGTGGTGCGGCTGCACCGGCCTTCTACAGCGCAATTGTATTTCGTCATAGGCGCCTCCCGACGCCCAACTACGCTATAATAGACCAAATGGATGTACCGATCAGAGTGATCTCACCTCCCCGCAGCCAGAACCGAAGCCCTGGGTGGCCGATCTTTCCCTAGCACTCCTGACATGTGACGTGCGCCATGGTCGCTGCGAACCGACTCTAAAATCGTGCACCTTCGCACTCGAATCCCTCGAAACCGATCCGTTTCCATGTCTTCATCCCCTGACCTCTCGCAATTTAGACATATTGCATTCATGCACCTGGAGCGATGCACGTCTTTCTAAACCACCATTTATTGTTGATGCCCTCATAAAAGGAAACTTAGGATTGAACAGAAGCCATGCCTTTCCCGTTCATTGGCCGCCTCCATCTGTGAGCTTCCCACCACCCACCATCCGCGCCTGCCCCCTTCTCGAGTCCCACGGCGAGCCCTTCCACCACTGTGCGCAGAGGCGACTAACACTTTTCAGAACCGAGTATCTAGCTCTGGTCGGGTCTTTCTGTCTCGTGGCCCTCGAGGCGTTCATCCGGGTGCTGACATTAGCTCTGCGTAAGCATCGTTCGCTAGATTTGGCTCTTTCCTTTGTGCATCGCTAATTCCGTCAAAGCCGAGTCCATAATATCCCTGTTCTACCGAGCCTCTCGCCGCCTCTTTCTTAGGTTAACGTCGCCTGCGCAGAAGAGAGCAGCCCAGCGCAATCAATGTACGCCTCCTATCCCCTGCCTACTCGATGCTCCCCACAATGCCTCTGCATCGTAGCTCGCTCTAACCAGCAACACCGCAGCTATTTCGACCTCCGTCCGGGACGCATCCGACTTTGTTGAACTCTGTCGCCTTTTTGGATATGAAGCCGAGGAGCATATTTCGCCTACAAAGGATGGATATCTACTGGGGTTGCACCGCCTAGCCTGGCGAAAGGGCGAGGAAGGCCGAGCGGTGAACGCCGGTCCAAACAGTTTGAAGAAGAGGGTTGTCTACTTGCATCACGGGCTACTGATGAATAGTGAGGTATGGGTATCTCTCACTGATGCCGAGAGATGTCTTCCTCTGGTTCTCGTCGAGCGCGGGTTCGACGTTTGGGTAAGCCCCTTCTCCCTCCCTCCCCTTCGCACATAGGCTAGTAGTCGCTGACCGAGGCATTTGCGCTTCTTCTAGCTAGGAAACAACCGAGGAAATAAATACTCGAAAAAGTCGGTCAGGTCGTCGCCTTCGAGCCTTGACTTCTGGAACTTTTCCATGGACGAGTTCGCCTTGCATGACATACCCGACTCCATCTCGTACATCCTCGACACCACTGGTGCGGAGAGCCTCTCGTACATTGGCTTTTCTCAAGGAACGGCTCAAGCCTTTGCCACCCTCTCGATCCATCCAAAATTAAACACCAAAATCAACGTCTTTATCGCGCTCGCTCCCGCCATGTCCCCAGCTGGCCTGTCTAACGGCATGGTGGACGCACTCGTTAAAGCATCCCCCAGGTCATTTACCTCCTTTTGGGCGGAGATCCATCCTAAGCTCGGCAACAATGTGGCAATCTATCCTTTATCCGCCCCTCTTCGTACGGCTTATAGATGTCAGCCTCAACTTCCTCTTTGGATGGAAGACAAAAATATCTCTGTGAGCCAGAAGCTGGCGGCTTATTCCCATTTGTATTCTTTTACCAGCACGAAGAGCGTTGTACACTGGTTCCAGATTATCCGGAACCGCAGCTTTCAGATGTACGACGACGATCGGCCAGGAATATCCTTGAGTGGGCAAAATAAGCACACCAAGGTTGCGCGCTACCCGACGCGGAACATCAAGACACCAATTGTCTTGGTCTACGGCGGAAGCGACTCACTGGTTGATATTAGGGTCATGTTAAAAGAGCTGCCACCGCAGACCGTAGCTACAGAGATACCTCACTACGAGCACCTGGATTTCCTTTGGGGCCGGGACATTGATCGACAAGTCTTCCCACATGTCTTTGACGCGCTTGACAGCTTTACCGACGCAGCGCACAGCCAGGAAGAATACGACAGATACAGAGTCGTGAGGCAGGAGAGCTTAATCACAGCCACCAGGTTCCAGCACACCCGCAAGCCGAGCGACGTCACGGATAGCGAAGAGACCATAGTACCTGCCGATGACACGCTGCACTCTAATCACGGGGTGGCTTACCCTCAACGCCACCGGGCCAAGGAACGGCCACCAAAGGCCGCACCACTTCGCGACGCTCCGCGCATTCGGACTCCGCACGGCGTACAATCATCTAGCGATGAAGGGTGGCCATCGTCGCCTGAAAAACCAAGTACGCCGCCTACAGCGAAAGTAGCAAGGCGAGAAGACGAAATCGTCGATCCGGCGCCCGGGAGCGGATCAGAGCCTCGAGGGGCTATGCCAACAATCACGACACCGACGAGGAGGGGAGCGGTGGGAGCACTCTCAGCCTCAATCACATGAAAACCGGGCGAGGAATTCAAATAGGGGCTGGAAAAGTCGTGGGTGGCGTGGTGACACGGAGCGGAGCCGAGGGGACTGGGGTCGGCGCGAGTCAGACACCAGCGACGGTGGAACGGACACATCACGAGCAAAAGTGAAAGGGTTGAACCTGAATGAAATAGAGTGGACAACATACACTAGACTGTACAGTATTCTTATATACACGGTAGCAGACATCTTTTTCAGCCAATTTCCTTGTCCCCTTTTGTTTTTCTTTTCTTTTCTTTTTCCCCTCCCTTTTCGCGCCCTCCAAGTCTTGCTCTATTCGTCCGCGTCTGAGAACGAAATCACCCAGCAGAAACCCGATCGAAACCAGACTAGACAAACGGACCATTAAGCCGAGAATGGTCCCTGTCTCATACAAGTCGAGGGATGCAGCCTTACCTAGAGGGGGGATGCCCTGGAACATAAAAACAAAGGAAAAGAAGACAAAAGGAAGAGCCATCAGACTGTCTTGGTTTGGCATGCTTCCTTTTCCACAGGCCCCCCTCCCCCAACAGCTGAAGGGCCATTCCGAGGCAGACGACTTCTGTGGTCAGGAGAGCATTGATCGGTGTTAGACATCCAGTCAGTGACTGATCCAGCTTTCCGTGGACGGTACTGAGCACTCTTTTCTTTTGTTTTCTTTTTTGTTGTCAAAATTAGCGGACGAGCGAGGCTTTGTCTTGAATGGCAGGCACCAGGAGCCCTAGATTGAGAGGCGTAGGCTTTGATTGATGGGCGCCGGAACCGTGGCGAATAAGTTGCTTTTTCTCGTTCTTATTCTCGCTGTCTACCTGCATGCAGGCCAAAGAAATGTCCGGCGGAAGCAGGCCAAGAGCTGCGGCGCAACGAGAAAGGGACCACCGCGGATTGGGGGTCTTCCGGTGCCACCAGGTGAGGGTAGGCGACTATATTTAAGAAACATCCCCCCCATTCCCCCATTGCGACCTGTAACTACGAATTTCCTTGGACCCGTTCTTCATTTCAAGTGTCTGCCAACTCAGAGTGCCGGATCTCTTTCTCAGCTACCGCCTTCCGCCTTGTTCACCCACCTACATCGCACCACATCCTCCAAACGCATCTTTCAAACACATCTCACCATGAAGGCCGCTCTGTTCATCTTCTCTACCCTCCTTGCCGGTGCCCTGGCGCAAGAGGCTCCGGCGCAGGATCCTGCTGATTCTGCTCCCGATGTTGTGGTGTAAGTAAAAGGAAACGTCATATAAACAAGCTCGCCTGCCGCACACCGTCCGGGTTCGCCCGGCATCCTTGACTTGAGCCTTCCAAAGGCCACCGGGAAGGGACAACCGTTCAAGAAAGCTAACTTGCGTCCGCATTTAAAGAGAGCCCCAGCCCCCGTAACCATCACCCTCGCCCTCACAAGCGGTGCGGCTCCCGAGCCCGCCCCCACCGAGGCGGCCCACACCGAGGGTGAGGCTGAGCACACCGACGAGGCCGGGACCGGCGTCCTTCCCCTCTCCTACCGGGTCAGCCAACTGCGAACCCCACGGCGACCACTGGCACTGTGACTCCGAAGCGGCCCAGACCTCGGGCGCCGAGAACGAGGACGAAGATGAGGCCCCGGAGACGACCAAGACTCGTCGGGTGTCCACTACAACCCGGGACTCGGATGACGTCGCTGTCAAGACCGACGTTCCCGGATCTGCCGGTAGGGTTGCTATGGGCGCGCTTCTTCCTATTGCTGGTGCCGTCGCCGCTTTTGCGTTGTAAGGGAAGATGCCGTGATCGTAGGAGAGGGGATTGTTTACTTTGGAGTAGGAGATGGGTTGATCTCGGGGGATAGGCCCTGCTTATATGTTGTAATCTAATGCGATGAAAGTATACGACTAGAATCACACACAGTGCAGTTGGCAACAGATCAATGAATATTACCGTTTTCTTTCCCAAGCTGATGTGGCAGACTGGGAGAACTTGCTGCCTTTGTGACGGCCACTCCGGTGAACCCAACTTATAGGTGGTTTGAGAAGAGGGAGGTGAGGCTGACTTTCTACCTTGGTATTCTATGATAAGATTGTCGCCGTGTCTTGTGTTAGTACCAGTGCTGCTGTTAGGGTGTTCATATCATCGAGAACCTCCATATCACAGTATGAACTCTGGCTTAAATCACCAGAATCCCTTTTATCTCTATATCCATCCATTGCATTCTCTTCGGGAAACAGATGCCTTTTTCATAATGTTGAGCACCAAGACTGCGTGAGCCTACGTTGTTCGTTCTCTCGAGATAATACATCCAGTAGTCGGCCGATGACTTGAGGATTGAGGCTTCGCTGGAGAATAGCCCAGTTGGCGGCAGCTGTGACTCACACGCCGGCTCAGCACAACGCCAGCACTGGAGGGCTTCCGAATGAGTGTATGGATCATTATGAGCCGTACTGGCAGGGACGGAAGCTGCCAGAGCCCATTCGAAGCCCTTGCGGCAACGGAAAATGACGACGTGCTTGGCGGGGCATGAAATGACCAGCGCCTTTTGCCCCTCCACTCCATACATTGTACATAGCAGAGCTGACTCCGTCGAATTGATTGACGCATCCCTCTACCGAAACTAGTCGGACTTCTCAAAACTAGAGCCGGTGCGGTCCATGGATTAATAAAGCCATACACTTAAAAACAGCCTTGAACCCAGCAAGCGCTTCCCTTCCCTCTCTCCCGTACCTCGCGTTCCTGCCATGACGGCCGACCTCACACACTCTTGCTAGAGCTCGGGAACCCACAACAGTCTCGCCCAAGATGAAGCAACGATTCTCATCACTCGATGTCAAGGTGCGGCCGGCGCAAAAGAATAAACACAAGAGCCACTCCCCTTCCTCCCCATAAGCTACCCCGCGCCTGCCCAGTGCCGAGTCCCCGTTGCGCTAACACTGAAGCCCGTACAACAGGCGATCGCGCACGAGCTCTCCCAGAGCATCGTGTCGCTGAGGCTCTCCAATGTCTACGACCTCTCCTCCAAGATCATGCTCTTCAAGTTCTCCAAGCCCGATAACAAGAAGCAACTCGTCGTCGACGCCGGATTCCGCTGCCACCTTACCGATTTCTCCCGCACCACCGCGGCCGCCCCTTCGGCCTTCGTGGCTCGCTTGAGAAAGTTTCTCAAGACAAGGAGGGTGACGTCCGTGTCGCAAGTCGGAACTGATCGGGTCATAGAATTTGTTTTCAGCGACGGAAACTACAGGCTCTTCCTCGAGTTCTTTGCTGTTCGTTCCCCTTTATCTCTCCCAGTCCCTCTCTCTCGCCCTCTCTCTAGATCACTGCTGTCCGCGGGTGATAGCAATGTGAACATGAGCTAACGCACTGTCCCCTCTAGGGCGGCAACGTTATTCTTACCGGCCACGACCTCAAGATCCTGGCCCTCCTGCGAATCGTGCACGAAGGGGAAGGCCAGGAGCCACAGAAAGTCGGCTCCACGTATGCTGTCGAGCAAAGGCAAAACTTCAATGGTGTTCCGCTTCTCACGCGCGAGCGCCTCTGTGATGCCCTTCAGACTATAGCCGAAAGGACCGCAAAGACGGAGGGCGGGGAGGCCAAGAAACGCAAGACTAAGCCCGGAGAAGTCTTGCGCAAAGGTTTGGCTACGACCATCACCGAGATCCCTCCGGTGCTCGTGGAACATGTGCTCCAAGCGGGCCAGTTCAACCTTGATTCGACCCCAGGCGAGATTCTAGCCAGCAAGGACCAGCAAGAGCAGCTCCTCAATCTGCTGCTAGGGGCCCGCAGCTTAGTGGACAAGTCCCCGAATCATCGAATTTCAATGGATACATTGTCGCCAAGTACAGGCCCAGCTACACGCCAGACCCCGACTCGACTGATCGCCCTCCTAAGCGCGAAGATTTAATCTACGAAGACTTTCATCCGTTCCGCCCCCACAAGTTTGCCAACAACCCCTCCTACACGATTCTTACCTTTGATAGCTACAACAAGACTGTGGACGAGTTTTATTCGTCCATTGAGGGACAAAAGTTAGAGTCTAGGCTACACGAACGCGAGGCGACGGCCAAAAAGAAGCTTGATGCCGCAAAACGGGATCAGGCTAAGAGACTAGAGGGGCTGCAGGAAGCTCAGATCTTGAGCAACCGAAAGGCAGCCGCTATCGAAGCCAACATCGAACGCGTCCAGGAAGCCATGGATGCCGTCAACGGCCTTCTCGACAGTGGAATGGATTGGGTTGATGTAGGCAAACTAGTGGCCCGGGAGCAGAAGCATGGCAACCCTGTCGCAGAGATCATCAAGCTTCCCATGAAGCTCGGCGAAAACACCATCACCCTTCTCCTCGGGGAGGAAGAGGAGGATATAGAGTCTGACGCAGGCTACTCGACCGATTCCTCTGCTGCCACCGAGTCTGACGAGGAGGACGAAAAGAACGGCAACAAAGCTTCCGGAGCGGCCAAGCTCTCAATCGACATAAACTTGGGGTTGACCCCGTGGGCTAACGCTAGAGAATATTATGATCAGAAGCGCACGGCTGCCGACAAGGCGCAAAAGACTGCCACGCAGGCGGACAGGGCACTCAAGAGTGCCGAGCAAAAGATCAAGCATGATTTGAAAAAGGGTCTGAAACTAGAAAAGCCCATCATGCAGCTTCTTCGACAGCCATTGTGGTTTGAGAAGTTTATCTGGTTCATCTCTTCCGATGGTTACCTCGTCCTCGCGGGCAAGGACGCGCCGCAAAGCGAGATACTTTACAAGAGGCATTTGAGGAAAGGCGATATTTATTGCCATGCCGACATCGCCAACGCCGCCCACGTGGTCATAAAAAACAATCCCTCTACCCCAGAAGCTCCGATCCCTCCATCGACCCTTTCCCAGGCGGGAGTCCTCTGCGTGGCAATGTCGATTGCCTGGGACTCAAAGGCTGTCATGGCCGCGTGGTGGGTCAAGGCGGAGCAAGTTTCAAAGACTTTGTCCAAGGGCGAGGTATTGCCGCCAGGGTCCTTCAATGTAACGGGCGAAAAGAATTTCTTGCCCCCGACTCCCCTCCTTCTCGGCTTCGGCATCTTATTCCGGGTTGGCGATGAGAGCAAGTCTCGGCAGACAAAACACCGAATATACGAGTCAACGGCCGCCCCCGGAGGAGAACTTAGGTGACGAGGTTGCGCCAGGCGATTCCATAGCCAATGCGACGGTGGGAGCTATTCGAGAAGGGGAAGAGGGCGATGGCGAGGGCGAATCCGATAACGAAGACCAGGACCGACGCCCGCCTACAAATCCACTACAGCCCTCTGGCGATGATGAAGAGGAAGATGACGCCACCAACACAGGCAAGATGGGAGCACTCGATCTCGATGACGAAAAGACCCCGGTAGGCGCGACCAGCGAAGGAGAACAGAGCGCCAACGACAACCAGACCCCATCTGAGGTCGTTTCACGAGTCGTGGAGGGAGAAGAAAAAGAGGAAGATGATGCGGATGAAGTTTCTACAGTCGCACCCTCAACTTACGCGCCCTCGACGTATGCGCCCTCGACATATGCGGCGAGCACAGTCACCTCTGAGAAAAGGCAGCAGGCGAAGCGCGGGCAGCGTGGCAAGGCCAAAAGCTTGCTGCCAAGTACAAGCACCAAGACGAGGAGGACCGCCAGGCCGTCGCCAGCCTCATCGGGTCCACCGCGGGACGGCAGCGCGCCGAGGCTGAGGCCAGGGCCAAGGCACAGCATGAGGCCGAGCTCGAGGCGCACAGGGAGAGACGCCGGGCCCAGATTGAAAAGCAGCAGCGAGCCGCCGCCGAGCACGAGGCCAAGCGCCGCAGGATGCTGGAGGAAGGCCTCGACGTGGCGGGGGCCAACGGCGGTGGAGATGGAGAGGTGGAAGATCTGGGCGCGGTGGAAGAATTAGTCGGCACCCCGCTGCCCGGGGACGAAGTTCTCGAGGCGGTGGCAATGTGCGCGCCGTGGGCGGCCATGGGCAAGACCAAGTACAAGATCAAGCTGCAGCCGGGCAGCCTGAAAAAGGGCCGCGCGGTCAAGGACATGCTGGAGAGGTGGAAGTACGACAGCGAGAGGAAGGGAGCCTCGACCCCGGGCCGAGGACGTGGAAAAGATGTGGCCCCGCGAGGTGGAGCTCATCAAGGCTTTTAGGCCGGAGGAGGTTGTCAATGTCGTGCCCGTCGGCAAGGTGAGCATCTTGGCCCCCGGCGGAGCGGGCGCTACGGGAGGCAAGGGCGGAAAGGGCGGTCAAGCCAAGGGACAGCAGGCCAAAGGCGCCAAGGGAGGCAAGAAGAAATAGTAGAGGTTCTACCCAGGTAGTAGTATGTGGATCGGGACGGAGGGCCCCGAGACCCTTGGTCATCTTTCACTTTGCGAAACAACCACTTCAGTTCCATGTAGGGTAGCATTTCGCTAAATAGACCGCGCACCGCCGTATCGGCAGGATTGTTTGCCGTAGCCTAGAGATGGGCAAAAGAAACGTAGAAGCGAAAATGGGAACAACTACCAAGACGTAAAGCGCTTCCGAGAGCTGCAGCATCAATTGCACCTAGGTATATTCAAACGACTTTTGATGCCAGCAAGCCCAACACAGAAAAAGGCAATGGGAGACGAATATCCGGGCCAAGAAGCAGGGAAAGAACCAAGGAAAAAGAAAAAGAGGTAGAAAAAAACCACACCCGTAGTCATCAAACGTAGCATATCCCCGCCGGCGGAGAAACCAGTTCCACCCCCTCCCGGTATCTACGGATTTTTAAAACTAGATCGCGCTTTCGGGTTCCCACACGGCTTCGATGATGCTCATACGGCAACCGGCAGCTCTAGTAACGCCCTATTGTTCGTGCCGTTAGCAAATGATGCAGAGCCTAGCAACGTCGTTTCTCTCTTGTGAAGGAGGGAGGGGCGTCATCGTAGGCTTACCTTGAACTTGAACCTCGGGTCGGCAGCCCGGAACAAGGCCTCGAACTGCGGCTCAGTTCGCTCGTGGGCGTTTAGCAGGCAGAGCATGACGAGGTCCATGCTGCGCATAATCTTTTCATCCCACGGGTTCTCGGAGCCGGGTTGGCGGAGGCAGTGGTCGTTGATGACAATCTTGGCGCCCGGCTTCAGGGCCGGTATCAGGGACCGGAGGATCTTGATCGCATACGGATCAGAGTAGTTGTGGAAGATCCAGCGGAAGTAAAATACTGTAGATGAGGGCCACGCGTTAGCTCAGAGACATGAAATAAAAGGGGCCGTGGCGCAAACAGGCGTATACTGACCATCCGCGTCTTTAGCGACCTGCTCTGTGAAAAAGTCGTGGGCCACGAGCTCGATCCTTTCCGCGACCTGCTCTTCTGCGTGGAGAGGTTTCGGTGCGGTGTCTATGGTTCGCTGGAGGTCCTGGACGACAAACTTGATGTTCTTCCACTTCTTTCCAATTTCAACGCAGGCAAACCCGTGGCTGCCGCCAACGTCGACAAGAGTGCCCTGTTTGGCGTCAATGTCACTCAAGTCGTAGTTGGCTACGAAGTGGGAAACCTCGTAACCCTCGCCATTTGACAGGCTCGCCATAGCTTGAGCCATCCTCTTGGCGCGAGGGGATCCTTGGCAAATGTCACAAACATGGGCTCCTTGTCTACCGTTCCGTGGGCAAATTTGAACCCCGTTCGGGTTAAAGATGTTGCCTCGGGATGTTTGATGAGAGCTTCAAGCACGTGTGCACTGGCGGGGAAGATTTCCTCGAGATGGAAGCCCAGCCAGGCCCGCAGATTCTCGTCCTCGGCGAGTAGTCTGGATGTTGCCGTGTGAGCGATCACGCCCGGGCTAGGCTCCTGGAACACATTGTTGGTCATGGCATGGCGCAGGATTCGGGCAAGGTTGACCATATCAAGCGAGGTCTTAGCCCCAAGTTCCTCCATGGTGATGGTGCCGTCAAGCGGAACGAGAGACGCTAGTCAAGTGGTTAAAAAGAGGGGATATCGTCAAAGGAGGTGAGGCTGGATTCATCCATACCAATGTTGTAATGGCTCAGTACTTGAACGCTCATGGAATCGAGAAACTATACATGCCAGATGAGCACAACTTCAGGGCCTATCAAAACGGTGTCGAGGAACAGGGAAGATCTTACGCCCCAAGTCGCCCATCGAAGCGTCTCAGCCGGTCCTCGAACGAGGCCTTGCAGTCTGGCCGAGTTACTCAACAGCCTCCGCCGGCTCTCTTGAATTTCGGTAGGGAGTTGGGGGAAGTCAGTCGGGCCTGCTATGGGATCGAGCCCTGGTATCTGGAGACCATTACTGCTAAGGTAGCCATCGAGGACCTCGGTGTCAGCAGCAATCTGCTTTGCCAGGGCTACGATGAGGGAAGTCTCCATGTTGATCAACACGATCAGCCTTGGAGGATATGTCGGATGGCTATGACCGTCTAAGAGGTGAGAAGACGATGGGGAAAAGAATTAAAAGGAAAAAAGCCGAGATCAACAAAAATGGTCTAGTCGCCCCAGACGATGATAGATATGGGCAATGCGGGGATAGAAGATGAACTACTTGTACGAGTTGGGGTGATCGCCAGACTAGACGAAGTCAAGTGGCGCGAGGAGCTTGGGCAATAAAGAACTTACACCCCCAGTCGATGGCATAAGGACCAGCCCGAAGGGAAAAGGCCGTCATCTCCCCGGCTTACCGCTCAACGACCTAGGAACGCCGAGTTATAGATCTACTACGGAGACTAGCGCATTTTCTTGCTGTGCGGCGTCCCGCATCCCCTCCATAAAACCCTGGCTCTTCTTCTCCCCTCCCTTGCCGATTGAGGGAAGCTCTGGAAGCATTGACCGCGCTAGAATTCCGAAGGCCTACCTAGGCTGGCTAATGGAAGTCTTGAACGGGCCACCACTGGCAGATTGAGGCTGGATGGGAGGTTTCAGATACCAGTCCCTCGGGGGCCTGAGGGACTTTGGGGGAAACGACCAAAAGTACGTGGGGAGCGGATTTCCTCCGTGGAGGGTCCAAGGCGAGGGTAAATTGCGGTCTCGGATTCGTCGCTTTTCACTAGGGCCGGCGGGTTGCTGACTATGGCTTGGCAGATCGCGGAATGAAAACGGCCACAAGCGACTGAGCATTCTGGGCAAAGCTCCCGATCAGGAAATGCAGTGCAGGGTTTCTCCGCCAGAGGAAGCCAGAGAAAGCCAAGAGGGTGTGCGGGGGATTGAGGAATTCGGCCAGGGTGCGGCTGATGGAGACGGCTTCAAGTCTTCGAATCATGTTGTGTGATCGTGCTCTTGGGTGTCCAAGGAGGGCAAGCTAGGGATGGGAGCGGCGTGGGCCACTAATGAAGAGTCGCGCACGACTCCGTGCCTCCCTTGTGGGGGTTGGTTTCCGCTCTACTTGACGATGAAGCCTGGCTTGGCTTGCTATGTTGGCATGCACAAAGCCCGTCTCAGATGTTTTCTCGCAAGCCCTAGCGCCGAGCTTGAGAGGACCCGGCCCCGGGCGACCCGTATTCGTCCAGCCCTCGAAAAGAGAATTATTTATTAGATGCGAATGCTCCCCGGTCTCCGACTGCAGCATCTACATTACTTGGTAAGCTCGTCTTCTCCACGCCCACCAGCGATTGCCACAAAGCAGACAGGCCGGCCAAAAACCTGCTCGGCGTCTCTCAGCTAGCTCAGCTACTTGTATTGAGGTGGTGGACGGCGCAGCCACCTGTTTTGGAAGCTGTTCCTCCAAAGGCCGCCGCCGGGAAAGTAAGCCGTCGCGATGGTTCCGCGCAAGCCTGCATGGATATGGTGGCCCCATCTGTTCAACGGCGGTGTTTGCTACTCGCTGCTGGCGCACTGACCTACATGCATCTATTGCCGAGAGAGGTGCGTGTTCGACCCCGCTTAGGCAGTTCTCGAAGCTGAGAAACGTGGTCCGCACGACATTCACATGAGCCGCCAACCGCCACGAGAGCTTGTGAGTTATGATAAGGAAGGGAAACAACATGAAGGTCTCGCGAAGCAGTGCAGGGTTCGGTCTCTTCCCTTGACGGTCTAATTCTATCCATAGATCCATTGCCTAATTCGCGCCTGCTTCTCTTAGCCCCTAAGATGGCTACTTGTGGGTACTGTCATCACCGGGTCATTTCACCAGCGACACCACATCGCTCCTTCCTAGCTCACGATTGTGATGTTAGGTCAGGCCCACTCTCTTCTATCAGTGCCGTTGACCAGATGCGGCAGGCACTACACGAGAGATCGTTGCGCGTTTCCCAGACAATTTGGGCTGCTTAACGAAAGGGCAAAGGAGCTAGGATCTACCAAGTATTTGCCTCCGCTCCCTTTTCCCAGTGAGCCCAGGCACTTGCATTCAGTCGTCGATTGATCCAATAGCCACCACGGCCCAATCTATCAATTCATAAATGGATTAACCAATGTCTCCGATGGCGATAGTTTCATGCGCCGCTCCACGCTTGTGCGGGAATGTCAGGCGAGGACAACGCCTTTCATTGAACAATGGCGCAGTGCATGGCTCTTCATAGACTTTGACCTCGCCAGGTTGACGGATCCGAGCAGCTATTTCCTATCCCCTCAAGCAAGGCTCTTCCAAACAGAAACACTAGGCTGGGGCCTTTCTCGTCATATTGTTTGATTTTACCCCGATCCACACTCCCTTGAAGCTGAGCCCGTGTGGTGACCGAAAAGAGGCGGGGTTATCATAGGGCTCTTTGTTGCCATCGGGGTTTATCAACGCTTATCACCGTTCTAGTTCTAGCGCCAAGGGTTTCAACGTCAGAAGCAACCTCTCTCGTTTCCCCAGACAGAGATTCTGGATCAGGAAAGGCAAAGGAGGGGACAGCCCCAACCCTTTGTGGAGAGAGGGAGAGAGGGAAAAATCCTCGAGCCTCGGATACCCAGTAGGGTCACGGAGCGAAATCACGATTGAAATCGAACCTGGGGTCTCAATCGACGAGCCGAGATGCGCCCCTTGTTTCCAGCGGGACTTGGACCAGCAGATATCATAACCTTTTCTGTTCTCAATCTCCCTCTGGTCTCATTGGCCCTCGTCCCCTTTTCTTCCTTTTCCTACGCATATTTGGATGCTTGATTGTCAGGGTTGAACCCAATTAGCTTCCAACAAACCACGGGACTCGATCGGCGCCCACGTTTCCTCGGTGAGCATCTAATTTCCTGGCTCGACTCGATCGGCCGAGTTATTTGCCCACCCGAACGTGCCAACCAAGTTGTGTCACCTCCCTCCTCTTCCTTCTCCTCATCCGCCTCCACCCCCTCCCCAAAGTCGCTGCGAGAGAGTCGGGTTTCGCTGGTGACATTTCGAGGCACACCTTGACCCTCGGGATTCTGCGAATCCCGTGCATCAGCGCTGCAAGTCTACAGCCACGTCTTACTCTGTCTTGCCCTCTGCACAGGGGGCATTCGGGCAATTTGACAAGTCCCTATGGTTCTTACCTTGACGAAAAGCCTTTGGCAAGCTCTCTCCCCCACCTCGTTTTGGCAATGGATCGGTTACGATTGGTTCAGGGAGCTGCTCCATCCGTTTTACCCGCCAAGTGCCGTCCCAAACCTCCCGCCCCCAACCGTCCATCTCCATCTCTCCATCCATTGATGCGCTCCACAAATTAACTCCTGACCCGCCTTCCGGCGCATCAAGTCTGTGCTTGAGCGATCATCCCCAAATCGCACCCACCACTGACGCCTCGAGTACCTGCTGTGAACGTTGCACCATTATATTACGCCGCTCCGTACTCGTTACCTCAAAACCTTGTCCGAATACGACCCGCCGTGCTGCGGGCCCTCCAAGCAGCACGCTCAGGATCTCGCTTCCGTGGGCGACGCACCTCCCCTTCACGCTGACCTATCTCTTCCTAACCGAGTGGCAATGTAGGATAGCATATGCTGGATAGGTCGCGAAAGATCAGCCAGCCTGGCTGGGGAGACCAGGCTCGGGTTTTATGAAGTGGCCGAAATCTCCAACTATATGGGCAGTGTGCCAGAGGTTACTGGAGAGGAGGCAGACTAGAGTTCCTTTCGGCCTTGTATCACAGTCGATGCCCCTAATTCCTCAGACCCCCTTTGATCGTGGTGCCTGGAAGATACATCGAAGCACGGCTGGAACCCTTACATATCTTTTTTCCTCCTTCACACACCCAGCCATAGTCTCAGAGATTATATACAAGATCACTTTCCTCCGTGTCCGTCCCTAGCCATCTTACGCTCTTGATGCCACGCACAACTCTCGTGCGCGCGCTTAACCTTCTGCTGGCCCCAACACGATCAGCTTTCGACGAGCCTTGCCCATCTCACGTCCCTACCAGCAGCCAAGAATGACGTCGGCCCAACTCACCGATGTTTTGACCGAGCGGTGGCCGCTCCTCGCTGTGGGCGCTACTACACTCGTTGGGGCCACCCTCTTTCGCTACCTGTACAAATGGAGTGTGATATCCGCAATTCCCCTCGTGGGGTCGGAGATAGGGGATAGAGAGAAGCGCAGGATGGCCTACATCATGGGTGGGAAGCGTCTCTATGAGGAAGGTTATCGCAAGGTAGAGCGATTCCCCGGATATGTTACAAGCACTGATCCCCAGCTTTGCATTTTGCCCCCGGCCACCGGATCTTACCAAAGAAACCAGCTCATTCTAATATCCTGATAATCTCTTTCTATCTAGTTCAAAGAAGGCATTTTCCGAGTTACAACCGCCAAAGAATGGTCCACCATTATCGTGTCGCCAAGGTTTCTTGGGGAGCTTCAAAGGCTCCCTGACGATGTCATCAGCATGCAGGCAGCTTTGGAAGATGCAAGTCTCCCTTATTCTCCCATATTCCGTTGTGCTTCTTGGCTTGATCAAATCTAATGCTCCCGTGTCTACAGCTTGTCGAGGCTAAGCACACCAAACTGACCGTCGAAAACAGTCTCGAGATTGCCAGGGTCATCAAGGTTGATTTGACGCCCGCTCTCGGTATGCCGCCTTTACAACTCCCTAAACCTATCAAAGTGTCTCATTAACGCTGGGAGGAAGTCCGATTCAATCCAACTATTGCTGGGGAGGTCGCTGAGGCCTTTCGTCGCGAGCTTCAGATCGGCGATGACTGGACAGAGATCAACATCAACCAAAAGCTTCTCCGTATCATAGGCATGGTCTCTGGGCGGATCTTCATCGGCCCCGAGCTCTGCCATAGCGAAGAGTACCTCGACGCATCCATAAACTACACAATCGAAGTCATGACGGCGGTCCAGGAAATCGGCCGTCTCAAGTGGTTCCGCGATCTTCGAGCCCCATACCTGCCCTCGGTCAAGCGCCTGGATCAACGGATCGAACAGGCCTTGGCCTTTTTGAACCCCATTATCAATTCCCGCCTCGAATCCTCGAAACACGATCCCGGATACGAGAAGCCCGACGACTTGCTTCAGTGGCTACTCGATTCCTCCGCAAAGCTGGGCAAAGGAGAAGATGTGGAACGCATTGCGAAGCTCCAGCTCGGCCTCAGCTTCGCCGCCATTCATACCACGACGATGGCCACCACAAATGCGTTAGTGAACTCTCAAATGGAGCAGAGGGACACGAGCTCCTCGATGCCCTACCCGTTCCTAGGCTAACTTGGGCTTATTTTATTTCGTCTGATTTAGCTTTTACAACCTCGCTGCCATGCCAGAGATTATCCCCGAGCTTCGTCAAGAGATTCGGGACGCCCTTGCGGAGACGGGAGGAATTTTCACCAGCCAGGCTCTGCAGAAGATGAAAAAGTTGGACAGCTTTCTCCGGGAAACGTCGCGTGTCACTCCCCTGGTTTTGGTAAGCCCCGTCCACCGCCGAAGCTGACGGATCGTTATGTCGGAGGCCCGTTTTGAGCAATCCCGAACTGACCAAGCTAGCCTCGTTCCACCGCAAGGTCTTGAAGACCGTGACTCTGTCCAGCGGCCAAGTTCTTCCCGCAGGATCCACCATCGAAGTGTCTGCGGTTGGCGTCAACCTCGATGAGGAAATATTCCCCGATAGCGACAAGTTCGACGCCTTTAGGTATTACCGCGCGCGGGAGGAGGGCACGAAGGAGAAGGGGGCCCGTTCCGCGGAGACTGTTGCGACGAACCAGTTTGTCAGCGTCAACCCCAATCACCTGTCTTTCGGCTACGGGCGCCACGCGTGCCGGGAAGGTTCTTTGCTGCCAATGAGATCAAGATGATCTTGTCGAATGCGCTCTTACGATACGATCTGAAGAATATCGACTCCGAGGCTGGGCGCATCCCTAATCTAGAGTTTGGTACGATGGTATGTAACGATCCCCTGTCCTATCGATTGTGTCGCATTCGTGAGGCCCGAATCCTCGACCTTTGCAGCTTGAGAATGACATGGACGAGGCTAATGCGATGCTGTCACCAGTCAACTCCCGATGGCTCGAAGTCGCTGCTCTTCCGAAATATTCAGATCTAAGACCCGGCTTCCTGCTCACGCCCTTCTTTTCTTTTTCTACCTTGGTTACCGATGACCCTTTTCTTTTTTTCTTCTCTTTTCTTTTGGAATCATGGTCAAGGGAAATCAAGTTGAGAATAAGCTGTCCTATATCATCGTTTGAGTGAATAAAGATGAAGATTAAGAGTGTAATCGTGCCACGATTTTATCCTGGTCCCGTTTTTTATTGTGTTAATCGTGAACCTTTTCGACTTCGTTCCCGGCCCTACTCTTCGTGTCATTCGTTCGATATAAAGATCTCGTTAAAGTGGTACCGAAGCCACGGGTTTTAGGACTCCGTAGAACTTGACGTGAATGTAGTTGGGTTGCAAGTGTTGATACGCCAGTAAAGCCCCCGCAGTGCACAACGGAATTGGTCTAAAATCAATATCAATCGCTCCACCAAAGCTCTTCCCGTCTTCGAAATTGTGTAGACGGGTACGAAACTTGACTCCTAAAAACACCCTCAGTTTCTTGGATCTTTCCCACTACTGCCACTTTTCCATTCCTCAGACGTCGACTAGTCTCATTGACTTGTCCCGTGGGTTCTGTAATCCGTTCTACTAGGTCGTGGCAGTTCAAGCTTTTGTGCCGTGGAAATGACTACGACACACCCCACGACACCACTGCCCCCGGATACCATCTCCCTTCCATAGCGGACGAGATCGCGGCTCTAGTCCTCGAGCAGTTCAACTCACTACCTAAGAAACGGAAACCCACCGTGCGTGACACGGGCGCCCACGAATGGATTCCGCTCAGCAGCATCGTAGCTGAGAGGAATGGCCAGCATCGCTGTGTAGCCCTCGCGTAAGTCCCCACGGCGGAGGCTCCGACCGGGGCCCTTCGAAACGGGCTTCTTGGAGGGGAGTCAAGAGGCTAACTAAAGGGGTGGAAAACGTGGTGGCACGCCCGTTCCCCCTCCCCCGCAGTACAGGTATGAAGTGTCTTCCCGCGGCGAAGCTCAAGGAAGCCAATGGTAACGGGCTGCATGACTGGCATGCCGAAATCCTGGCCATCCGCGCCTTGAACCACTTTCTCCTCACAGAGGCCCGCGAGCTTAGTAGCGGCAAGGATACGAATGAAGAGTTGCGCCTCCTACGTTGGACCACGCCCGCGGATAGGGAGGCGCAAGTCGGCATGTCCCAGCCATTTACCATTCGTCAAGATGTGAAACTATACATGTATTCTTCCGAAGCTCCGTGTAAGTCCTTGACGCAAGTCCGGCCGGCTGCCGCAGGCACACTATCTACCCTTGCTACTCTCATCCCATTAATCTATTCCCCCGGGAACTACAAAATATACCGCCTCGAGTCCTTGATCCCGCCATACTAATTCATTTTTCCCGTCTCGCCACCCACCTCCAGGCGGAGACGCAAGCATGGAGCTCACCATGTCCGCCCAAGAAGACCCAACGCCCTGGTCCGTCCCAACACCCTCCGCCAGCGACGACCCGCAGCTCCCCGGCCGCCAATACTTTTCCCATCTCGGCATCGTGCGCCGCAAGCCCTCTCGCCCCGACGCTCCGCCCACCCTCTCCAAGTCTTGCTCCGACAAGCTCGCGTTGGCCCAGGCAACCTCCCTCCTTTCCTCCCCCGCCGCGCTGCTCATCAACCCCGCCAACGCCTACCTTTCCGCCCTGATCCTGCCCTCGGCCGTCTTCGTTCCCGACGCCTTCCACCGGTGCTTCTCCGATCGAATGGGCGCCGTCAGCAGCGCGACGTGGCCTGGCGGGTACCACTTTTGGGCGGTACAACCCGCCGTCACCTCTGTCGAGTTTACCTTTTCAAGGCGCGAAGTGGCCCGGCGGTCCGGCGGGGCTATGGTACCCTGCAATGTCTCGGCCGTCTGGGGCGCGCAGGGCCTGGAAGAGGGCTTGGTCAACGGCATTCTGCAGGGTAAGAAGGCGTTTACCGAACGCGGAGCGAGCTCGCTCTCTAGGAGAAGATTGTGGGAGCTCGCGGCGGATGTCGCGGGGTTACTTGGGGAGGAGGGAGAAAAGATTCGACAAGCGCTGGCCGAGGCAAGCTATGGGGCGATAAAGGGGAGCCGACCTCTCGCGCAAAGGCGAGACGTCAAGGGGCTTGTGCGCGAAGACGCGTTGAAGGGATGGGTAAGAAACGTGGGGGATGATGACTTTGTCATTACTAGGAACTTGCACACTTGATGAGCTCTAGAAAGAGACAGTAACTAGCAGCTTCGACAAAATTCCCAACGTGCTAAAATCCCGTAATGAGGCGGCGTAAACCTTGGAGCTCATGAGCTTGTCGCTCTATCATCTTGCAAATGAATCTTTATTTCAGTGCGAGGCTGGGGAGACCATGCAATAAACCTAACCTTGAATCGACACTAAAAACAAAACCAATCGCTCCGGCCGTTTCGGCAGTACCCTTGAGTTTCATTTTTCATTATCTCCATTTTTTAAGGAAAAGAAAGACGTCACCAGGGCAAGAGAAGAGAAATTGTCAAGTTTCCACTCCTCGTGGGTCAATTGGATCATGATGCCACACTACTATCCGCCGGGATAACCGCCCATTGCCTTGCCAAAAGAGACTTTTTCAGGAGAAGGGGTGGGAACATAAAGACAGGAAGAGGAGGTGGTAGGCAAGGCGAGGCGTTGATAGGAAAAGTAAAGACGAGAAAACACAGAGAATGGCGGTATATCCCACAAGTCTTAATCCGCGCTCCAAACTGACTATTCAGGCACAGAATTCAAGTTCTTGCTGTTTTTCGACGGCTTCGTGTGTCGAGACAAAAGTCCATTATCCCCTTTACTCGACCTTGGACTCGAAGTTCTCACCCTCGACGAGGTCGGGGATATCCTCATCGTCCTCATCCTTCTTCTGGAGCTGGTAGCTCTCGGCGAGCTTGCGGAGGAAGCAAGCGAATCGGGGCCGAGCTGGTTCAGGATGCCAGGAACGAGCTCAGTAAGCTCCTTATCCTCACCGTTACCGTAGATGGCGAAGGTATTGGCCTGAACGGCAGCATGGACTAGAGGTAGAGGAAAGGAAATGTTAGGTTCGGGAAACCACCGTCGTTGCTCAACGAAGCCAGGAAGAAAGGGGGAAACCTACCCTTGGGGGCAGAGAAGTGGATGACGTTGCCGTCCTCCTTGAACATGTTGACCTCCTCGATAGCCTGGATAGGCTGAACGTTGAGCTTCTTCAACGTAGCCTGGAGCTTCTTGTCATCGGCACCGGAGCGGGCCGGCGCCCTCTTGACCTTGCGCCTGGGAGTACCCTTGCCGCTGTATCGATAACCTCATTAGTCCGCCATTCGATCACTTCCAGGATAGGTATGTGTAGATTGACATAGCTGTCATCGCACGAGAGTGTAGGGACAGGAAAACAAGGGGAGGTCAATCTAGGAGATACATACCCTGCGAAGAGGTTAGCAAAGAGGTCATGCAAGCGATGGTTGAGGGAGGCATAGGAAAAGAGATAGAGGCAGAGAGAGAAGGGGAGGGGGAGGGAGAAGGATTAAGCAAAGAGTTAAGACTTACCGATACGGGCGCTGGCACCAAGCTTCTTGAGACGCTCCTGAACTTCCGTATCCATGTTGAGGGATTGGGTGTGTGACGGATGCGTCAAGGCGGAGAAAAGGGCGGGAGGTGAAGGGGTCGGTAAACTGGGGGCACACCAAAGGTCACAAAACGTTAGCGGCGACTCCCAATTGGAAAAGCCTTAGGGCAACGGCCACGCAATGGGTGCAATTAGGATGGATGAACCGCTTCAGCCAGCACAATGGACCAGTGGCGTCGTAAGGGCAAAATATCGAGGAGTTGAACGTACAGGTCTAGATCCGAGATCTCGGGTGTGGATTCAGGTTCGGCGAAGGTATATGAGGATTGTGCTGGGGAACGATCGAAAAAAGTTACTGGCTCCGAACCCCAGCGTTTGTGCGTGCCAAGACTTGCACAGGAAGTGGTAAAAGTTCGGCAAAACGCCCTGATTATCTGGTTGGGGTAATAGGTGCTCTCGAGGTGTGAGGAGCTGGTTCTCCAGCTAAAAATTGCAACAATTCAATTCGGTGCTTGTGAGGTGGGGTTGTGCCTTTGCTCATGTAAGCAACCATGAACACCTTCTGAACATGGGGAAGTCCTCGAAAATAGGGTCTCACGTGAGCGCTCACCATCCTGGAACTCCAGCTTGAGCTGCTAGCCGAGTAAACCAAGGGGGAAGTTGCTGCTGAGCATCCCATTATTGGCAAAAGGCTGCCGCCTCTGTCATCAATGTTATCATCTAGTCTAGTGTGGTAATGAATATATGTCCTATCTAGGACTTGCTCCTCCCAAGCTCGCCGCGGGTGAAGCAGTTCCCTTTGTAGGGAAATAGAGGATGGTAGCCATTACCAGCCAAAGATATAATTGATATAGGCCGGCCTTGATATATCTCTAGTAGGGAAAGTGAGCCCCTATTGTTATGCCCACTTGCCTCAGTAATGGATAGCAGATAGCTCATTATGGTCTATTTTCCAGAAGCTTGTGGCAAACGGGTGGTTATATGATAAGGAGCCAATGCCCGACATAATTGGGCCTAGTAATTTCTCGTAGCTTATCGGAAGAGTTGCAGCTTCGAACCCTCGTGTAGATCTATATGCCATTACACTTGAACAAGTATATGGGGGCATATATCTCTAGATCTGACACAAGGTAGGGAGTTGCCTCCGCCATTCATTTCCACAACGGAAATACTGATCGCGGGCAGGCTATGTGTTCGCATCATACGCCGGTGACATGGTCAGGTATATACACACTTGCTCGGAGGCCAAGGTGGGGGTTCCTTCTTCATTTCTTCCATTTTGGTATTATTTGCTGGCTCGTCTTGCCTCTTATTAGGAAGTGGAGATAGTCCCTATCCGTCAGATGTCGTACAGTATATGCCTAGGCTCGCATGCGGCGAGTCTCCCCGGGGCAAGAGCCTCCTTCTATCAAAACGCCCAATCCCGATGATCATGTGCCGAATAGTATACAATAGCCCAACCCGCGTGGCTGATCTCGTGAGGGATATGGCGCTCCAAGCGGACGTAGCCCGTCTCCCATCTACTCCTTTGCCTCGAGTCCTGCCTCCAAACGCATCTGTTTTCTTCTTGCAAAGGCGTCGGCGGCGTCCCGGCGCATCTGAGCCTTCGCATGCTTCTTCTTCTCGTCCTCCATTTCCTTCAGGGATATCCAGACTAGACAAAGAAAGGATTATTAGCAAACTTGAGATTATAGCAGTTCAAGGGCGAGGAAAGCTCGGTAAATGGACGTACTGTGCTTGTCGGACTTGGCGGCTTGCTTGATCATGGACACAAAGTCGTCGAAGTCCTGTTCCCTCTTTTCCTTGTTTTCCAGGCTCCGTTTTTGTAGATCCGGGTTATATCGCTTAAACAGCTCTTCTTCGGTCGGGATCAACTTCATGGTGATCCAAGGGCCGCCGACGGAGATGACAGCTCCGCTAGTCCCGGGGAACAATGTCAGTGGTTCAAGCTCTCGAGTAGTATGGAGGTCGAAGGGGAGCGAGGAGGTCCGATAATAACATACCCGAGCATAACCTTGGTCCATAGCCACCAGTTTACAGGCTTCTTTGGCATGTTGGGAAGCGTTGTGAGCGTAGGAAAGGCCTTTCTTCAAGAGCCAGATGTCGCGAAGAATGCGAATGACGCTTGTCAAATCACGTCGATGCGATTTGTCCAGTCAAGGCAGAACTAAATTTATTTCCGTTTTTGGAAGGCGGTGTGAACCAGGAAACGCCGCTTGTCAAAGGTCTTTGCATCACACTTCGAGATTTGAGTTCAGCAACAGTGCGAGGACAACGCTTCTCGGCCAGCGTTGTTTGACCCTGGCTGAAACAATACAACTCTGGACCTTGCTAGGGACATCACAAACAAAGCAAGCTTGCTCGCAGGATTCTCTTTTGCTTCTTTGTCCTTCTTCTTCCTGGTCAGCGTAAGAGCGCCGACATTTAGACGTCGGACATTCACATCTTCAAACTATTACTAAGTATCCCGGGTTGTGTTTCGTCCAATGTCACAACTGGAGTTCACTCGCGGCCATTTCGTTTAGCTCGTAGCACAATGCGGAAGGCCATATCATAAGGGATCTACGATGTCCCCCTGAGGTATATGGAGGCATCAGATTGATTCTAAGTTGCCCTCCATGATCATCTGATATGATAATATCTGACGGGCTGTACTCATCGACTTTCCTTCATAAGATTCCTCCATTTTGCCACTCTTTGTGGCTGAAGCAGGACCAAAGCCTGCCGGGCGTCTGGCTCTTCAAGCGGCCGGCTAGTGCTGATCGTAGCCTGTTCCGGGTTTTCATCCCCAAGAAATGCAATGCAGAAGCCTTGTGGAAGCGGACGAGTTAGTGGCGCCGGGAATGGGGAAACAAGGCTTCACTGTTATGCAAGCAGGGGGTGCTCGACACATCCACTGGCGACCAGTCAGGGGTGTTTTGAGACAAAACGCCAGTACTAAGCAAGCAGGACGCCGTCAGATGCGTTTCGACTGGAAAAAGAAAATAGAAAAGAAGGGCCAACGAATAATGACGAAGAAGCAGACCTGCAAGGAAGTGAATTCATCCATACGGATACGGATATGGAAAAAGGGATGTTCCTCCTGATAATAATCGCACCGCCAGATCCGCCCCAGGCCAATGTCTTGAGCATCTGAGGTGTGCTCCACAGAAACAGGGCTCTTTAACTCGAAACAGAGAAGATGAAGGTTGACGGGGGCAAAAGGGCCAATGACAGATCATGGCCATGATTGGATACAAGGCGGGCCACATGACAATTAGGAAGGCGATATATCACGGCAAAGGAGGGGGACAAGGGCCTCGACTCGTTCGAATGGGCTCGGGGATCGGACATCTCCCATGAATGAGATGAATGGGATCAAATCATCCATCATCAGTTGACGAAGAAAGGGATTGCTCGAGCTGGCGAAACGCCTCGTATCGAGACCCTCAGTCCCCCTTCTCCCAGTTGGGTTTTGTACAACGGCTTGAGGTTAGGTTTGGGGTGGTTTGGGTGGAGCGCAGCATCTAGTGTACACTACGTTGGTCTCCATTGTTCCTGCATCGGCCGGATTTGCAAAGGGTCCCCGAGTGTGCACCGTTACAACCTGGGCGGGTTTAGGGGACTGAACAGCTCGATCATGAATTTGTGTGCTTTTAGATGTACAGTTAGCCGCCCAGATCGCCGTGCTGTTTTGTCCACCCTTTGATATTTCTACAAGTAGTTCCTTCCTGCAGTATCAACCCCTTTTCTTTTGTAGTACAAGCGGGCTCGCTGAGCATCTTAGACAGAAAGCGCGAGTGTGCTGATGGAGTTATTCATTTGAGCTGCGTCAGGTTGCCTTGCCCCTCGGTGTCCGAGTATTTCCCCCAAGCGACTGATGAAACCGGTTCTTCCTTGGCCGCTCCTTCTAAACGGGCAGCAAGTATCCTCAGAACATGTCATTTTGCTCAGCTCATGTCATCGTCCGTGAGTACAAGATGAAAAAGAAAGAACAGAAACAACAAGTAAGTGTCAGCGAATGCCTGGGGCAGGCTGATATTATCCCGCTGTGGACTCGACTCGGATTGGATCCGCCAACGAGGAGGACGGGGAGAGGATGGCTCCCTGGAACCCGAAATGCTGTACCAGTGTTCAGACCCTACGGCTTCGGGACCGCGTCCACGTCTCAGCTCAGGGCAAATATAGCTTGGGGCAGACGGTGCAAGTCACCGCGTTGATCAATACAGGCACAGCGGACCAGGATCTTGTCAGCACGTACCCGCCGGGCCCAGAGGTGGCCGGCGACAACAGATCTCAAACACAACAAAACCCCCACAATAAGGAGGATTGGGCGACAAGCCAAATGCTTGTGCGAGTATCATGGCACAGACCCAAGCCACGAGCCTTGTCCTCAGTATTGAAGAGAGAAGGGGTGACGGTGTGGAACCTTAAGGGTGTCCCCTGCACAGGGCTCAAACCTGTAAGGTCTAGGACGGTACTTGCTTGTCTGCACTCGTCGCAAGCGTCGAGTTCGGTCAAGATAATAATATGCTTCTCCGCGTCCCTCTGGACATGGCGGGCAAATTTAAAATAGTCGTGTTCCTTGATTGTCCCGCCGGACGTCAGTTTCGCCGTCTTGCTCTTACCCTGCTACCCGAGGAAAAAGAAAGAAAAGGAAAAGCACGGCGAGAACAGGGATATGGGGAGACGGACGGGGAAAGGCCGTGTTCTGGACACAGAGGGCTTTTCTTTCATCCACGGGCGACGTTGACTTGCATCAAATGGTTGCGTCAACTCCATGTCAAGTCCCCCCTGCCGAAATTTGCAAGTGCGTGCCCCGAGCCCATTGTGTGCTGGATTGAACCTCGAGGTGCGGTTCCACGTCCATCCCCATCCCGGCACTCAGTCAGGACGATTGAAACCGGCCCTCCCTCGCTCCAAGGTCGTGCGGCTTTATTAGTTTTCCAACGGCACGCTATTACCGTTGCAGGGCGGTCCACACAGCCAGCAGCACATCCATATTATGGATCAATCACAATTACATCAACTAAATCGAGCCACTTGCGCCGGTCCCGGTCCCTCTATGGATTGGCGTCCTCCCTCCCCATCCCCCTCCCCCACACACGCACACAAGGACTTGAACCTCGTGCCCTCGTCCTTTCCTGTCCTTCCTGCCTAGACCCGAGAAATCTCCATGTACTTTTGCGCCCTGGGGAGCTTCTCGCTTGCTGCCACCTCTCCCTGCCCGTTTACCAAGTACCTATAGTAAGAATGGGGAGCATTGCGGCTTAACGGCTCGAGGTAAACCCGAAAGGAAAAGAAGAGAGAAGAGAAAAGAACGAGAAAAGAGAAGGAACAAGTCGAGGATTAAACTTCGATTCGCTGCTTCCCTTTTCATCATCCCTGGGCAACGCTCATTGTCGCTGCTTGTCCAGTCACACCTCAACCCTTTCATGTTCCCTACCCGAACGTAATCCTCCGTTCCGCCCCCTCCAACGAATCGTGCACTCGTGGCCTACCTTGCCGAAACGTCGATCAACTCTCCCACCGAAACGGGCGCAAATCCGGTCCCAGCAGTAAATCCCCTGCTGCTCACCTTTTCTTCGTCCCATTTTCTTTTCACGAACCTCCTTTTCTTTTCCCCTAGTCTCCAGCATATACCCTCCCTTGGTTCCATTCTCACGGGAGCCCTTTCTCTATCATTGATCTCTTTTTTTTGGCCTCTCAAATTAATCATGCATGTCACCTAAGCAGCGGACCCGGTTCAAAGCTGCCACTTCTGCCGCTACGGGAACTCACATTCTCCCACTCAACTATTCCTTGGACTGTTCCCCCTTAACTCTGAAGACCCTATACTTTTCAGATCAAACCTTCCTCCATTGCGCTTCGCCGGCCCAATCGAGATTGCGGACTACGCTTCTCGGCCCTAATTCTCTCTTCCAGTACTTCTCCGCCTAGCTCGGCCTTCTTTGCGACCTAACCTCACGACCCCTCGATTCCTTGAACCCGTCCTAATTTTCAAGAGCAAGCAACCGGTCGAGCCCGCCGCCAAGAATTGTCGCGAGTGGAATTCTTGAAAACCGAACAAACAAGAGAGGGGGGAAGCTTGCCACTTCGTCATGGCTTACGAAGGAGGCTATCCAGCGCAACAGCGCCCGTACGCCGGGCAGGCCGCCCCGCGACAGAACCCCGCTCCCGCCCCAATGCAGGGCCCTGGTCAATACCAGCAGCAAGGTTATGAAGACTACCAAGGTGGACAGGGCTACGACTACTACGATGACGGGAGCGGCGGTTACGGCCCTGATTATGGTCAACAATACCAAGATCCCTCTTACGGCCAAGGGCCTCCGGACCAGAGATATCCGCCTCAACGACAGGATTACTATGGAGCGCCTCCTCCTAATGGCGCTCCGATGGGAGGACGCGGAGGGCCGGGCCCTTTACCTCGTTCTCAGACCATGGGAAATATGAGAAATGGCCCTTACCCTCCCCGTGGAGGTGGCCTTCCCTCAGGCCCTGGTAGGGTCCATCCAAATGGCCCTCCACGGGGCGGTGGGCCACCTGGCGCGTATGGAAGAGGGCCGCCACCTCCAATGGACATGCCTCGTAAGTTCCATTACATCACGCGATCGCCCTAAACGATCAGGCAAGACCTGGTGACTAATAACCCATGCCTCTACACAGCGCAAGGTCGACCTCCGATGAACGGCGGCATGAGGAGCCCGGTCAATGGAAGGTTTGGGGGCAACCAATTCCCGAACCAGCCTCAATATGACGAATCCCAGTTATCCAACCAAATGGGTGCGATGGACATCTCGCAGCGACCACGAATGCCCGTGGACCGCCACAGCGATGGTGCTCAGCGTGGCGGGATGCGACCACCCGAGGGGATCCAATCCCCGACAGACGGCATGCGAGGTCTACCTCCTCCCGGCCTCCCACGTGGCTTTGATGAGGGGCGCCGGGGCTCAGAGCCCGCCCCCGGTCCCGGGTTTGGGCCAGCGGGTCAGGGGCAGGGGTATGCCGAGCCTGGATTTGGTCCAGGCCCTGGGCCTCTCGGGCCGCCAGGAAACGACTTTGGACCTCCATCTCGAAGCATGACGATGCCAATGAACGACCCGGCACAGCGACGGGAACCCATGCCTCCGCAACCACCGATGCCCTATGGGCCCGTCCCTGGTCGTGGCCTCCCGCCGCCACAGAGGCCTGCGACCTCTCAAAGCCAGCGCCCACCGCCCCAGAGAATCTATCCAAACCAAGGGCCGCCCCCTCAGCCTGGATACGGCGGCGGTCCAGGCTATGGAAATGGTCCTCAACCCCCTGGGCCACGGCAGGCGTCTCGCGCCTCCTACGATGACATCTTTGATAGCTACGGTGGTGGCCCGGCGGGCAATGGAGATTACCCACCTGGACCTCCAAATGATATGGGATACTATAATGGACCGCCCCGCCAGGCCTCCCTGGGAGGTTCCATGGATCCGTATGCGGGCCCCGGGGGCTCCTAACGGGCCATTACCTCCCGGCCCGGTACCGCAGGCACTCAACATACCACGCACAAAATCCCAGCCAAATCTACGCAACGGACAGCCGGTGTTTGAGATGTCGGGTGATATTCCGCCCATGCCTAACATGCCGGGTCAACCTGGGGGCGGCCCCGGTCAGCCCGGCGGTCGTCCGGGTCCTGTAGGACTCCCAGCAAACCCAGCGGGTCCCAGGGGAGGGCCTGGTAGTTTACCCCCAACCCGTCTCCTTCCCAATCAGCCAACCCGGATGCCCTCCCCTCGCACCCCACCCCAGTACGACCGGGCTTAATGGCGGACTCCGTGGTAAACGTGGCGAACAAGCCTCCCCCAGTGCGGACCTACGGCACCTCGTCGCCTGCACCGACTATGAATAGTGGGCCTCCTTCAACCGCTACGCCCTCGGAGCCACCTCCAGATCCAGTCACTAGTGAAGAGTTGGAGCGCTTAAGGGTTATCGTAAAAGCAGACCCGAACGATCAGGAAACCGGCCTTCGATTTGCCAAGAGGCTTGTGGAAGCTGCAGACGTCTTGGTCCCCAACGTTGCGGACCCCAAGACGAGAGCTAGGTCGCGCGATAGGTATCTAGCCGACGCGTACAAGGTGTTGAAGAAGCTGGCCAACGCGCAGAACAAAGAAGCCATGTTCTTCTTCGCAGATTGCATCGGAAGGTCCCTCTTCAGCAACGATCCGGATCACAAGGAGGCCTTTACCTTGTATCAGTCCGCAGCCAAATTGGGCCACGCGGCTGCCGCCTACCGCACAGCCGTCTGTTGCGAGATTGGTCACGAAGATGGAGGAGGCACGAGGAAGGATCCCCTCAAGGCCATTCAGTGGTATAAGCGGGCTGCTACCTTGGGTGATACGCCAGCCATGTACAAGATGGGCATGATCCAGCTCAAAGGCTTGTTGGGTCAACCCAAGAATCCTCGCGAGGCTATCGGCTGGCTCAAGAGGGCGGCCGACCAGTCGACGGGTGAGAACCCGCACGCCCTCCATGAGCTAGGTCTGCTTTACGAATCGGCGCAGCCCAACGACGTCATCATCCGAGACGAAAAGTATGCCTTCACCCTATTCAAGAAGGCTGCCGAACTAGGATACAAGTTTTCGCAGTTCCGTCTTGGATGCGCGTACGAGTATGGCCTCATGGGCTGCCCCATTGACCCCCGGCTCTCAATCATGTGGTACTCCAAAGCCGCGATGCAAGAGGAGCACCAAGCAGAGCTTGCGCTCAGCGGCTGGTACTTGACGGGCAGCGAGGGCGTGTTGGCACAAAGCGACACAGAAGCGTATCTCTGGGCGAGAAAGGCCGCCATGGCTGGTCTGGCCAAGGCAGAGTACGCCATGGGCTACTTTACAGAGGACGGAATCGGTGTACCCGCCAACATGGAAGATGCAAAGCGGTGGTATTGGCGAGCGGCTGGTAGGTTCCCCTTCACTATGTGAGAAATTGAAAAACAAGCTTGCTAACATGTCTAATCATGAAACAGCCCAGGACTTCCCCAAGGCGAGGGAGCGGCTTGAGGATCTCAAGAGGTCGGGCAAAAATGGGCCGAGGCAACGCGAACGCATCTCACGAAGCAAGATGAACAAGCAGCAAGAAGGCGAATGCTCCGTTATGTAGCGGAAGTGGCCACCATTCTCTTACTATTTGCTAAACCCAAATTCCATTGTACAAAAATATGATGACGACTCAAATGTTTCTATATGCATACACCAGCTGAAGGAGGAGAAGGGCAGAGGCGAAGGGAGACTTAGGCACGCAGATGCCACTGAATGGATCAGATCAATGATAAGTACAAATGTAATATGCATCTACTTTGATATGACGATTCCCCGCGGCGTCGGATCGATGTTAAGAGCCATAGACTCATATGATGCTTGAGGGGTTTTCTTTTTCTATCTTGTTTCCATGAGGTTGTTTTATCTGTTTGGTATATATATATATATAGATGGGGATGTTCAAAGCGAAATGAAGATGTATAAATCAAAGAAACAACATATGCGTGGAGATAAGTGATATATACTCTTTGTGCTCTCCGCGATCTTTTAGCTCGTACCGCGGTACACTAAGTAGAAGATGCAAGATATCTGTTGATTTAGATGATATGGTAGCCCGTTTAAAAGACGCCATGCCGTATTGTAGTCGTATCGGGTAGAGATTTCAGTATGGCCCTCTCCGCCTGCTTCTTGATGAGATCAATCAAGTTGTTCAATTCCACCTTCTTTTTCTATCTTGAAGCCCTGACCCTTCGACTCTTGAACTCCAGGGATCTTTGCGCCAACGAGCAAACGCAGTCACAGGCATCTCTCGAAATTCAACTCAGTTTACGGTGGCGCACTGGTCGAACGCTAGTTCCTATGTCTGCCCTCAGGATCAATGTTAGTTAACACGTCAAACTTAAGTTCCGTTGACTGAAGGCCAAGATGGCAAAACAGATACTACATGTACAGTGTCATGGCATCTTTCGGATAAGTGGGATAAAAGAACCGCTACTGCGGTTCGTAATATTGATCAAATCCCTATCTTCCACTAGTATTCATCTCTCACTTTCCCATTAGTGATGGATGTACCCATCTCTCGCGAAGATCTTCCAGCAAAGCCTGTGCTTGGCCTGCATGATCCAGTGCATTGTTTGTAACGCCCTCCGGGGTCTGCATCCTTGGATGCATCTCCCTCTCAAAGGGCTAGGTTCGGTATATACAAGACTCCCATCTCCATGTACTCCTTTACTCCGGCAATTCTCCACTAGCAGGAGTCCAGTGGCCAGCATATCATTGGATAGACAAAAGAAAGTTGCGAGAAAAACAAAAAGTAAGAAAAGGACGGGGGCTTCAAGCAGCGGCGAGTGTAGGCACTTTCGAGTGGTGGTACACGGCCGGCTACAACAACGAAGCCCGAGGCTCGACTAAACGCATCTCCAGGTTGCCGTCTCCGCGGTGAAACGGAAGCATATGAGCACTCTACTCGTAAAGGTCCAGGTCAAGCCCCTTCGCGGAACTCGGTTTTCCCATCGCTTGAAGGACCTTCCACCAGTGGCGCCGGAGCCTGCGTTTACCCTGAGGTTAACCAAGTCCACGGTGTTGCCATTACCGAGATCAATGCTCGAAGCTTGCTCAATTGTCAGGCTCGTTCCACGGCCATTGGCTGTGTTGGATGTAGTAAAGAAGCGCTGGAGCACGGATTGGGCGCGCGATGCGTCCGAGAGGCTATCCTCCTGCAGGATGAAGAGGACGGCAACTCGGGCAAAATCGAGCACGTCCTCTGATACGGCAAAGTTTGCGTTGGGGGCGCCAGTAGGGGCAGGCTGGAGTGTGGTAGTGACTGTGGTGGTGGTTGTTCCGGGGATCCTGTTGGGAATGGTGCTTATCGTCCTCAAGATTGTCGTCACCTGAGGAATCGTCTGAAACCCGGCAATAGACGACTCGGCCGCTGCGTTGAGCTGGTTTGCCACAATGGTAACTACTTCTACCGAGACGAAAACCGCCGCCCCTACGACGGCAGCATCGTCGCTACCATCGTTGCCAACAGCCACGCCAAGGACAGTTGATCCTTCGTCCCCGGTCCTAGAGGAGCGCCCGTCAAATGTCACCAGCGAGTTCTGGGCTGTGCACGAAAGGCTGCCGGTATTGAATCGAGCGAGAATTTCCGTGCCCGAGAGGGGTATGGCAAATCTGTCCTGGGCCTGCGAGATGAGACGCGGGATAGCCTGACCGAGCGTCACATTGTCAATGCCCGTTGATTCGTTTATGGCTTCCAAGCTCGTCGTCGTACATCCAGCTGAGCCGGCAATGGTGCAATTGGACCCCGTGAAGCCATTTGTGCAGATACACGAGCAAACGTTGCGGGCGACGACATTGGTCCCACCATTCTCACAGGTCAGTTGTTCTCGGCACTGGGCCAAGGTTGAGTCGCCTAGCGGCCCTCCGATATTGCGGAAGACGAAAAATTGCAGAGGCACCAAGACGGCAGCAGCGATGATGCCAAGGATGACGATGATGATGACAATGAACCCCCACAGAGGGAGGCCGCAATACCTCTTCTTCTTGTCTTGCGGTGGGGAGCTCTTCTTGTTAGGGACGGCCTCGTTCGTCGCGTCCGTCTGCTGGCTTGCGAGCGCACGATTCGCAGGCGGTAAGGGCCAGGATGAGGTCGTTTTGAACCAACTGCCAACCCGACTAGTGCGCGAAGTTACTTGAGCTGGCGGAGGGAACGCCGCGAGCATGTCAGAGAAGCCGGACTGATGTCGGTCGTCGGCTGCACAACACACACTTTCTGTTAGTAACCCCAATTGAAGCCAATATCGTGTTCTCGTTCAGAGTCATTCAATTTAGTCATACCTGAGTAACGTTCCGAGTCCCGCCCGGCCTTTTCATCCAGATAATTCAAATCATCGAAACGACTGGCCGGTCGCTTTCCTCGGTCAATCATGGCCGCGAGCCTCGTGGCGCGCTTAATGAGATCCGGCAGGCTTGTCACGCTTCCACGGGCGTTCGCTCTATCCACAGCCTCCATGTCTAACCTGGGCGGGCGTCGAATGGCAGATAGTCGGTTGTAGCTAGTATAGGCTTGCGAGGGTGACAAGGCCCGAGCCTGGGCGGCGGCATCCGTCGCGTTTGTGTTCGCATCCGCTAACCTGGCATTCGGCGCACCACCAGATTTGGATGAAGTCGCCATCGTCTCTGAGCTCGAGGCCTCTACGTAACCAGTGCCGTCCGCAAACGGGTCCTGAAGAGGTCCCGGACCTGGGCGCTGGGGTGCTGACGTAGGAGCGGCCGACCCTTTATTCATCACGAGATGCGGCTTTTCCCTCTTGCCAATGCTAGCACTCCGCACAAGTTGAGACTCGTCAACGGTTAGGGAATCGCCGCCGCGGACATTGCCTCTCGCGGCGTCGTCGTACGCAATGTCTGGATATGTCGGGCTGTTGCCAGGGGAAAGGCTGCCAAAGCTCTCGGGCATAGCGGCGCTCGAGGCCAACGAGGTGTAGGACCTCAACCTAGGGCTCTCCTCGGGGATAGGTGATACGAATGAAACATTAGAGTAAAAGGACGACGCACCCCGGCGAGCCGAAGGGGGCGGTCCCAAAGTTACGCTCCGGCGGCCGGCAGGGATGCCGGGAGGAGGACCGGAGATAGGTAGCGGGAAATCGGGTATCGAAGCACTGGATGAACTTGTTTGGACGGAGGAGGGTGTAGGAGGAATCGAGCCATTAAAACTTTGGTCCGAGTCTCGGATGTTTTGGGGCTGGTTTCTAAAGACGGGCGTCGGATCTTGCACGCGGGAAGCGTCTAATATTGAGGGTACGCGGCTAGGACGAGGAGGCCGTTGGGGAGGCTGGGATCTCCCGGGCGTGGATTGAAAGGGCTCCGAACCAGCAGGCGTGGCGGGAGTCGGGATAGGACCCGGTAGAGGCCACTGTGGGACGGGCGTTGGCCGTGATATTACAGCGCCGATGGGGCCGGTGTTCCCCTGAAGAGCTAAAGGGCGTGCGGGCCTCCCGTTGCCCAACTCGGCTCGTTCCCTCGCCATCCGTACGGATCCCCCAGAAGCGTCCATATCTCTTCCATTTTGAGGCAGACTCATTTAGCACCTTTGAGGACAACCGTCAGACATGAGGCGGGACGGGTAACTCGAACAGACTGTCGAACACTGAACAGACAGGTGCCAGTAGTTTCCCGACACGACTTGAAGGAACAAATCGAGGTGTGGTTCGTCGTTCCTTTCCCACCAATTCGTCCTGCACGCAGTAAATGATTGCACGGGGGTCGCAAGGTCGGCTCGACGAGTCGGTTTCGTGGGTAGAAGATGGTGGCCGAAGGGTAACGAAGGTCCGGACTAAGCCTATAGATCGGTGCCGACGAGTCTGTTGACAAGACGCGCAAACGGGGAGGACAGACAGGGCGAAGTAAAAGACTGGACGATGAGGCGAATGCAGGTCAAGGGAAGCTGGGTATCTCGAAGCGATTCGGTGTTGCTGAACTCTACAAAATCCGGCGCTGTGGAACCATCGAGGCCTCGCGGGGATGACGGAACAAAATTAAGACAACAAGTGTGTAAGTTGAAGAAGAGAACGCAGATGCCAGCTTGCTGTGGTGTATATAAAACGAAAGAAAGATTGAGAAGGAAAAAGAAAATAAAATAAAGAAAATGAAGAATATGTCGGGATTGGTGAGAGGAGAGAACGCAACCCTGAACATGAAAGGAGGATCCGAGATCCAGAGAGAGTGTCGAGGCGGAGTTGGGAGGGCGATGTGTGTGAGAGGTCGGAAAGGCGAAAAGAGGGTAAAATGAAAAGGGAGCCCAAAAAAAAAAAAAAGAGAGCCTGAAGATGACTGAGCAAGAAAAGTGTCAGCTCTGCTTGAAACCTAGGAAAGACGTGAAAAAGGTCAGGTGTAAAGGTGAGGCAGGACGACAAAGACGTCGATATCGGATTGGGAAGGAAGGCGGATGGGTGGCCGTGACGGGCGCGCACGTCTTGCCAACAAGGGTAACCCACACTCCCTAAACAGCCGGGTCGCAAGTAGGAAGGGGAATTCAGGGCACAACGGCCTGGGCCAGGCAAGGGAAAGAGGAGAGGGGACAGGGAACAAGGGGATCACCTACGGGGCACTCCGTACAGTATTCGTTTCGGAAGTGGTGTTTGTGTGCGTGTGTGTGTGTGTGCGTGTGGATGGATTCGGGAGACGGATGGTGTAAGTGCTCTTGATCGATCGAGACCTGGAGAATTTCGTCCGCGTCAAGGCTACGAACACTGAATAAGACTATTTTCCAGGAAAGAAAAACTCTCCTCGAGACTCGAGGCGGGGAAACCCCAGAATGAAATAAGTCTAATGCCCAAGAGAAAGCACATTATCGATGGAGAAGCCAAAGAGGGAATAACCCACCTTCCCTCGTCTGTCCGGGGCGTGTGTGTCCAAGTCGCCGTCACAGTCTTTTTCCATCACCCCTGCTTTTTTGTCTTTCCCTCTCCCCTTCCACTTCCAGGGACGGTGGGGCCCAGAAGCAGGCACAAAGTACTTTGTACCCCCGGCCGGATGTGCAGTGCACCTTCCTGTCCAATCAGCGTCGGTCGCACCTCCCACCTCCGGTCCCTCAACTCTTCTCTTCTCTGTTGGTCAGGGCGGAAAGCTGCAAAAAGGAAAAGGTGTGCGGGGCCATTACGCACAGTGTGCGTTTCAGGATCCAGGCACATCAGGGGAAATTTGTCCCTGTCAAACTCGACGGCGCTGAGAGCGAGGACACGGTCGTGTGTCGGAAGTCACGAAGATCAAGTGTCAATCAAGCATCCATGGCTCGTCGTGATGGCTTGTCGTGATGGCTCCCATGAGCATGTTCTCCATGATCTCGGTAACGGCCTACGATTGGTGACCGGCAGGAACCAATGTGTTTACTCGACGCAGGCTCATTCTTCCCTCCCACCATTTGCTCTCCTGCCAATCTCGCTCGCCATCACGGGCTCGAGATAGATCCCCGGAATGTGGAGTCCATCGAATCGATGCATTGAAAAGATCGGTTAAAATAAAGAAAGAAAGAAAGAAAAGGTGACCTCTCATGCTCTCGATGACAGTAGTGCACAATGCTCAGCCTCCAGTCTGTCGTACGAGACCACACAAAATCGAGCCTGTTGGGTCCATGTGTGGCCAACAAAAAGAAGAGGTCCCTCTCATGCAAAGACATGGGGTTCCCTCAGCTCCATTACGTGCGCCGAGTGATCTATTACATTGTCCTTCACCAATGAAGTGGATGCGATGCAGAGAATCCAGGCACAGGGTCATAAACCAAGCAGACTCAGCAGGCCAAGTAGACCAATTCTTTGGCTGTATCAAGGTACGTTGTCGAGATGCATCAGCGCATCGACGGCGTCGATGTCTCTCACGAACATCAAGGATTTGCAGAGGGAGGAGATGCGCGCATATTGACCCCTTGGGTCATGCTTATTCTCCTTTGTTACCAACTTCGACGCTGTTTCCACCCATTGTTTCCTTTTAACAGAGATTGGCAGACAAGAGTTCACAAATCCGACAAATCTCAAATCAGTGCAAGGCGTGGTCCGGTCCAACCCGCCCATGTCCTGCACTACACTATACATGACGAAATTAGTTGCTTCTATTTCCCCGGTCTGGCGATGGGTTGAAATATTGGTGAGTAGGCTGGCTGAGAAATTTAGATGAGGCGCTTGGTATTATTATTACAAGATCCAAATAGATCCCATCCCAACTCAACTTCACTTTATCGACCGATCTGTGCCAGTGCAGCTCACTAATACCGACGCTCCATTATCCGAAATTGCCTCGAAAACATAATAATAGATATCCATTTATTTCAATTTGTGATGGTAGCACTAGGGGTCCACCTCACTAAAAATACCAAGTTATCTCCACCAGAGCTGGATGCTTGATCAATGGAATATTCTATCCACAATGTACGCCAACCACCATTCTCTTCGTGTAACAGAACCGTCCTTGATGCGATACATTGCCTCGGTACAGTGTACACGAATTCGTCGGTGCCGCCCGCATCATCCCCCAGCACTCGCGTACAGCATACCTCCAACCTACCTCATCCCTGACCATCCTCAACTCGGTGTGATGGCTTGCTGCACAATGTTAGTTTGCACCCCTAGTATCGTGCTCGATTAAGCATCTCAAATTGATCAATGTTGCAATAGAATGGATCATGATACATTCGAACTCTGTGGGATTCTCCATCGAGTGTAATACACCCCAATACTTGGAGACTCATGATCCTTGCTACCCCTCGCGCACCCACGGATGGTGGCATGCCGCGCTGTATCAGCAGTGTGTATCGTTGGGAACCATCCGCCAAAGCGCCCATTCCCTTCCCCATCAGAGAGATCCAGATCTTACTATTGGGGAAACACATTGGTGTGTGTGTGTGTGTGTGTGTGTGTGTGTGTGTGTGTAAGAGAGAGAGACAGAGGTGGTGACAGCCAATGTACCTAGGGCCAGGGTCGTGCGCATCCATGACCCACGACTCCCAAGGATTGGCGGTTCGCTTTCAGCATCTTCGAAGGCTCTGGTGTCTGCAATCCCGGTCTGCCCCCTGTCGGAACAAGCGGCAGCCCTTGAGCTCACCAACCCCGGAACGCTCGGTCAAGCTTTGAGAGAGAGAAGCAGGCGGGAATAATAATACGAGAAGACTCACGAAGCGAAACCCGGGACCAGGCCGAGGCTTGTGCCTTTGGGGGCAGGATGCTTGCCAGAAACCAACGCACGCGCCAAAGAGCCATCCAGTCTTTAACTCGTTGCCCTTTGATGGGGCGTAAAGGTATAGGGAGAGCTAGAGTATCCAAGCACGCCAAAAGACACAGGTCTGTAGGCTGCAGTTATGAGGATGTCTTCAGCCCTTCAGCCAAGGCTGTCTCATCTCCACCATCTCTCCACGACAGACTTGCTTGAACCTAGCAAGCGAGGATATGATTCTCGAGGTCAAGGCTGAAATCGAAGAGAGCACATTCACGACACGCATGAGTGACGAGTGCATGGATGTCCCCCTTTACGAATGACATGACTGGTCCGTCCGTCTTGCGCTCTGGCAGGCTTGGGATGGCGGTGCAAACAGGCATAAGGGCCAAGGAAGTGGCATTGCCACTGTCCCTCTTTTCCCTTTCAGGGGAGCGAAGAAAAAGAGGGGACGATTCAATACTGACAGGAGCGAGAAAGCCACTAAAATGGCGCACAGACAAAGAGGGAAGGGATGAATCTTTCGCCCATATGCAGGTACACCTCGGTCCGGTTGTCACGACCACCCCGCTGGGAGGAGGAAGACACCATTTGAAGGCTGTGCCCCTCTTTCTCCCTTCGCATGCCCAGCATGTGCTCCTCGGAAAGGCAGCTCGTCTACCACTAGGCATCTTGGCCATCAACGTGTGGTGGAGGATTATCCCTCCGCGGAACTAACACTAATATTAGTTCGTCTGCTCTTGGGATACCGCTCTAGCGCCAACACCTAGCGTATTTGATGCATCATTGATCATTGATACGCCCGCTAGCATTGGGATATCGTACAGCTTCCCACATCGCCTGCCTTGGTTAAAAGGCGGACGCACAGTGGGCGCGCGCACTCATCACGATTCACGCAGTCGCAACCTTGGCCTGACGCTAGAACGGTGAAGCGAAGGTTTGTCAATGTTTAGTGTTCTCTTTAAATGCCTCCAGGTTACACCGACTTGCTTGCCTTGACCCCATCAAAGAGTCGACGAGTTATTGATCTCTTGGCCTCACACGAAATCGACAGCCATCCTCGGAGCGGCTTTGTTTTCCTTCCGCTATTCTCCATGCATTCTCATTACGATGCCCTCTGAGCTGGGGCAAGTTCGCCACTTCCACAGGAAAACCCCCGGGGCCTCACGCGTGCGCATCAATGTTCCGTGCCAAATCCCCTATCTCGAATGGATGGGAGAAGTCTGGAGGTGAGCGATGACACAGCGGAAAGCAACGACGGAGAAAATTCTCCTTCTCGAGGTGAAAGTTTCCGACGACACACACACACACAAGGGACCTCTGATGAAACAGTAACAGCCACCCTGAGCAGTG